GCCATTCCCCCCAGAAATGTTCGGGAACTTGCAGGTGCCTTTGTGGAAGAGAGGGGTACCATCTCACAGCAAGAACTGGCAACTCTGGTGCAGTCCATGAGGAGGAAATGCACTGCAGTACTTAATGCAGCTGGTGGCCACACCAGATACTGACTGTTACTTTTGATTTTGACCCCCCCTTTGTTCAGGGTCACATTATTCAATTTCTGTTAGTCACATGTCTGTGGAACTTGTTCAGTTTATGTCTCAGTTGTTGAATCTTGTTATCTTCATACAAATATTTACACATGTTAAGTTTGCTGAAAATAAACGCAGTTGACAGTGAGAGGACGTTTATTATTTTGCTGAGTTTATTTGTTCCAATCACTGGCTGTAGAAATCCCACCTAAACAGTTTAGGGAATGGGATAAACGGATATCAAGGTTTATCTGGAATAGTAAGAGGCCAAGAATTAGATGTACAACATTACCAAGAAATACCTATACAGTCAGTTTTGGGTAACAGAAATATACAATAGACAAAATCAGTGGATTCATTTCTCTTTTTAGATATGGTTTAGGGTAGTTAAGCAACTTAATTTTAGACAGAGGTCAAACTGCTGAGTTGGCCCGCATACGACCCCCAACTTCATCCCTGCAACTCAGGATAGCAGATTTAAACAGCGGACGCAGAGAGGCGTCACATCATTTTGGCCAATTATAAGGAAAGGGGATCTAGAGAGCTTCCATGACCTAAGTAAAAAAACATGGCTTGGATAAACAAGATACCTGCAGGTTTGACACTACTTTGTTTTTTGGGGGGTATTTTTACCCCCAATTTTGTGAGATCCAATTGCGATCTTGTCTCATCAGTGCAACTCCCCGACAAGCTCGGAAGAGGCGAAGGTCGAGTCATGAGTCCTCTTAACACCCGCTCGCTTAACCTGGAAGCCAGCAGCACCAATGTATCGGAGGAAACACCATTCAACTGACGATCGAAGTCAGCTTGCAGGCACCCGGCCCGCCACAAGGAGTCTCTAGAGCGCGATGAGCCAAGTAAAACCTTCCCCCGGCCAAACCCTCCCCTAACCCGGACGACGCTGGGCCAATTGTGCGCCGCCTTATGTGACTCCCGGTCACGGCCGGTTGTGACATAGCCTAGGATCGAACCCCAGGCTGTAGTGACGCCGCAACACTGTGATGCATTGCTTTAGACCGCTGCGCCAATCGGGAGGCACCTTTTTAATATAGAAAAAGTGATTGCCCCTTGGGCACCTCAGAAATTGATGCAAGTATTCACTAACACATACAACTTGGAGTATCAAAACAACTATTTAAAATCTTTACCTGGGTATTCTATCCTCAAAGAAACACTCTACAAACTATATTAAACAGAAATGGGAGGAGGAACTTAACACTGAAATAACTGATGAAACATGGTTGAACATATTTAGGACTTAATTAAGCTCTACCAACTAAAGGTCTTGGAGAGAATTCTGTTGGAAAAACTTTATGTTTCTTCATAACACCTAAACTGAAATCAAAACAGACTGGCTCCCAACACCCTTGTTGGAGAGAATGTGGGCTATCAAGGGCAGATCACTCTCATATCTTTTGGTCCTGCCCCGCAATTGAAACTTACTATAATAAATGGGTTTTAACATTCATTTCTTTGTATTTGGGCGAAATATCCCTATCCGCGTCCTCAGAGCATGCGCAGACCAGGTGGCTGGTGTGTTTACGGACATATTCAATCTCTCCCTTTCCCAGTCTGCTGTTTCCTCATGCTTCAAGATGGCCACCATTGTTCCTGTACCCAAGAAAGCAAAGGTAACTGAACTAAATGACTATCGCCCCCATAGCACTCACCTCTGTCATCATGAAGTGCTTTGAGAGACTAGTCAAGGATCATATCACCTCTACCTTACCTTACCTGTCACCCTAGACCCACTTCAATTTGCTTACCGCCCCAATAGATCCACAGACGATGCAATTGCATCACACTGCCCCATCCCATCTGGACAAGAGGAATACCTATGTAAGAATGCTTTTCATTGACTATAGCTCAGCATTCAACACCATAGTACCCTCCAAGCTCATCATTAAGCTCGAGGTCCTGGGTCTGAACCCCGCCCTGTGCAACTGGGTCCTGGACTTCCTGACGGGCCACCCCCAGGTGGTGAAGGTAGGAAACAACATCTCCACTTCTGATCCTCAACACTGGGGCCCCACAAGGGTGCGTGCTCAGCCCCTCCTGTACTCCCTATTCACCCATGACTGCGTGGCCAAGCACGCCTCCAACTCAATCATCAAGTTTGCAGACGACACAACAGTAGTAGGATTGATTACCAACAATGATGAGACCGCCTACAGGGAGGTGGTGAGGGCTCTGGGAGTGTGGTGCCAGGAAAATAACCTCTCACTCAATGTCAACAAAACAAAGGAGATGATCGTGGACTTCAGGAAACAGCAGAGGGTGCACCCCCCTATCCATATCGACGGGACCGCAGTGGAGAAGGTGGAAAGCTTCAAGTTCCTTGGCGTACACATCACTGACAAACTGAAATGGTCCACCCGCGCAGACAGTGTGGTGAAGAAGGCGCAACAGAGCCTCTTCAACCTCAGGAGGCTGAAGAAATTCGGCTTAGCACCTAAAACCCTCAAACTTTTACAGATGCACAATTGAGAGCATCCTGTCAGGCTGTATCACCGCCTGGTACGGCAACTGCACCGCCCGCAACCGCAGGGATCTCCAGAGGGTGGTGCGGTCTGCCGAACGCATTACCAGCGGCAAACTACCCGCCCTCCAAGACACATACAGCACCCGATGTCACAGGAAGGCCAAAAAGATAATCAAGGACATCAACCACCCGAGCCACTGCCTGTTCACCCCGCTATCATCCAGAAGGCGAGGTCAGTACAGGTGCATCAAAGCTGGGACCGAGAGAATGAAAAACAGCTTCTATCTCAAGGACATCAGACTGTTAAATAGCCATCACTAGCACATTAGAGGCTGCTGCTGCCTATTGAAATCACTGGCCACTTTAAGAAATGGAACACTAGTCACTTTAATAATGTTTACATATCTTGCACTACTCATCTCATATGTATATACTGCATTCTATTCTATAATATTCTACTGTATCTTAGTCCATGCCGCTCTGTCATTGCTTGTCCATATATGTATATATTCTTAAATCCCATTCCTTACTAGTTTTGTGTGTATTGGGTATTTGTTGCGAAATTGTTAGATATTACTGCACTGTCAAAGCTAGAAGCACAAGCATTTCGCTACACCCACTATAACATCTGCTAAACACGTGTATGTGACAAATAACATTTGATTTGAACTGCTGGGACTGCCCCAGTAGAGCTTCTGACATTAGGTTGGTTGGAACCTCTCCAGCACGCTGACAATAAACAATGATTCATTTAAGATTGACCTTGAGTGTCCCGGTGTAAGAATTTCCACAACACTCTCTAGGATAAAGCATATTTTAGCATCAAGTAGTGTACAGCAACCTTTCCTCACATGTTAGACCTAACTGACTGTAACTTGAAGTGTAGCATGCAGTATACGTTGTTGAAAACTGAGCTGGGACACAGAGGAAAGTAGAACAGATAGAGGAGTGGGGAAAGCAAAGGATGAGGAAATACATTCAGAGTCTATTAGTCCAATTTACAATAAGGCTTATCTCACAGACACTAGTAATAAAACAAAATGTGAATTGAACCCCGGTCTCTGTCGTAACAGCTTTTAGTCATATTGCATAGCAAAATAGAAAGGGGTAAATTCAAGATCAGGATGTCCTTTTAATTTCAAGCTTATCTCAGACACAAGTTGAAAAAAACTTAAGTTGTTCCTCCCCGTCTGGAGATACTGACCACTGTACTAAACGACGTCGGAGTGTGAACTGGAATTCTACCTATATTTTTAAAAGGTTACCTGACGTGTTCCCTCTCCCTGGAGCCAAAGGTGATGTTAGGCATGTCCCATGCCAAGCTGAACTCCAGAGCGTTGTGGCCCTGAGACGGCACTGAACAGCCCACTGCCAGGGCTGCTGCCACCTTCTCTCCCTTCTGGGTGGGAGGGCTGGAACCTGGAGGGCAAGGAGGAGGGGTGGGGAAGAGGGGAGAAGGGTGAGAGGAGAGTGAATGTCAAGGGGTTTTGGGTGGATCAAAGAAAAGGAAAATCCTTTACTATCCCACTTCACTCTTTCACCAAGTACTAATTACATGGCGTTCATAAAAGACTTGGCTATGACCTGGAAAAGGAATCCTGTGGGCGCTGTGTCATTAAAACCCTACGACCCTTACAGAGGGTTGTCCAACAATTACTAATAATATATACCTTCCTTTCCTGTCCCCGAGGATGTTACATTATATGACAATCTATAAGAATATTTGAACTGCATACGTTTAGTAAAAAGTGCCTAATTTCTAGATTTTGCTGACTACAGATAGTCACTAGTTGAAATCAGACTCGAAGGACCACGCTCAGTCGGCTCCAGCTAGCCATTTTAACAACAGAGCTGGGGGGATCCAGTAAAAATATTTGTGTGGGCGGCGGGAGAAGAAATAGTGACGCTGTCAGTGATCGCCGGTTGAGAACACTGACCAGTGGGGGAGTCCAGCCGTCCATCAGTGATGAGGTCACACCACAGCGCCCCACAGGTTCCCTTTGGACTGAACGCTGTCTGGTGGCTGAACTCCCTGTCAGACTTAACAACGATTCAAGTTAACAGGTAAATGTTAGGAATGATCAGAGCAATGAAACAAAATGTTGATCGTAAACAAACTATGCCAGGAACACTGTAAAACAATATGTGATTTGTGACTCGTCACCCTACGTATGTCGCCGCTGCCATGCTAAGTGTAGGGGTCACTTGGTCGTGAATGGATATATACACTCACACTGATCCCCTCCTTCTCCAGGTGGAATGGTTCGTTCCAGTGGCCCCGGCTCTTGTCGTCCTTGTGGCCTGACCCGTTGACCATGGTGAGCATGATGGGGCAGGGTAGTCATTCTTGATTACTCATTCCCACACTCCAAAGTCGCCACGGGGACTGGAGTCCTGGGGTCTGTGGGGATGACCAGAGAGAGGTGAGAGAGAGAGGAGAGAGCAGGGGAGATGATCGTGTTCAGTAGTCCCAAAACATGAAACTCTAGGCTAGGGTGAAGGTACTGGGAATGGCTGGATGACTGTCTGGCATAGGCATCATGCACCCTATTACCTTTGTAGTGCACTACTTCGGGCCAGAGCCCTAGTCAAAAGTAGTGCACTACATGGGAAATAGGGTGCAATTTGGGCCCATATTGGCTGAAGTAGAAACAATATGACTGAAACCCAATGCTAAGTCATGTCCTTAGGGGACATTTAGTAAAAACAATATGACTGACACCCAATGCTAAGTCATGTCACTGGGGGACATACCCAGTTACCTGGTAGTCGTGGGGGATGACGGGTGACACCTGTCTGCAGGTGAGGGTGACGTTCTGCCCAGGGAGGTGGTAGACTGTCCAGGCCCGGGGGTACAAGGCGTGGTAGAAGGCGTACTCTCCACAGTAGCCCCAGTTCCAGCCCTGCAGCGTGGGGGGGCGCTCCACTGACAACACTTGCTGGTACACCGTCTGACCGCCCCGACGCAGGCACACCGTGAACTAGGAGAGAGACAGAGGAGGGATATGGGAGGAACAAATGACTAGAATAGATCTGAATAAATAGCATAATAGATGTGCCACGAAGTGAACTTCATACACACCGTACTCCTACTAGACTAAATAGAGTTGACTTTAAATATGAACTAGGAGCGATAGAGGTGGAGTTCTCAACAGGTCCTGACGACACAGTGGATTGTTAATGAGGTCTGTTATTGACCAACAGTTAAGAACTGGAGCTAAGAGGCTTTAAGCCTATTTGAAAATACTATTAGTTGAAGGCAAACCAATTTTAGAAAACAAAGATAATTAGTTGTCCATGTGTACAGGACTTATAAACAGGACTTTTCTCAGTTAATTTGTTATTACATACCATGTTACTAGTTGCTAGGCAGTCTTTTCCCAAGCATACCTGGTTAGCGATGACAGTTTTGTAGTGGTACATCCCAGGGTTGAGTTGCCACCTGCAGAACTCCCCCCGCCAGCCTCGCGTGATGGTACCTCCTCCAATACCTCCAAGAGGAGCACCTGCAAAGAAAGGTATTTCAATACAGCAAATGTGTTTTCAAATGTTTCAATACTCATGAGTAGGCCCATTTGAGTGTGTTTTACCGATATGCATTAATATAGGTATTGATAATAGTTAATTGGAGGCTTTGTTGGTGTGTGTCCACCTACCATAGATCTGTCTCAGGGGAAGGGCTCGGAACATATCAATGAAAGGAGCCTTCTTCTCTATTTGAGTCTTCTTATACCACCACTTGAGATACCTGCACGCACGCGAGACCAAGTTAATAATAAGCTGACATTGTTTGAGAATCTACATGAAAATGGGAACATTAACATGCACAAGCAGGTAGAGTACACCTAACCAGTGAACCCAAACATAAAAAAAAAAATACCTCATAGCAAAGAATCTGTCACAATCACTGAATTACATCTTGGGTTGGAGTGGGAGGGGGGTGCATAGCAGAAAGAGGACATTCCATGAATCATTCCATCAAACACAAGTTCAAACCGTAAATCAATGAATAGTGAGCAGCTGGCTGTATTGTGTTGTTTCGAGGAACTGTTCAGGAAAAGGAAGTCCTACAGTATGTAGCCTTGTAGAATGATTAAGAATGGTTCTCTGATTCTTACCGGTTAGGCCGTGACAAAGCGAGTCACTGTGCAGAGCGAGTGGCACTTCATTAACAAATACACAGCAACAGCAGACTGAGGAAAACAGCATTTCTCATCTCGATTTCTCTCTCGCTCTTACTCCCTCTCACTGTCTATTTTTCTTGATTCATGCCCAGCTGTTTACAAGCATTCCGCACTCTAAACAAAGGCTGGGTCAAACAGAACACAACACTGTCTGTCCTGGGCTCAGAGAATGGCAGGTCTGAGAGTAGTGGTGTGTCAGATATTGTTGATGTTGGGGGGAGGCCGGAGGGAGATGTCATTTCGGAAGTGGGTTGCTCTTTTGACTCATACATGGAGCAGGCCTTTGCTCACAAGTTGCTGAAATACCAGCCCTTCGTGTCACGCCTGAACAGCCTTGGTTATCAGTGCAAACTTGTAATGCTGACATTTGGGAGTCTCGGCCATGTACATAGGCTGACAGTACATGGCCTTCAGATTGCAGGCCTGCATAGGACAAAGTCAAAGCAGCTAGCGAGGTACTGCTCTGTGTAAGCTGTCATAGTCAGGCAGCCTTGCTGTATGGAGAAGGTGCTTTCTGTGTCCATATATCCATGACCTATGAAATGTTTGAATCATTCTTGACGGTAATGTGATTTGTGGATTCAAATAAAGTATTTAAAATATGTGTGTGTTGGTGTGTGGTCACACAGAGGCACAGTGTTTCTAATTGATTAGACTATAGACATAAGGCCCATAAAAACATGGTAAAGACAACAGGGTGCGGCATGCTTTAGAACACAAACAGACTGCCACATAGGATATTCTGTATTAGATTAGCCTATTAGCGCAACACTGTCTTAGTCAGGTATCAAAGAATTTAAGTTGCCACCATAACAGCCCGTTCAGAAATACTGACAGGAGGGCTGCAACTCTACTGTAGACATTAGACAATGGCATTTGGCCTGCTGAATTTAGTCACAAAATGAAATGTTAAATGTTGGCCACAGGTAAACAAAGAGGAGGCCCTCTTCAATAGATCCTTGTGAAAAATGACAGTGAGTCCTGCTTTAACTCTATTGAGCGACAGACAGACCTCTGAATCAGGGCTGGGGTCGAATTGAAGGCAGTCAACTCAGGAAGTGATTCTAAATTGAAAAACTTTTGAAATAGCTTCCACTCCTCCGTTTATTGAGAAGTCATTGAAAATAGTTGCAGTTTTTTCAAATTTGGAATAATTACTTAAGTTTACATCCTGAATTGAAAGCCTTCAATTCGAATTGACCCAAGCTCTGCTCTGAATATAGGGAAGGTCTCTAGACTATGTCATAGTAGCCTATTCTTCTTACCCCTGAACCGTTCAACAAAAAACTGGGCAAAATGGTCAACGATTAACTGACGTCGCCATGGTGACTGACTGCGGGGGGGAGGGACAATGTAAAATAGACTGGTGGGCCACACCTTTAAGGATAATGCCCTCATTCTACTGTTATTAGCTTAGCCTATAGGCCTATCAAGGAAGAGGCAAAGTCCATGAATGTGAGGTTGAGTAGAGTTTGTGTATTGTTTCTTCGCTGTTTGCCTAGCTCCTTCTCTTTGGGCACCAGCAGACTGTTTCATGTGAAAGAACTCAACAGCATTCGAACACACACACACAAACTGTAGTGGCAAACTAACATGTCAAAGCTACCACACACACACACCAATCAATAGCCGTTTTACCCACTTCATATGTATATACTGTATTCTAGTCGAGGCTCATCCTATATAACTACTGCTGTACACACCTTTTCTATTCACACACTGTCCATACCGTTTATACACACGGACATTTCTTAATTTCTTTCTTTAGATTTGTGTGTATTGTTAGGTACTGTAAACACAAGCATTTCACTGCACCTGCAATAACATCTGCAAATATGTGTACGCGACCAATAAAATGATTGAATTTGACAAACACACAAATAACTACTAGGTCATAGTGTGTAGTGTCAGGCTGGTGGGTTGAATGATCAGCAGGCAAGACGTATGGAGGTGGTCACATTTATTTAAAGCATTATTTTATTACTTTGTTATTTAAAGCAAGGTTCATTTTCCTCTTAATCTATTTGATTCCAAACTCCAATAGCACAGCTGACATGCTGTTTTTATCTTCTGGTGGTAATCCTTACTTTCATTGTGTTGTTACCAGCTGCACTGCAGGCCTACAGTAGATCAATATCAGCTTTTGTATCAAGCAAGCCACCCACACCTGATTCGCTTACTCTCAGGAATGCAGGATTCTGGGCTGGCAGCAGTACAAGGTCTAAGCTGGCATGTCCTGAATGTAATATGGTGTGGTCCTCTGTAGCTCAGCTGGTAGAGCACGGCGCTTGTAACGCCAAGGTAGTGGGTTCGATCCCCGGGACCACCCATACACAAAAAGCAATGTATGCACGCATGACTGTAAGTCGCTTTGGATAAAAGCGTCTGCTAAATGGCATATTATATTATATTATTAACATTATGAGTCTCAAATGGTTTCAGAGGGGGAGCAACAACAACCATCAAGCAGTCCACAGATGTTAGAGAACCTGGATAGAATTAGGCCAAACACAGACTGAGGCAATCCATTGCAACAACAAAGCTAGCTTTTGTGTTTCTATGTCACGTTAGTGAGGGATTGAGGCGTGGGAGACCAGTGGAGGAGAAGCTGGGTTGTGTGTTTTTTTACCCACTACCAGTCACAGCACCTGCATATGTACATGTCTCACACACACACCTGTCCTTTTGGACAAGCAGAGAAACATCAGACTACACCTGGCACCCTGGCGGTTAGGCTGCTCTGCTGCACCACAGGGACCCATGCCAGAGAAAAGTAATAGGCTTAAAAAATGCCTCTCCTTGCCACTATGTAGAATAAAGACAGGTTGTGCCCTTAACCATAGATTTGTTTTCTATCTCCTTTAAGTATAAATACTATGAATAAACACAGTTTGGATATACAGTACCAGTCAAAGGTTTGGACACACCTACTCATTCAAGGGTGTTTCTCTCTATTTACTATTTACTACATTGTAGAATAATAGTGAAGACATCAAAACTATGAAACAACACATATGGAATCATGTAGTAACCAACAAAAAAAAAGTGTTAAACAAATCTAAATATATTGTATATTTGAGATTCTTCAAATAGCCACCCTTTGCCTTGATGACAGCTTTGCACACTCTTGGCATTCTCTCAACCAGCTTCATGAGGTAGTCTCTCAACCAGCTTCACCTGTAATGCTTTTCCAACAGTCTTGAAGGAGGTCCCACATATGCTGACCACTTGTTGGCTGCTTTTCCTTCACTCTGCGGTCCAACTCATCCCAAACCATCTCAATTGGGTTGAGGTCAAGGGATTGTGGAGGCCAGGTCATCTGATGCAGCACTCCATCACTCTCCTTCTTGGTAAAATAGCCCTTACACAGCCTGGAGGTGTGTTCGGCCATTGTCCTGTTGAAAAACAAATGATAGTCCCACTAAGCCTAAACCAGATGGGATGGCGTATCGCTGCAGAATGCTGTGGTAGCCATGCTGGTTAAGTGTGCCTTGAATTCTAAATAAATCACAGACAGTGTCACCAGCAAAGCACCCCCACACCATAACACCTCCTCCTCCATGCTTCACGGTGGGAACTACACATGCGGAGATCATCCGTTCACCCACACCGCGTCTCACAAAGACATGGCGGTTGGAACCAAAAATCTCCAATTTGGACTCCAGACCAAAGGCCAAATTTCCACTGGTCTAATGTCCATTGCTCGTGTTTCTTGGCCCAAGCAGGTCTCTTCTTCTTATTGGTGTCCTTTAGTAGTGGTTTCTTTGCAGCAATTCAACCATGAAGGCCTGATTTACACAGTCCACTCTGAACAGTTGATGTTGAGATGTGTCTGACTTGAACTCTGTGAAGCATTTATTTGGGCTGCAATTTCTGAGGCTGGTAACTCTAACAAACTTATCCTCTGCAGAGGTACACTACCGTTCAAAAGTTTGGGGTCCTTGTTTTCCATGAAAACATTCATGAAATGAGTTTGAATAGGAAATATAGCAAAATGCATAGGAAATGTAGTCATTGACAAGGTTAGAAATAATGACTTTTAATAGAAATAATAATTGTGTCCTTCAAACTTTGCTTTCGTCAAAGAATCCTCAATTTGCAGCAATTACAGCCTTGCAGACCTTTGGCATTCTAGTTGTCAATTTGTTGAGGTAATCTGAAGAGATTTCACCCCATGCTTCCTGAAGTACCTCCCTCAAGTTGGATTGGCTTGATGGGCACTTCTTACGTACCATACGGTCAAGTTGCTCCCACAACAGCTCAATCGGGTTGAGATCAGGTGACTGTGCTGGCCACTCCATTATAGACAGAATACCAGCTGACTGCTTCTTCCCTAAATAGTTATTGCATAGTTTGGAGCTGTGCTTTGGGTCATTGTCCTGTTGTAGGAGGAAATTGGCTCCAATCAAGCGCCATCCACAGGGTATGGCATGTCATTGCAAAATGGAGTGATAGCCTTCCTTCAAGATCACATTTACCCTGTACAAATCTTCCCACTTTACCACCACCAAAGCACCCCCAGACCATCACACTGCCTCCACCATGCTTGACAGATGGCATCAAGCACTCCTCCTGCATCTTTTCATTTGGTCTGCGTCTCACAAATGTTCTTCTTTGTGATCCAAACACCTTAAACTTCGATTTGTCTGTCCATAACACTTTTTTTCCAATCTTCCTCTGTCCAGTGTCTGTGTTCTTTTGCCCATCTTAATCTTTTCTTTTTATTGGCCAGTCTGAGATATGGCTTTTTCTTTGCAGCTCTGCCTATAAGGTCAGCATTCCGGATTCGCCTCTTCACTGTTGACATTGAGACTGGTGTTTTGCGGATACTATTTAATGAAGCTGCCAGTTGAGGACCTGAGGCGCGACTGTTTCTCAAACTAGACACTAATGTATTTGTCCTCTTGCGCAGTTGTGCACCGGGGCCTCCCACTCCTCTTTCTATTTTGGCTAGAGCCAGTTTGCGCTGTTCTGTGAAGGGAGTAGTACACAGCGTTGTACGAGATCTTCAGTTCCTTGGCAATTTCTCGCATGGAATAGCCTTCATTTCTCAGAACAAGAATAGATTGACGAGTTTCAGAAGAAAGTTATTTGTTTCTGGCCATTTTGATTCTGTAATCGAACCCACAATTGCTGATGCTTCAGATACACAACTAGTCTCAAGAAGGCCAGTTTTATTGCTTCTTTAAATCAGCACAACAGTTTTCAGCTGTGCTAATATAATTGCAAAAGGGTTTTCTAATGATCAATTAGCCTTTTAAAAAGGATAAACTTGGATTAGCAAACACAACGTGCCATTGGAACACAGGACTGATGGTTGCTGATAATGGGCCTCAGTACGCCTATATAGATATTCCTTTTTTTTTTTTTTTTTTTTTTTTAGCTGTTCCAGCTACAATAACCATTTACAACATTAACCATGTCTACACTGTATTTCTGATCAATTTTATGTTATTTTAATGGACAATTTATTTTGCTTTTCTTTCAAAAACAAGGACATTTCTAAGTGACCCCAAACCTTTGAACGGTAGTGTAACTATGTCTTCCACTCCTGTGGCGATCCTCATGAGAGTCAGTTTCATCATAGCACTTGATGGTTTTTGCGACTGCACTTGAAGAAACTTTCAAAGTTCTTGAAATGTTCCGGATTGACTGACCTCCATGTCTTAAAGTAATGATGGACTGTCGTTTCTCTTTGCTTATTTGAGCTGTTCTTGCCATAATATGGACTTCTGTATACACATACCGACTCTACCTTGTCACAACACAACTGATTGGCTCAAACGCATTAAGAAGGAAATAAATTCCACAAATTAACTTTTAAGAAGGCACACCTGTTAATTGAAATGCATTCCAGGTGACTAACTCATGAAGCTGGTTGAGAGAATGCCAAGAGTGTGCAAAGCTGTCATCAAGGCAAAGGGTGGCTATTTTAAGAATCTCACATATAAAATATATTTTGATTTGTTTAACACTTGTTTTGTTTACTACATGATTCCATATGTGTTATTTATTATTATTTCATAGTTTGAGGTCTTCACTATTATTCTACAATGTAAAAAATAGTAAAAATAAAGAAAAACACTTGAGCTGTATCCAAACTTTTGACTGGTAGTGTAGTAACAGTGGGCTAGAAGTGGATTGGCTTGACACGATGAGGTGTTGTTAAGGGGGCTCACCTGACTCCAAGGCCAATGTGTTCAACGATGTTGGAGAGGGACACATCTTTGGCTTGGAACGGCTTCCTTTTCTCCTTGAACTCATGCGCCAAGCAGATCCGCCAGCCGTCCTTCGGTACCCCGTAGCCAAGTTCCGAAGACACATACCGACTCATGAGCTCGGCTGTTGAGCTGTTGTCACTTGACTCCATGGTCGTCATGTTCAGCCGGTAGTCGGATAGAAATTAAAGGGAGCTCTTCTTGCAAACAGGAACCTGCCTGGTGTCTATTCCTTTGAGTTGGAACAACCCGTTACACCTGTTGGAAAGGTGATAATTTTTCTGGGTTGTGCAAGAAGAATCAATTTGTCAAGTGCCCTAGAGCCATTTGAGTGACAGTAAAACAAATAGATTTCTCAACTGAAGTTATTTTCATTCACAAGTGTGAGGATTCCTAAATGACTACTTTAGATACCTGGGCAACAGGTCCATCAGGTGAGGACAGGTATGTAGTGCTCAGATAATTATCCTCAGTCTTCATCAAGTGGGAGGACAACTTGCAATAATAATAATAATAATAATAATAATAATAATAATAATAATAATAATAATAGCAGCGATATGAATTTACCACATAAACCTCAAGCTATGAACTGTTGCCTACTCTACAGATTGTAAAGTTATATGCCTTCAAGCGCGATAATTTATCAACTTATCAGAGATGGCACAAGGTCTCAAGCCAGCTCTCTAACTAACAGTGATGTTTGGAAATGTCAAAGATAGAAGTGGCAATCTTACAGCAAGGCAGGTAAACTTCAACTTGCTCTCACCGTTGTTGACCCACGTATCTATCCAAGGCCCTTGATAGTCCAGTGTGGTAGAACGGACAGTGGCACCTACCGAGGGTTGTGTGCGCAGGTGGTTTAGCCAGTGGTGTCTGCTGTGCTGTCGCCAGTTGATGTGTCCAAGTAAACAACAACGAGCTATTGAAATACCTGCATTATCCAGAGCATGCACAGGTAGCTAGCTACGTATGCAATGAATGAGAATGGATACCTGTCGTCTGGTTAGCTAGCTAGATGTTTTCAACGAATATTGAAGATAGCTAACGTTAGCATCTGCACAGACGTGGGTTTTGTCGTCAGACAGAAAGCTGCTGCAGATCCGTAGACACCCGGTTTTGATTGCGGAGTCAGATTCTTGGTCACGTAGGCTGTATCATTCTGTTCAAAATACAGCAACAATGTCAGATTAACGCTTTCGCACGGCTACTCTAACCGGTAGATGTCCAAATGTAATTCTAAACGGGCAGCCGACCTGAGTGACAAGTTGATATAGTGCTAGGAGGGCGCCCAATATGCAAAGTATTACAGTATGCTTCCACTTTGCACCAGTGAAGTTCACTTTGTGAGACTGGGCCAACTCACGGAGGAAAAGAGGGGTTTTTTATATGCCTGTTCCTCCAATTTGTGCAAAACGAACTATGTTTTCCCTCTATATGCAGTAAGGTTGATCATATAAGATCGCATAAAGTATGTAAGTGTCATATTATGGCTGTTATTAAGTATATTAGCACTATGTTATGTCCAATAAATGTTCCCGAACACACTACAAACCCACACTAGCTACTTACAATATAAATAGCTCCTCCCATATGCCACGAAGCTGTTTTAGATGGCCAACAAAATAACAAAATGTTATTCCTGAAAGATGCACATTTGGGACATTGCTTGTAAAATTTGAATAGAAATTGGAACTGATCATTTGTAAGTATAACACACATTCATTTATTAATTGGGTTCAATAATTGTTTCCAATACCGGAAAAATAGTACGTTGAATGCCTTTTAATTTTAACCCCGCGATACGGTATGGTCGTGCAGCTGCGAGATGGACTGTTTTGGTAATGCTATGTTCGTGTGTTGCAGAATTTGTCTCAAATAATGTACAATTACTTACAGTAGTTATTTCATATCGATTTGACAGTTTGATTCGGCTGACCTGGGGCTTGAGTCGTAACTAACTGGCTAGCCGCTGCCACAGCTGAGGCCAAGGTATGGTTTTCGAGACATTATTCCACTTCAACTGTTAGCCTAGCTTGATAGCTAGCTAACTAACCCGATTTTACTAATTTGGAGACAGCAGTCAGCAGATAACCCTAACTAGTTAAGATATTCTAAACTAGCTGCAATTTAATTTAGCACGGTCTCGCTCAAAATAACCAAACTACCGAGCTAACAACACTTTAAAAAACAACAACATAGCTAGCAGGCGTTCCAAATAACGTGTGTTATACTGTTTACATTTGTTCCTCGAGTACAGATGATCGAGGTGGTAGCCTCAATGGCCCGAGGCCCGGTGTTCCTGGCCGGGGAGGTGATGGAGTGTCTCATCACCTTCACCAACCCCATGTCCCATCTCTCCACCTCTGCCAGCAGGTCTGTTCTCTTTCTTTCTCTCACTCACACATCACCCATTCTTCAGTAGCGCTCAATTGTGATTATTTGCATCTAAGTATTAGTTAGTTATGCTGTATGGAAGGTTACATGGGGTAAAACGTCTCAAAACATGACTTAAACCTCTCCCTGTGTATGTGTGTGTGTCAGTGAGATGCTGGCGTGGGCCAGTGCCCAGATCCACTGCCAGTTCCATGCCAGTGAGAGCAGAGTGGCGCTGCCAGCCCAGGGCACCAAGCAGGATGTCCAGGCAGAGAGCGACACGGTCCTCATCCCCAGCAGAGGTGAGTGGATGGACAGAATAAAGAAAGAAAGAATGAATGCACACACACGCATGTTGAGGGAGGTGGGAGAGAAAATGTCATGGATGGACAAGTGTCAGAATGCAACTATAATATTTTCATTTTAGATATGTACTTACTGACTCTTCTACCTGTCTGTACAGGATGCACTGTACAGACAGGTAGAAGATGACTACATTTAGCTTACTTTTCACATGAAGTGCATGGAGTAGATTAGTTGTTTATTTTGGGGGGGAAAGTCTGTGATAGAAAATGACCTCTATTCTTCCCCTCTCCCCCTTGTCTTCACCAGGAGAGGGAGGGCAGTGCATGTTGGACACGCCTCCCAAGATACTATTCTGTGACCTGCGTCTGGACCCCGGAGAGAGCAGAACCTGTAAGATCACCACAACCGGACTCAGAGCATAGACATAATCCCAGTTCAGAGGGGATTCACTCAATCATTGCTCTTCTTTCTCTCTCTTTCTCCATTCCCCCCCCCCTCTCTCTCTCTCTCTTTTTTTTATTATTTTTTATTTTTTTAATGTGCCATTTAGCAGGCGCATTTATCCAATGCGACTTACAGTCAAGCGTGCATACATTTTTTAAAAGTATGTGTGGTCCCAGGAATGGAACCCACTTTCCTGGCATTGCAAGAGTCATGCTTTACCATTTGAGCTACAGTCTCTCTTGCTCTCTCTCACTTCTTTCTCCTCCCTCAGACTCGTACAGTGAGGTGGTTCCCAATGACGGCCCTCCTAGTTTTCGAGGCCAGTCAGTGAAGTATGTTTATAAGCTGACCATCGGCTGCCAGAGGGTCAACTCCCCAATCAAACTACTGAGGGTCCCCTTCAGAGTCCTCGTCCTGCATGGTGAGCCGTCCTCCTGACCCTTTCACTCAGTTTAATCTAACAGAAGTACACCTCACATCAGAGTTGTGTTCAGAAATGTTTTTTGTTTTTTTTACATCAGCTACTACCTGAATTTGTGCAATAACAACACTTCCGTTGCAAAATGTTTTGGCACTATATGCCCTACTGAACACAACCTATAGTGCTTTCAGCAAGTGTTCATACCCTTTGACTTATTCCACATTTTGTGTTAAAGCCTGAATAAAAAATGGATAAAAAAGTATTATTATCACCCGTCTACGCACAATACCCGATAATTACAAAGTGAAAACATGTTTTTAGACATTTGATGAAATACAGAAACATCTAATTTACATAAATATTCACACCCCTGAGTCAATACTTTGTAGAAGCACCTTTGGTGGTGATTTCAGCTGTGACTCTTTTTGGGTAAGTCTCTAAGAGCTTTGCACACCTGGATTGTACAATATTTGCCCATTTTATTCTTAAAAAATTATTAAAGCTCTGTCAAGTTGATCATTCCTAGACAGCCATTTTCAAGTCTTGCCATAGATTTTCAAGCTGATTTAAGTCCAAACTCTAACTAGTTCACTCAGCAACATTCAATATCTTCTTGGTAAGCAACTCCATTCGGAAAGTATTCAGACCCCTTGACCTTTTACACATTTTGTTACGTTACATCCTTCTTCTAAAATGTATTCAATCAATTTCTTCCCTCATAAATTGTTATGATGAGTTTCTGGTATCAAGTACTTCAGGATGCAAGAGAATATGGGACACAGATGGAGATTTGATTCAGTTATTATTTAATGGTAACAGTACTGGATTCAATGACAGGCGGTACGGACGTAGCCTCTTGCCACATTAATGACTTCCATAGAAAATCTCTCACTTTATATAATGCTCTCTGAGCTGCTTCTTCCAACATCTGCCAACCATCATTGAGTGTCACTCATCTACCACAATAGCATCCACATACTTGGTATTGTGTGTCACCCTAGCCAGGCCATTCCATCACATACGAGATTAGCCCAAGTGGCCCCCAATCTACGCAGACCTTCTGTCCCTCACCAGTGACCTCTATTATACATGGTGTGTCCTTGTCCTCTCTCCCACATGCAGCTTAGGAGTTTACAAACATTAAGAATCTTGTATCAAAAGTCATTATAACATACATCTACACACAATACCCCATAATGAGAAAGCGAAAACTGGTCTTTAGAAATTTTTGCAAAACAGAAATACCTTATTTGCGTAAGTATTCAGACCCTTTGCTATGAAACTCAAAATTGAGCTCAGGTCCATCCTGTTTCCATTTATCATCCTTGAGATGTTTCTACAACTTGATTGGAGTCCAACTGTGGTATATTCAGTTGATTGGACATTATTTGGAAAGGCACACACCTGTCTATATAAGGTCCCACAGTTGACAGTGCATGTCAGAGCAAAAACCAAGACATGAGGTCGAAGGAATTGTTCGTAGAGCTCCGAGACAGGATTGTGTCGATGCACAGATCTGGGGAAGGGTACCAAAACATTTCAGCAGCATTAAAGGTCCCCAAGAACACAGTGGCCTCCATCATTCTTAAATGGAAGAAGTTTGGAACCATCAAGACTCTTCCTAGAGCTGGCCGCCCAGCCAAACTGAGCCTTCGGGGGAGAAGGGCCTTGGTCAGGGAGGTGAACAAGGCCCTTCTCGATGGTCACTCTGACAGAGCTCCAGAGTTCCTGTGTGGAGATGGGAGAACCTTCCAGAAGGACAACCATCTCTGCAGCACTCCACCAATCAGGCCTTTATGGTAGAGTGGCCAGACGGAAGCCACTCCTCAGTAAAAGGCACATGACAGCCCGCTTGGAGTTTGCCAAAAGGCACTTAAAGGACTCTCAGACCATGAGAAACAAGATTCAACACTTTGGCCTGAATGCCAAGCATCACGTCTGGAGGAAACCTGGCACCATCCCTACGGTGAAGCATGGTGGTGGCAGCATCATGCTGTGGGGATGTTTTTCAGCGGCAGGGACTGGGAGACTAGTCAGGATCAAAGGAAAGATGAACGGAGCAAAGTACCGAGAGATCCTTGGTGAAAACCTGCTCAGGACCTCAGACTGGGGCGAAGGTTCACCTTCCAACAGGACAACGACCCTAAGCACACAGCCAAGACAACGCAGGAGTGGCATCGGGACAAGTCTCTGAATGTCCTTGAGTGGCCCAGCCAGAGCTCAGACTTGAACCTCTCTTGAACATCTCTGGAGAGACCTGAAAATAGCTGTGCAGCAACGCTCCCCATCCAACCTGACAGAGCTTGAGAGGATCTGCAGAGAAGAATGGGAGAAATTCCCCAAATACAGGTGTGCCAAGCTTGTAGTGTCATACCCAATAAGACTCGAGGCTGTAATCGCTGCCAAAGGTGCTTCAACAAAGTACTGAGTGAAGGGTCTGAATACTTATGTAAATGTCATTTTTCCGTTTTTTTATTTTTAAAACATTTGCAAACATTTCTAAAAACCTGTTTATTTTCTTTGTCATTATGGGGTATTGTGTGTAGATTGAGGGGAAACTAATGTAACAAAATGTGTCAAAAGTCAAGGGGTCTGAATACTTTCCAAATGCACTGTAGATGATAAAGACCTGTCCTGCTGAATGGTGAATTAGTCTCCCAGTGTCTGTTGGAAAGCAGACTGAACCAGGTTTTCCTCTAGGATTTTGGCTTTGTTTATAGCTGTATTCCGTTTCTTTTTATATAAACTTCCTAGTCCTTGCCGATGACAAACATACCCATAACATGATGCAGCCACCACCATGCTTGAAAATATGAAGAGTGGTACTCAGTGATGTATTGTTTGGTTTGCCCCAAACATAACGCTTTGTATTCAGGTCAAAAAGTTCATTTCTTTCTAACATTTTTTGCAGTATTACTTAAGTGCCTTGTTACAAACAGGATGCATGTTTTGTAATATTTTTATTCTGTACAGTCTTCCTCCTTTTCACTGTCATTTAGGTTAATATTGTGGAGTAACAACAATGTTGTTGATCCATCCTCAGTTTTCTCATATCGCAACCATTAAACTTTGTAACTGTTTTAAAATCACCATTGGCCGGGTCTCCCGAGTGGCGCAGCGGTCTAAGGCACTGCATCGCAGTGCTAGAGGCGTCACTATAGACCCGGGTTCGATCCCGGGCTGTGTTTCAGCCGGCCGTGACCGGGAGACCCATGAGGCGGCGCACAATTGGCCCAGTGTCGTCCGGGTTAGGGGAGGGTTTGGCCGGCCGGGATGTCCTTGTCCCATCGCGCTCTAGCGACTCCTTGTGGTGGGCCAGGTGCATGCACACTGACTCGTGTTGCCAGTTGTACGGTGTTTCCTCCGACACATTGGTGCAGCTGGCTTCCGGGTTAAGCGAGCAGTGTGTCAAGAAGCAGTGCGGCTTGACAGGGTCGTGTTTCGGAGGACGCATGGCTCTCGACCTTCGCCGCTCCCGAGTCCGTACAGGAGTTGCAGCGATGGGAAAAGACTATAACTACCAATTGGGGAGAAAAAGGGCACAAAAAAATTATAATCAAATTCACCATTGGCCTCATGATGAAATCCCTTAGCAGTTTCCTTACTCTCCAGCAACTATGTTAGGAAGGGCTCCTCTATCTTTGTAGTGACTGGGGATATTGTTACACCATACAAAGTGTAATTAATAACTTCACCATGCTCAAAGGCAATGTTCCCTCTAATTTTTTTCGGCACTGAGCAAATTTCAGGTCTGCTGAGCGCAAGCTTGAACGTTGTGAAAATTCGGTGCAACTTCCAGTGTGTGTGTGAACACTGAGGCTGTACCCGCTTTAAGTTACAGTTTCAGAAAGTGGTCAAGTAGGTTACTGTGGCCTACCATCAAAAACAATGGAGAAAATGCATCCCAGAACATGGAAATGGCTGTTCTATCGTTTGTGTGGCGTTCAATGTAGGCCTACATTGCATGAGACTTTTGAAAAAAACATGCCGGGCTTGACATTAACCTGTTTATCCACTTGGACTTCAGACAAGGAAGTGACTGAAAATGATTTTACATGGTAAATGCATTATTATTCCCATGCCATTATTACAGAGAATGAGACAAATGATGATACCCTCTGCCTATTGGCTACTTAGCTTATTCAAGCCTGTCTCAAAATACAACATTGCCCCTTTTAAGACAAAAAAAAGCTCTTTACCCGACTTGCTTTTCAAAGATGTCTGGAACACGTTTTGTGCTCTTGTAAGAAGCCATCACTCCCCCATTGCTGACACTACAAATTATCTATAACTGGGCTAATAACTCACTAACTAGCGAAGGATATGAACAAATGTGCACACGTGGCTACATGCAGCTCTCGCTTTGATCTCAAAACAAGCTCATCTACTCACGACCGCTCATGCTGTAAACACAGTCCAGTTCAAAGTGAATGGCACGGATGCATTTATGGCAATGGTCTATTTGCATATAGGCCTACTACATAGCTGATTGGTTATGGTGCACCAGTCTGTGTAGAGTACGGGCCTGAGTCCTGCCTGTCAATGCAATAGAATCCTACTCCGATGCGTTCTGCCTATAACAGAATCTCTTGCATAGTTAGTAAGTTTTGCATACTAAGTCTTGCATAGTTCGTTTTGTATGTTGCATTGATAGTGGCTAATATTGCATTTATTCGATCACAATTCCCACAGTAAAGGGAAACGTTGATAGTGTTAACTCAACATGGGGGAAACTCTAGAAAGTTGAGTGAAGTTCAATCTAGTGCTTCTCTACACCAACTTAGAAGGAGCATTGCTTACAGGGATATTCAGCATAGTTTTTTTTTTTTTTTTTTTAAACCCATCTACCAATAGGTGCCTTCTTTGCGAGGGATTGAAAAACTTCCCTGGTCTTTGTGGTTGAATCTATGCTTGAAATTCACTACTCTATTGCGGGACCTTACAGATAATTGTATGTGTGGGGTACAGAGATGAGGTAGTCATTCAAAAATCATGTTAACCACTATTACTGAACACAGTCCATGCAACTGATTGTGACTTGTTAGTTCTGAACTTATTTAGGCATGCCATAACAAAGGCGGTAAATACTTATTGACTCAAGACATTTCAGGTTTATATATTTTTTATTCTACAAACAATTCCACTTTGACATTATGGGGTATTGTGTGTAGATCAGTGACACACAATCTAAATGTAATCCATTTAAAATTCAGGCTGTAACACAACATGTAGAACAAGTAAAGGGGTGTACTTTATGTATGAAATACCTGTTGCGGAGATGTTTTTCTCCTATAAAATGACAATGGTCAAAATGAGTGACACTATGTCCCCGCCGTAGGCATGCCGGAGCCCCCGTTTCCCCAGGACGAGGAGGTGGCCCCCTCTAACCCCTTCCTGGAGGAGGAGGAGGGGGGCCGGAGAGACGATCGCCCCCTGGAGAGAGCCCTGGACATGCTGATGATCACCTCACGCCGCTGTCCCCGTGAGTGGTTCTCCTAGGCTAATTCTGAAATGACACCCTATTCCCTTTATAGTGCACAACTTTTGACAAGTGCTATGTGGCAGCTCTTATGAGCCTTCTTCTGTAATGTTGTTTGTGTTGCACATCATCTAGATGATGTACTGAGGGTTTTTTGCAGACTCAGATCCATTGATCTCTAATCTCACTGTTTGTGTGTTTCTGATTTTTTATTATAATCCCCATGGCGACTGCTAGTCTTACTGGGGTCCGACACATAACAAAAAATAGACAAAATACTTTACTATTTACAAACATTTAAAAACATGAATGTGTGTGTTTAGCAGCAGTGTGGAATGCATATGACCATTCATTCACCAATGTCTCCGACAGATCTGTTCAACATCACCAACACGCGGGGGAAGGTGGCCAAGTTCTGCATCTTCAAGACCGTCTACAGACTAGGGGAGGACATCATCGGCACCTTCAACTTCTCAGAGGGGGATATTCCCTGTATACAGGTATGTGTGCATGTCTGTGTGTCAGGGCCTGTCAAATGTTTTACATGAATGAGGATATTAAAAGTGTGTGTGTCAGTACTCGGTCAGCCTGCAGAGTGAAGAGGAGATCCAGCAGGGGTACCAGCGGCGTCCCGGTCAGTCGATCAGTGTGATGGGTCACGGTCGTCACCTAGAGTCCTGCCTCCACACAGCCTCCACCCACTTCTCCCTCCCCGTCCCCCTCAATGTCACCCCCGGCTTCAGCACAGACATCAGTACGTAGCCAAATCAATCACATTTATTTCATTAAGCCCTTTTTACATCACAAGTGGCACAAAGTGCTATACAGATACCCAGCCTAAAATCCCAAAGAGCTAGCAATGCAGGCAGAAGCACAGTGACGCTACCACTGTATCATCAAAGGTATTATCTAAGTGAGTTTCAGAGATGGTCAGAATATGAATGTCATCTGTTACTAGCAAATTATTGATTTCATGAACCTTGTTTCTTAAGCTACGTATGTTAACGTGGGCTATTTTGAGCACTTTTCTTCTGGGATGCTTACTTGTTTTTATTGCTTTACTGGGAAGCTTAGCAGATGTAGATGTGCTCATGTTCTTTATGTTAGTGCAGGGTGAGCTGCACACAGTGGACTTCCTCCTCGGGCTCACCGGCTCGGTGCTAACAGTATAAATCTGGTTCTTAGGCACATGATTGCTGCATACAATAGCTGTAGGATCAGAGGCATTCAGGGCAGTTAGAGGGACATAAATTAGGTTACTTATATTGTGTCTACCGACACCCCTGGTGTAATGTACATTTGCTGAAGCATTTTGACAACTCTGTGTCACAATGGTAGGAATGAGCTGAGCTGGGCTTGGGTCATTGCTAAGTCATTGTCTCAACGCAGCCTTAATGCTGTGAAAGGATCCAGGAACCCAAATGATTTGGGTGGATCCCATCCTCCTTATAAAACGTGTTTTGTTTCCAAAAGGTATCGAAATTGTCAACAAAAGTTACACCCATTGAGCTGCAATAATCACATAGCCAGTTGTGAAGAGCAAGAATCCTGCTAAAGCTTTCAATGCCACGATTCAGAGAGGGCACAGGGCCAGATATGATGAGTTGTATTTAACCCTCTGTCTACTCCTAGACAGCTTCATGACATTCTCAACTCTGTCATTCTTCAGTGACCCTGCGATGGCGCCTGCACTTTGAGTTCGTCACATCCCGAGAGCCCATGGAATCGCACAACGTGATGCATAACCAATCAGAGGTCACCGTGTGGATGGGGGCAGAGCATGTTGATGTGGATACCTTCAGTTGGGACCTGCCAATCAAAGTGCTCCCCACCAATCCCGCCCTGACGTCTTACGTCTCCCAGTTTACAGGGACCAACAGCATCAACATTTAAGCGTGTGTGTGTGTGGTGTGTGTGTGTGTGAGGAAGGAAGGAGATATGAACAATGTATTCCAGATATAAAGCAGGCAACTTTTTTTGCCATTTTATTTTAATATTTTAACATTTTGCAGTGCATCCTATAATTTTTCCTTGAACCCTCACCTTCCTGTTTTTCTAGCTGAAACATGATGATGATCAATGTAGAATGCTACTATCTGTGGGGTCATTCACATTTGTTTTTATTTCATTTTTGACCCCTTTATTCAAAGAGTCCATTGCTTTGTTACATGAAAAAAGTATTTTATTGACCAGAGCTATGTGCTCTACAACTGTTCAATGTGAATCAGGAATTAAAAAGTGGGATTTGAATTTGACGTGAACCTGAAAGGAGGGTTATTTTATCCACACATAAATCAAAAGACTTCCAAGTTTCACGCAATAAGAATTTTATTTAGAGGATAACTGAATAACTGCAATACAGGACAGAAGAAATACAACAATAAGTGTTATATATATATATTACTATAAAAGCTTTACAGTAGTGCATTACAGGGTGGTAAATGAAGGATTACATTATGTGGGCTCACCTCTGCTTTCTGAGTATCATTTACTGCTTATGGTATTGTAATATTAATGCGGTTTAAATGTCAACTGATCACTGGTCTGCACTTTAAATTGGAGGACGGGCTCATTGTAATGGCAACTTTCATTCCGTTCCAGCCATTCCAATGAGGCTCTCCCTCCACTGTCCGACGGGGTCCCAGTCTACTCCACTATCTGCAGGTAGTTATCCAGTGAGCCGTGGCTGGGGTCCAGGTTGTGTCCATTCCCAGGGAGGCAGGGCAGTCGGGGGTCAGCACTCTGCACCATGGTCACTTTACAGGTCAGAGTGTCCACCCGAACCTCACACCAAGCTGGGAAGTCTACCGGGCGATGCACCCTGTGCAGAGAGAGAGAGAGAGGGGTGTAGGTTTTTCAAAGTCTATATGAATGTATGCGGTCTGAAAGAGCATGATGCTCCCTGTACGGAGAGGGGAACATAATTGACAGCTGAGCATGAGCACTGTCGTATGTGTTCTGAAAGGACATAATGAAATGATCCTGATAGAACAGTGCTATGTTGAAGCTGCATGTCCCAATTCTACATATCACAATCAGACCTAGACCCAACCCTGATTCCCTTACAACCGTTACTTGACTCTGGGCACAATTTACATGCCTGTGTTGAATGGAAATCACATTCCTATTACCACCAATGCTACCAACAACCCAGAAAGGCACATTGATTACAGGTGTGTACTCACGTCTCACAGCAGCCGACGCCCACGGGGTGCAGACAAGTGCACTGCAGACAGCCGTTCTCCATCCATGACTCCCCCAGGGAGTAGTGTCTCCCCTCGTAGACACACAGGGCTGGGACAGAGACCACCAGGGGTGTTAACCCAAATCACACACATATTATACAAATCAACCTTCATTCATCCGCAGGACATCCACATTAACTTTGTTTTCAACTTCAAATGGATTCATCCATCCAAGATATTTAGCATAAAAAACAGTCTACTCAGGCTTAAAGGTACAATGCATGATTGGAGTTTCGACAGGTCCACAAAATGTTTCTGCTTTACCAAATATTCAAATGACAAAATACAATAACTGAACAGAATCTGAATCTTAAACCTAAAGAACTTTGATGAATGAAAAACACCCTTCAGTATGATATTCTCACCTTTGGAGTTGAAGTGGCACTGCATGGGAGCAGCGAGGCAGGTGGTCCAGAGCAGAGTCCCAGCCAGGAAGGTCATCGCCCAGTTTCTCCCAACAATGGAGTCCATCATCTTCATGTTCTAGATCTGGTTCTCTTGAGTTTTCTGATTCCTCCCCTCTACCTCGCACCTCCATTTATACCCCACAATCTTTACGACCGCAGCGGACCGGGTGGAGGTGGGGTTAGTTATCCCCATCAGGAGGACTGACCAGGGCCGGGGCAGGGGTGTGAGGCACAGGGGGGGCCTGTGGGGAGTCGTTGGGGGGCAAGGGGAAAAAGGCTGTGTCTTGGCACCGCCTTGGCACTCCGGAGATCAGCTCCTCTTCGCTCCAGCGGGCATGACCTCTAAAATGATAGAAACACTGACACATCCTAAGATGACTAAGACTGGGAGGCTAAGAGAGAGGTGAGAGGAAGGAGAGAGGGAGAAGGGGAGAGAGGTGAAAGGAAGGCGAGAGAGGAAGAAGGGGAGAGAGGTGAGAGGGAGGGAGGGGGAGAGGAGGGAGAGGAGATGAGAGAGAGGGAGAAGGGGAGAGAGGTGAGAGGGAGGAAAGAGAGAGCGGTTTAGAGGAAGGAGAGAGGGAGAGGAGATGGGAGAGAGGGAGAAGGGGAGAGAGGTGAAAGGAAGGAGAGAGAGAGAGGTAAGAGGGAGCAGAGAGAAAAAGGAGAGAGGGAAGCTCGTGGAGAACCAGTAACTGAGAGAGAGGAATGAATGGCTAACATTATTTAAATGCTGGTCGATCTATTGATTGAAATTTGAACTCTTTCTGTATTCATTCACATATAGTTTCCCTATTGGGGATGAGGTACATATCTTAAATCTTCATTACGGTCTCACTTAGGATTCCACCTGAGGAACAAAGTGACAGTGGCTGTGTCTCCTTTGATATTTTACTACCAGATGTGTTACTATGTGGTTACTAAGACGTTCTGACATGCAAACACAGATGCATATTGTATATGAAGTCACGGCCTACTGCCTCCACTGACCCCTGTCTGCCTTATTGGGATGAGCTCATGGTGATGTCATGGCGTGCCTGCCGTGTCTCCAGTCTGTGACCTCATGCAGGCCCTGTCCAGTAGCAGCAGTCAGTCGCCCCCCAGAGGAGACAGAGACGGAGATGGAGAGAGAGGCGCTGGATTTTGGGGAGGAGGAAGCTCATAAAGGACAAGATTAGACTTTTGACTTTTATAGTGGCCGCTGCTATGGCTGCTGCAGGCAGGTGGCAGGTGTGTGTGTGTTTGTGTGTGTGGACCATAGAGATGAAAAAAGGTCTCAACTTTGTATCTGTGCAATTATAGAATATTTGATAGCATGGGCAGCGCCATTGAAGCTATCTCCATAAAATTGATGTTTGAAAAAAGTGTAAAGCTAATAGTGGTATTTTACCGCCACCTGCAGTGCTGGAGATATAGCTCAAAGCCATTTACAAACTAGGCAAACCAATTTCAAGAAGAAGACAATGCTCCCAACCCATAGGAATCCCCACCCAGTTGACTACTCTAAAATGGTGGAAGCCCTCAATGGCAATGTCCATGCAAAACCGTTTATTTCCAAGTATAGATCGCTATACATCTCTATGGTGTGGACCAACAACCTGTTGTGAGAGGTATGGATACAGCGTCCCTTCGCTGACCCACTAACAGAATAGACGTCTCAGATTTACGTAATATCTACAACGAACAAGATTGAAACATGGTTATCATTCTCATTCACTTGCTCTGAGGGCCCCAAAAAACTGTTGCCTACTGTATCAAAATGTATCTTAACAAGTATCGCTTTCAGAGTTCGATGTTTTGTGATATTCAGAATTTCGGAGTGTATCCTGATAAGGTAGAATTATAAAAATGTCTCACATATGCATTTGTAGGCTTTTGTACACCCAATATTCCATTTAGGACTAAATGTGCCATGAATTTATGGTGACAGCCTGGTCTCTGAAAGACATTCTCACTGCTCGTCCATGAAGGTAACAATGGGTGCGACACTAATTCCTTTTTTAAAAGCGAGCTATCCTACTCAACACCTCGTCAATCAAAGAGTGTGAATCAGTCATAATCCATCATCATCTTATTGTATAGGACCCATAGGTTCTAGGAGGGGAGAATATTAGTGCCAATGACATGGACGTCGGTTAAGGCAGCCCCCCGCACCTCTCTGATTCAGAGGGGTTGGGTTAAATGCGGAAGACACATTTCGGTTGAATGCATTTAGTTGTACAACTGACTAGGTATCCCCTTTCCCCTTTGCTACTTTTGAGCAGGGCCCATATTGCTCTGGTACAAAAGTAGTGCACTATAAAGGGAATGGGGTGAAATAGTGACACAGTGTACTAAGGCGACAAGGTCCCAGAGTCAGGACATGTTCGTCCTCAGACTGTGACAAGTTGAGCTGTGGAGCTGTAGAGACAGGGGCAACTCTGAGTCACACACACATACACACCCACCCACACACACGCACAAACACAGGATGAGGGCACGCCAATGCCCTGTGGTCAGTGGCACCCCTGGCTGGCGAGGGAGAACCTATCAACACCCTCCAGACTTCTGTGGGGGGTATGAGGGAACACAGGCGTAAAACACAAATTGTGAGGCCCCCGTGGTGCATCGTGAAAAACTTGTTCCCTCATCGCAGGTTTTTCCTATGATCTCTGTCTGTCTGCAGACTTGATAGAGAAAGTGGAAGGAGATGAGCTAATGTTTTGTTCTGGCTCAGGGAGCGTTACCGCGCTACCTTGAACAAACCCTCCTTTTTTAGGATTGACACTTTGCGGACACAGAAGGAGTGGTTGAGTTGGGTATGAACTCTCTCTCTCTCTCTGACTCAAACACATACACATACACACAAACACTGCACCGGGGAGGCAATGGGCCTTGCCTTCTTAAACACCTCTTTAATTATGAGTGGAGCGTGTCGCTGCAGAGCAGAGGACAGAGCTACCTCTACTCTGTGTATTAAAAGGCACCCTATTCCCTATAAAGTGCACTACTTTTGACCAGACCCCTATGGAACCTGGTCAAAAGTAGTGCACTATAAAGGGAATAGGGTGCCATTTGGGATGCGGCCCTGCTGTTGTGGAGACTGACTCATCAGCTTGGAGACTGACTCATCAGCTTGGGTTATGTAACCAGGGGTGTATTCATTAGGCAGTGTTGGGGAAGATAATGTGAAAATATAGTTTACCAAGTTACCAATTACTTCACACTGGAAGAAGTTAAGCTAAAGCTACCCTTAACTACCGAAAACACTACCAAGATTTGAATTTAGTTCAACTACCACCAAGCTACAGCAAAATGTAATTAAATTACTAGTTTAACTACATGTAGTTCACTAGTCCCCATCACTGTCATTAGGAACCAAATGGAAGCAAACAGGACTAAACAAGGAGGGACCTACCCGAATGTGTTCAATAGAAACTCTTGTTTTCATTGCAAAATGTTTTCTGTTGTGAAACATTTTGCTACGGTGTACATAATGAATACACCTCTGGTAAGGTGGTTGGAGTTCCTGGACTTCAGTAAAGCAGAGAGAACATCACACTGAGGAAGCCTGGCCAGTACAATATAATCTGGTTTCTTGATGCCCATTCCCACCAAAACAACAACCATAGTCAAGACAACCCTACAAAGATGTGCTAGTTCATAACCTATGAACTGTGGCCACTTTGAATTGAAAACACAATTTAAAGTAAAACATTTAATTTGCACATAGCTAGATAAAAAAAAGATGCTTGTTGCTAAAAAAAATATTGAAATCAAATGCCATACATTTACTTCTGTTGGCTATGCCTTTAAGATTATATCCAGTAAACCGGCCCCCAAATTCCCTTTCATCCAGGAAGTAAGTGAACCATCAGACCAGCTAAATCAACCTTAAAAAACAACGAGTGACAACACGCCATCATTGACAGAGGAATAGAGATCGATTACTTTTCCCTGACGTCAGCTTAATAGGCTTTTGCGGTGCTTACAAAAAACATCTGTCGCTATAATGTCGAGACGATTAAAGTTCACATTTCGATTGGACTGCTCGTTTATAACTGACTGTATTTCAGTATTTGTTTTTGCCAAGTGGAGAGACTATTGCTTGAATGCTAACGTCACCCATGGTCTTTTTGCACTTAGGGCTTGCAAGCGAGCCCACAGTCTGGGAAGGCTAATGTTAGTAGCTACACTGCAATTTGCCGCTGCGATTTATGAATAACAAAGTCGACGAAAGATGGACACAGACAAGTTTAACTATGTCTACAGTTGTGACACTTGGACATTAATGTTCAACTGAAAATGTAAGTGTTTTATTACTTGGGTTACTATCTGGCCACATTAAAGTAGCAAGTTAACGTATAGCGCAACGAAACTGTTTTGGATAATGCTGTCAAGTGTCAACAACAAACAATAGTAGTCATCTTAGTTACTACTAGCCTTCTAACTGCGTACGGTTGATTGATAACATGTTGACAGCAATGACATCGTGGACCTTGAGTCTCCAATGTTAACTAGCTAATGCCACTTGCCCAAAAGTCACGTCATTCCTACCTAGTTGTTTGTTTTCTATTTAACCAAGGGAGCATGGCAACATCATGACTCAACCGGTATCTCGGCACCATAACGTGCCCGGTGAGGGATCTTATTTGGGAGCACAATCCTCTTTTTGTCTCATCGGCCTTTTGTTCCTCTCGTGACGTCTATTAACCAGCTGGGCTCCGCTGTGGTGGCACGTAAATAACGTCCATAATTCTCAACAAACCGTTCGTTATGCACTGGAATAATATTGTGATGCATTTAGTCACAATTTGTCAGGGGATTGTTAACCGTTGTCTCAACACAGCCGCATGCACAAATATATAATCCCGAGTGGCAATGGAAGTAATTAAGGCAAATGTGAATATTCTTGCAGATGATAATTCATAGATATATCGTATATGGACCCCCACAGTGTTAGATCTAACATTGATCTACTACTTTTGTCTAGATTCTAGAAGCTGAGCAGGGCAAGAATTCTGCTTCTGACAGGGAACGAAGACAAGGGACAACTGTGGTGGTGGTGTCAAACTACTCCCCTCCCTCATCTGTCTCTAATCTCACATGATTCCCCCTCATGTCCCTGGGGAAACCCCCAAGTGCCAGGCGGGAAACAGGACGAACAAAGAAGGAGGAAAGGCGAGAAAAGAAGGAAGTCCCAACGAAAAAACTGAAGCGGGGGAAAGGAAAACGAAGGAAGGCCCAAGGAGACAAAGAACGAAGGCCAAAGGAGGACAAAGACAATTAAGGTGGAAAAGGAGAGACAAAGAAAAAGGGAAAACTGAGAGAAACTAAAGCCCCGGAAAAATTCTCCTGTTCCTATCTCAGAAGCATGGGCCACTTCCTCTCCCCCTCCCTCCTGTCCCCTTCTCTCCCCCTCCTTCCTGTCCCCTTCTCTCCCTACACCTTCCCCCCATCTCTCCCCCCCTCTCTCCCCCTCCCTCCCCCCCTCTCTCCCCCACCCTCCCCTCTATAGAGGCAGCTTGGATGGCAAGAGGGAGCAGAAGAACTACAGGCCCTGCTGCAGGATCCCATGCTCCGGTTCTCTGGCCTCTACCAGGAGAACTTCTCAGACCTCTCTGTTACCTGTCATGTGTTTGCAGAGGGCAAGCTTCAGGTGCTGCCTGTACGCACGTCCTACAATGCCTTCAGCACCCGCTGGAAGTGAGTGACACCTTTTATTAGGATATAGTGTACCAAATTGACGATCTCTTAAAGGAGATAGTTGAATGATGCTCTGAGCCACTCTTTGACCTGGTCGGGCTTTGTATTTCACATTGTACTCCAAACTCACTATAATAGATACAAAATCATATAGTCCTTGTGAACTGTTCTGTAAATTTCTTTCTTTCTTTCTTTCTTTCTTTCTTTCTTTCTTTTCTTTCTTTCTTTCTTTTTTCTTTCTTTCTTTCTTTCTTTCTTTCTTTCTTTCTTTCTTCCCCTCCCCCAGCTGGAATGAGTGGCTGAGGCTGCCGGTGAAGTACCCAGACCTGCCCCAGAGTGCCCAGGTGGCCCTGACCGTGTGGGATGTGTACGGGCCGGGCTGAGCCACCCCTGTGGGGGGAACCACCGTCACCCTCTTCGGCAAATATGGGTGAGTCCAAATCAAAATGAACGATTTGTGTTGTCTGTGTATAATTGATCTATTCTATTCTACATAAGACCCTTTGCGTATGAATAGGAAGTTACGGAAAAAACAGACTGAATACTGCTGATAGTAGTATGTGGCTAGTATTGAAACTGATAGCATCTGACGATACTATCTCCCGTCCCCTCTCAATCTCCCCTTACCAGGATGTTCCGGCAGGGGATGCATGACCTAAAGGTGTGGCCGGGGGTGGATTGGGACGGATGGGAGCCCACCAGCACCCCAGGGAGGACCAGCAGCCGTCTAGCAGAAGACCAGATGGGAAGACTGGCCAAGGTAGTCACAGGGTCAGGGGTCCCCTGGACAGGGGGGGTACTCCTGTGAAAGGACCTGCCTAAATCACTGTCTATTCCAGCCCCCTGACCTGGAGTTTCTCAGTGATGTGAGTACTAGGTGTTGGAAGGAGAGGAGAGGGGGTCGGAATGCTGGATGTGTGTTTGTTAAGGTCTTTGTTAGTACACATATTAGTTCCTATAGCTCCTTGCTGACCTTTGTGTGTGTGTGCATGGCTTGTGTGTGTGAGGAAGATGGTACATCAACCCCCCCATTCCATTATTCAAGAGAAAAAACTAAGAAGCACCACCTTTGTCTAATCAATGCATATAATCCCAATTGTTACAGTAATGTGTCTTTAGCCTTTGGTGTGTTTGTTTTCATTTTGTAGTTATTTACAGTGTCTTCAGAAAGTATTCATACCCCTTGACTTATTCCACATTTTGTTGTGTTACAGCCTGAATTCAAAATGGAATACATTGATATTTTTTTCTCACCTATCTACACACAATACTCCATATTATGACAAAGTGAAAACATGTTTTTCAAATGTAGTGTAAATTAAATATCTAATTTACATCAGTATTCACACCCACGTGTTAGAATCACCTTTGGCAGCAATTACAGCTGTGAGTCTTTCTGGGTAAATCTCTAAGACCTTTGCACACCTGGATTGTACAATATTTGCACATTGTTATTAAAACAATTCTTCAAGCTCTATCAAGTTGGTTGTTAATCATTGCTAGACAGCTGAGTGGCGCAGTGGTCTAAGGCACTGCTTTGCAGTGCTAACTGTGCCACTAGAGATCCTGGTTCGAATCCAGGCTCTGTCGCAGCCGGCCGCGACCGGGAGACTCATGGGCGGCGCACAATTGGCCCAGCGTCGTCCAGGGTAGGGGAGGGAATGGCCGGCAGGGATGTAGCTCAGTTGATAGAGCATGGCGTTTGCAACGCCAGGGTTGTGGGTTTGATTCCCACGGGGGGCCAGTATAAAAAAAATATATATACATGTATTCACTAACTGTAAGTCGCTCTGGATAAGAGCGTCTGCTAAATGACTAAAATGTAAATGTAAAGCTGAATTTGTCTCCCAGTGTCTGTTGGAAAGCAGACTGAACCAGGTTTTCCTCTAGGATTTTGCCTGTGCTTAGCTCTATTCCATTTGTTTTTATCCAAAAAGCTCCCTAGACCTTGCCGATGACAAGCATACCCATAACATGATGCAGCCACCACCATGCTTGAAAATATGAAGAGTGGTACTCGGTGGTGTGTTGTGTTGAATTTGCCCCAAACATAATGCTTTGTATTCAGGACATAAGGTTAATTTCTTAGCCAAATTCTTTCCAGTTTTACTTTAGTGCCTTATTGCAAACAGGAATATTTTTATTCTGTACAGGCTTCCTTCTTTTCACTCTGTTGTTTAGGTTAGTATTGTGAAGTAGCTACAATGTTGTTGATCCATCCTCAGTTTTCTCCTGTCACAGCCATTAAACTCTGTCACCATTGGCCTCATGGTGAAATCCCTGAGCGGTTTCCTTCCTCTCCGGCAACTGAGGAAGGACGCCTGTATCTTTGTAGTGACTGGGTGTATTGATATACCATCCAAAGTGTAATTAATAACTTCACCATGCTCAAAGGGATATTCAATGTCTGCTTTTATTTTTTTATTTTTACCCATCTAACAATAGGTGCCCTACTTTGCGAGGCATTGTAAAACCTCCCGGGTCTTTGTGGTTGAATTTGTGTTTGAAATTCACTGCTCGACTGAGGGACCTTACAAATTATTTGTATGTGTGAGGTACAGAAATCATGTTAAACACTATTATTGCACACAGAGTGAATCCATGCAGCTTATTATGTGACTTGTTAAGCACATTTTTACTCCTGAACTTATTTCGGCTTGCCATAACAAAGGGGTTGAATACTTATTGACTCCATACATTTCAGCTTAAATTTTTTTATGAATTTGTAAAATCTTCAAATAATTACACTTATGGGGTATTGTGTGTAGACCAGTGACACAATCTCAATTGAATCCATTAAAAATGTAGGCTGTAACCCAACAAAAAAAGTCAAGGTGTGTGAATACTTTATGAAGACACTGTAGACCAGGGTTCTTCAATTCCGGTCCTGGAGGGCTGAAACACTTCTGTTTTTTATTTCTACCTGGTAGTTAATTGCACTCACCTGGTGTCCCAGGTCTGAATTAGCCACTGATTAGAAGGAGAGGATGAAAAACAGAGGTGTTTCGGCCCTCCAGGACCGGAATTGAAGAACCCTGCTGTAGACCCACTGACCATTTTTAAAAGTGATTCATAGTGCCCCGTGAGTGTGTAGACTGATTGTAAATAGTGAAAATTAACTGTACAAAGTTCCGGGTGAGCTCTAACAGCCCTGGTGAATGGTGTTCTTGTGTGCCCCTGACACCCACACTGACGCTGACCGGCTTGGCTGCTGAGTTTCTGTTCCGTATTTCCGTTGCGCTGAATTGGCCGCTGGCACCCAAACTGCGCTCTGATTGGCTGAGTTAGCGCTCTGCACATCTCTGCTACACCTCTGTTGCATCCTCTCTTCCTAACCTCACTACATCTTCCCTCCACTGCTCAGTATTTCTGTTCCTCCCTCTCTCTTTATTCTCTCCTTCTAGCTGACCAAGGCCCACCGGCAGGGTCACATGGTGAAGGTAGACTGGTTGGACCGCCTCACCTTCAGAGAAATAGAGATGATCAATGAGGTGAGTAAGAGGATCTGTGGTCAGTTATTTCACTCAATATAAATCCTGTATTGCGTCATACACTTACAATCAGTTGGGTCAGACCCCATCCATCACAAATGCTTTTGCGTGTGAATATGTAAAGATATTCGTCTCTCCTTTCTCTACACTGCTGCGTTATCTTCACCTATCAAAAGTCAGTCGTATGTTTGTGTTCCCACAGAGTGAGAAACGCTGTTCCAACTTCATGTACCTAATGGTGGAGTTTCCTCGTGTCAAAACTGGTGAAAAGCCAGAGTACAGTATTGTCTATTATGAGAAGGTAGGTACTGTAACACACACACACGGTTGGTATTACGTTTTTGTGGCTTTAAACTATTGTGGTAGTTCTGAAAGGGAGTGTTGATTGGTTGATGGACATGGTGATGTGGTAGCTGATTGACTGTAACTCCTTCCCTTCCAGGATGAAGATGACGCCTCACCTGTGCTCACCAGCGCTGACATCGTCAAAGTCCCCGACCCTCAGATGTGCATGGTGAGAAACACACAAACACAATATTGATAATGTATTGAGTTTAATGTATTGATTCAGTCCCTGCTATAGGAGAACCTTGTGGAGAGCAAGCACCATAAGCTAGCCCACAGCCTATCAGACCACGACCTGAAGCCTAATGCTGCCACACGAGACCAGCTCAACGTCAGTACCATTACTCGCAACAACGTGTGTGCGACGTGAATGTGTCTGATATTAGCAGTAGACTCAATCTTATGTCTGTCTGTCTGTCTACAGGTCATAGTGAATTACCCCCCAACGGAGCAGCTGAGCTCTGAGGAACAGGACCTGGTGTGAAAGTTCCATTACTACCTCACCACTCAGGAGAAGGTGTGTATCCTCCTGGACACTGTTTGTGTGTTTACAGCAGAATATATTTCCCTATATTTTCTGAAGTACGAGATATTCACTGACATCCAGGGAGGGCTGGATCCAGGCAGCAAGAGGGACAGCCAAGGCCGGGGAGAGAGCTCCACCCTGGGGGACCTGGACAGGTGAGAGGGGGGTCTGTAAGGGTGGACAACTGGCTTTGTGGAGTAGACCAGTAGGCACGAAAACACTAAATGTTTTGAAACAGAAATGTGTGTTCTTTCAAAAAAGGTCAGGTAAACGTTCCAGTTCAGAATTTGTTGCCCTTCTGCAATTAGCTCGTTTTTTTATATGTAGAATTGTTTTTCATTACTGTGTTCTAACAGTGTATTATGAACTGGTTGTGTGTCTCCAGTCCCCAGATCTTGACTGCTCCAGCGGTGCCCTCACCTGTCCAGAAATGAAAAGAAGGGCCGGCCAGCGAGAACCTCCAGGTAGGAGATGAAAATAATAGAAGTTGGGCTGAAAATTATTTTCTGTTATGTTTAGTACGGTATGTAACTAATATGTTTAGTATGGTATATAACAAATATGTTTAGTACGGTGTATATAACAAGTATGTTTAGTACGGTATGTATATAACAAGTATGTTTAGTACGGTATATAACTAATATGTTTAGTACGGTATGTAACTAATATGTTTAGTGCGGTGTATATAACTAATATGTTTAGTACGGTGTATAACTAATATGTTTAGTACGGTGTATATAACTAATATGTTTAGTACGGTGTATATAACTAATATGTTTAGTACGGTGTGTATATAACTAATATGTTTAGTACGGTATGTAACTAATATGTTTAGTACGGTGTATATAACTAATATGTTTAGTACGGTGTATAACTAATATGTTTAGTACGGTGTGTAACTAATATGTTTAGTACGGTGTGTAACTAGTATGTTTAGTACGGTGTATATAACTAATATGTTTAGTACGGTGTATATAACTAATATGTTTAGTACGGTATGTAACTAATATGTTTAGTACGGTGTGTAACTAATATGTTTAGTACGGTGTGTAACTAATATGTTTAGTACGGTGTGTAACTAATATGTTTAGTACGGTGTGTAACTAATATGTTTAGTACGGTATGTAACTAATATGTTTAGTACGGTGTGTAACTAATATGTTTAGTACGGTATGTAACTAATATGTTTAGTACGGTGTATATAACTAATATGTTTAGTACGGTGTATATAACTAGTTTGTTTAGTACGGTGTATATAACTAGTATGTTTAGTACGGTGTATATAACTAATATGTTTAGTACGGTGTATATAACTAATATGTTTAGTACGGTGTATATAACTAGTATGTTTAGTACGGTGTATATAACTAATATGTTTAGTACGGTGTATATAACTAATATGTTTAGTACGGTGTATATAACTAATATGTTTAGTATGGTGTATATAACTAATATGTTATTTGTCTTCTACAGCAGGACCTGGTGTACCTTCCTCATCTCCCGTGCTTGTAAGAACTCAACACTGGCAAACTACCTGTACTGGTGAAGATCACATACTTTGCGTGTGTGTGTGCTAAATCTGTGTGTACCCTCTCAGGTACATAATAGTGGAGTGTGAAGGCCAGGACACCCAGCAGAGAGACCTGAAAACCCACAATGTGTACCTCAACGTCATCGGGAGGTTCAGCCTAGCACTGCTCAAGGTCTGTCTTTCAACACAACTCCAATCTTACTTCATCCTTCAGTTTGTAATGTGAACGTTCAGCGCTATGAATTTGCATATGCAGTGAGTGATACAGCACAATATGTTGAAGAAACACTATTTCTGATTGGTTACCATGAGTATAACTCATCTCCTCTTTCATTTGACCTCTTTCCTTTCTCTCCTCCATACTCCATCTCTCTCTCTGCGTCTTTCTCTCTCTGCAGGGTGATAAGAGTGTGAGGGTGATGCGGTCTCTCCTGGCGTCCCAGCAGACGTTTGTGGTCAGACTGGTACAGCTGATGAAGGCTGTGCAGAGAGAGAGTGACAACCGCAAGAAGAAGGTATGGGAGATTTATCTCACTCACACACACACACACACACACAGTCTTTCTTCCTTGTGACTAGATCTCCTGAGTGGCGCAGTGGTCTAAGGCACTGCATCGCAGTGCTAACTGTGCCACTAGAGATCCTGGTTCGAATCCAGGCTCTGTCGCAGCCGGCCGCGACCGGGAGACTCATGGGCGGCGCACAATTGGCCCAGCGTCGTCCAGGGTAGGGGAGGGAATGGCCGGCAGGGATGTAGCTCAGTTGATAGAGCATGGCGTTTGCAACGCCAGGGTTGTGGGTTCGATTCGCACGGGGGGCCAGTATAAAAAAATATATGTATTCACTAACTGTAAGTCGCTCTGGATAAGAGCGTCTGCTAAATGACTAAAATGTAAATGTAAATGTAAATGTAGATGGTGTAATGATTGTGACGGTTGCCAGTGGCGCCCCCTAGGTTTCAGACGGAGCGACTGCAGGCTCTGCTGGCGGACAATGACAAGGTGAACCTATGTGAGATTGACCCCATCCCTGTACCTCTGGAACCCACTGTGAGAATCAGAGGCATCGTACCAGACACCACCTCACTATTCAAGGTACAACACCTTCCATCCTTCCATCCCTCCATCCTCCCATCTCTCTCTTTCTTCTTCTTCCTCTCTTGCCCTTCTGCTTTTCTCCTCTCTCTCAACCTCTTCTTTCTCCTCCCTCATCTTTTATTCCTGCTCCTCCTCTGCCTCTCCCCCGGATTTGTGTGTAGTCGTTTTTCGGCCGTACATAGACAATGCTTGCTGTGTGATAGTGTAATGGGTACGTGATAATGTACCTTTATGTGTTTCTATAATCTCATCACTATATCTCTGTGTATTATAGAGTTCTCTGATGCCAGCCAAGCTGATCTTCAAGGCGGAGGAAGGAAAGTTGTATCCTGTCAGCTTTAAACATGGAGACGACCTGAGACAAGACCAGCTCATCCTACAGAGCATCTCTCTCATGGACAAGGTCAGAACCTAACATATTATTACCATATAAAACCTGTTATTACCATATTAGCAACATATTATTATCATATCATATACACATAATACCTTATTATTATGGACAAGGTCAGAAGCTAACATATTATTACCATGTAAACCTATTATAAACATATTATTATCATATATACATAATACTGTATTATTAAGGTCAGAAACAAACATTACTGCAACACAGACCCCTGTTTATTTTATCCTTACTTAGAAGGTTAAGTGGCTGTGTATTGTTAATGTACATCTGATGGAAATTCTCTCTCAGCTGCTGAGGAAAGAGAATCTAGACCTTACAAAGTGCTGGCCACAAGCACCAAGCATAGTGAGCACCACTGATGTAGTGATCGAATACTGTCTCAGGAAGTGACCTTTAACCTCTGATCTGTGTGCTGTTGATCCTTTAGGGTTCATGCAGTTTGTCCAGTCGGTGCCTGTGGCTGAGGTCCTGGCCACTGAAGGAAACATCCAGGTAGGAGCTCATGATATTTCTGTCTAAGAGCCTATTACCATTGTAACGAATACAAGAAGTTTGTCTACCATCTTCACTCTGTGCACGTCTGTGTCTGTAGACCTGTCTTGTGATATCACGTCTGTGTCGGTAGACCTGTCTTGTGATATCACGTCTGTGTCTGTAGACCTGTCTTGTGATATCACGTCTGTGTCTGTAGACCTGTCTTGTGATATCACGTCTGTGTCTGTAGACCTGTCTTGTGATAGCACGTCTGTGTCGGTAGACCTGTCTTGTGATATCACGTCTGTGTCGGTAGACCTGTCTTGTGATATCACGTCTGTGTCGGTAGACCTGTCTTGTGATATCACGTCTGTGTCGGTAGACCTGTCTTGTGATATCACGTCTGTGTCGGTAGACCTGTCTTGTGATATCACGTCTGTGTCGGGAGACCTGTCTTGTGATATCACGTCTGTGTCGGGAGACCTGTCTTGTGACATCACGTCTGTGTCGGGAGACCTGTCTTGTGATATCACGTCGGTGTCGGGAGACCTGTCTTGTGATATCACGTCTGGGTCGGTAGACCTGTCTTGTGATATCACGTCTGGGTCGGTAGACCTGTCTTGTGATATCACGTCTGGGTCGGTAGACCTGTCTTGTGATATCACGTCTGGGTCGGTAGACCTTTCTTGTGATATCACGTCTGGGTCGGGAGACCTGTCTTGTGATATCACGTCTGTGTCGGGAGACCTGTCTTGTGATATCACGTCTGGGTCGGGAGACCTGTCTTGTGATATCACGTCTGTGTCGGGAGACCTGTCTTGTGACATCACGTCTGTGTCGGTAGACCTGTCTTGTGATATCACGTCTGTGTCGGGAGACCTGTCTTGTGATATCACGTCTGTGTCGGGAGACCTGTCTTGTGACATCACGTCTGTGTCGGTAGACCTGTCTTGTGACATCACGTCTGTGTCGGTAGACCTGTCTTGTGACATCACGTCTGTGTCGGTAGACCTGTCTTGTGACATCACGTCTGTGTCGGTAGACCTGTCTTGTGACATCACGTCTGTGTCGGTAGACCTGTCTTGTGACATCACGTCTGTGTCGGTAGACCTGTCTTGTGATATCACGTCTGTGTCGGGAGACATGCAAACTTCAAGAAGTTGGCCTGGTGCCCTCTGATGTCATCATCCTAATGTGTGTTTTTGGATGACTACTGAGATGTCATTTTGTCATTCTTTTTCCAGCTGGTTACTGTGTCATCACATACATCCTGGGAGTGGGAGACAGACACTTGGACAACCTGCTCCTCACAAAGACTGGTAGGTCTATAGGAATTATGTGTCAAGTACCTCCAACATGCTGTGGTTGGATTTGTACCATATATTGTCTGATCACTAGTTATTTCCTTCAAAAGCTACTCTACTCTGTTCTGTATGACAACTGCTGTTGTAGGGCTTCATGAATACATTTCATTGATTGAATACCTTTCCATCTTCCTATTTCAGGAAAGTTATTCCACATAGACTTTGGCTACATCCTGGGTCGTGACCCAAAGCCCCTGCCTCCCCCCATGAAGCTGAGTAAGGAGATGGTGGAGGGGATGGGTGGCATGCAGAGTGAACAGTACCAGGAGTTCAGGAAACAGTGTTACACAGCCTTCCTTCACCTCATGAGGTAGGACACACACAGTACACACACTGTATACACACACAATTATATCAGCTGTGATGAACCTTTTTCATTTCGCTCTCTCTTTCTTATCTCTCTCTCTCTCCAGGTACTCTAACCTCATCCTGAATTTGTTGTCTCTTATGGTGGATGGCAACATTCCTGACATCGCCCTGGAGCCTGACAAGACTGTTAAGGTATTTTTTACTCTACAGACATACTGTAATGTACATTTGTGTGTGGATTTTTCATGTCTCCACATGAAAGAACAAACCCAATTAATGTATTTAACCAGGATCAGTCTATTCTCTCCCCTGAACATTCTGTCTCCTCCCCCTCCAGGTGCAGGTCAAGTTCCGATTGGACCTGTCGGACAAGGAGGCCGTTCACCACATGCAGAGTCTGATTGATGAGAGCGTGGGGGCTCTGTTTTCTGCCATGGTAGAGCAGATACACAAGTTTGCCCAGGTGTGTGTGTGTGTGTGTGTGTGTGTAGCAGTGTTAATGTATGTGTCCTTAATAGCCTTAAAAGCACAAGTCATTAAAATCATTTTTACAACGTCTACCTGGTTTGAGGTACTTTTACTAGTTTATGTGGTATTTGTTGGTAAATGTATTTGTGTTTCCATGTGTTAAGTGTCTACATGACTGGTGTGAGGGTCAGCTAACGGTGTTGTCTGTCTCCCATCTCTCCTCAGTACTGGCACAGATGAGAAGGACAGACAGATCATCTGGCTGAGACGCGACTGAACTGACTGACTGGACAGTGGATGGATGGATGGATGGATGGACAGACGGGGAGTTTTTGCCATAGTAACACTGGGTCACACGATGCTCCCCTGCAGGTGGTGTGTGTGTGTGAGAGAGCGAGAGAGATTGAGAGGATCCATCCATGACACTGCTGAACAGAGGCCAATGATGCACTGCCAACTGTGACATCTTTGTTAGCATTTTGTGTATATTCTGTATATTATTGATTAATCATATGAAATGTATGGCCAAATAAAACCATGTTGATACAGTATAACACTGGTGTTGCCTTGTCTCTGTGTATAATACCAGGCTGTGTGTGAGGCTTGTGTGTTCCAGGGCGTGTTTACACCTGGCATTCACAAGTATCCTGTGATTGGTTCGTGTTCATATATTGATTCTGCAGACGTGTAGATGGTCAAAAGACGCACCACTGTGATCTAATGGTGATCAGATCCACCGACACAGTTGATGGTAAGCGACTCATTTTAATACCATGTAGATGCAATGAGCCATGAAGTTTGTTCTGTAAGCATTTTGGTGCTTACAGATTCACATAAGAATCCATTGGGCAACAACCGTTGGGACAACTCTGTGATTCAAATGCAGGAGCTTCAGTGTAAACGGAGCCTTGCGAGTCTCACTGTAGAGTATCAAGCAATAGAGGACTGGAGTGTCTTAGTCAGCTTTGTCTCCAGGGATGCCATACAAATATTTATGACCCTGTCGTGGAAATTCACCACTAAGGACTCAAAGTTGATGAACAGATCTTTATTATCACGGCCGGAGAGGTCACAACAAACTTGATACTCAAAGTACAAGTCTGTCAGAAGTTCTGAAGGGGTGCACTCACTTCAGCACTCTTTATACTCATACACAAACTAGTCTCTGCTCTGAGCGCAATAGGCTGATCAGGACCTTGCACACACAGTTTCTAGACGTTGGGCCAAAGTAACAATATGTTCCCTTTGTTCTTCTATCAGCCTTCCCTGAAAGCAGTCACAGAACATCCTAACACAATAACAAGAAACAATACGCTACATGTAGTCACGCATTTGCAGAGACACAGAGGATTTCCACCACAACCTTTGTCTGGCATGATGAACATTTATATGACTGGCTGTGATCATTGAGCATCAACACACATCGGGGATGGTTATTATGACTTTTATGCTGGGTTTGAAGGGTTAACCCTGTGACTCAGGGTTTCCTGTATGAGAGAGAGTGTGATGAACCACAACTTCCTCTCCTTCATATAGGCACATGTATCTCTGAATATGGACTTTATCTTGGTCTAAAGGGACAATATGCATTTTCTGAAATTATATAAGTATTTTTAATTGATCAATTATTTCTACTGAGGACCATAAAGTGGTTACTTCTAAAACTCCACCATTAAAAGCAATGTTTTATCTTTATAAATGTAAGGTAAATGTATTTTTGAAAGTTTTTCTATCATGTATTTTAATAAATGTATCATATAGACATGTATTGTCGACATAAGATCACGTTTTAAGAAGAGCATGCATCTTGCTTTATGAATTAAAGGGTGTTTGATTTCATCCTAACTTTAACCACTTGTCATCTGAATCAGTCAGTGTGGTGTGGTCATGCCTGTGTGGTTCTGTCACTTGGGCTATGTCTCAAATGGTACCTTGTTCCCTTTATAGGGATTACTTTCTGGTCAAAAGTAGTGCACTATAAAGGAAAAACACTGCCATTTGGGATGTAAACTGGGTCCGTGTGTCAGCTCAAACACGAGCAACACAACATCAACTGGTTTGAAGGAAATAGTCAAGCCTATCACAGGTGCTATTGTAACATTTGTAAGTAGCTTTTTATTTTAGATAATTTTCTGATATTTTTTGTATGAGGTATAAGAAAGGACACTACTATACATTGTCAGAGCACCTTACTCTCACTGCACCTGTACACAGCCCGTCTGAAATTAGCCCACCCAACTACCTCATCCCCATATTGTTATTTATTTTGCTCATTTGCACCCCAGTATCTCTATTTGCACATCATCTCTTGCACATCTATCATTCCAGTGTTAATACTAATTGTAATTTTTTGCACTATAGCCTATTTATTGCCTTACCTCCATAACTTGCTACATTTGCACACACTGTATATATATTTTTTGTTGTATTTTTGACTTTATGTTTTGTTTTACCCCATATGTAACTCTGTGTTGTTGTTTTTATCGCACTGCTTTGCTTTATCTTGGCCAGGTCGCAGTTGTAAATGAGAACTTGTTCTCAACTGGCTTACCTGGTTAAATAAAGGTTAAATAAAAAATTAAAAAATTGTATTTACACTGTATTTTTGAAGGAACCAGGACTTTGACTTGACCATCACAGGTGCAATTGTAACCTTTAAGTTGCTTTTTATTTATACACAAATGAACAGCAGTACTCACTTCTTTCATCACTCAACAAGTTAGGAAAACAGAAACAGAAAGCAAGATACAGTATTTTACCAAACTTGTTACTTCTTTATCACACATAAAAGCACTTCAAATTACTCTGACATTTCTTGTTCACTCATTTTACACTGACTCATTGTGTTAGAAAGTGAATTATACAGAAAAAAAATCCAGCAATTATACTTATCTAACATTGTGCAACCAAGTCTTATAAGCTGAACTGAAATACATGCCCTCATTTTAGAGGCCGTACCTCATTTCAAGCTGTTTTTATTAGGCTTGTGAGTTGTGGTTTTTTTCATGCTCCGCTGTACTCTCGCATATGCATCTTTTTTCCCCTCCTCTTTGGTCAATTTACATTTACATATGAGCAAACTTGACATTCAAAGAGCGGTATGCACTGAATGGAAAGCAAATGTATAATTTATTCACTTTCAAATACTCTAGCAGAGACGGTTTCAGCTGACACATGAATTAGACCTTTTCTAAAAGGTCACCCTGTTGAACACCACATAAATCCCCCATCCAACTTCACCACCTCAGTTGCAGAGCCAGCCAGCACACACCAGTGGAGAGCCGAGCTACAAGGCGTCCATCTTGGATCAGGTTTCCACTAAATTGACTGCAAATACAGCAGAACCCATATAAAGCTTATCCAAAAACCTCAGTTCAAGGTTAGATGTGAATTCTCTGTTGGACGCCTGTGGAATAACGTTACAGCTATGTGATTGGCAGGCAGACACACACTGCTTAGTTTGGATTCACTGACGATCCAACATTAGCCTAACATCAATCAAAATCCCCCTGACACAGTTATATTATTATGAATATGAGTGTTCCAGAACTGAGGAGGATTTGAATGGGTCCACTGTTTTCACTACACCATCTTCCATGCCTCTCCTCCGTCTCTCTCCGCTCACTCTTTCTCCCACCCCCCTGGGTTTCCTAATGTTCCAGAAAAAGTGCACCACCAGCAAAAGAGATGTGTAACCCCCCCCCCCCCCCCCCCTCTGAGGTGTCAGACATGGGTAAAAGACAGCGGGACAGGCCAGAGATGGGATGGGGCAACAGTGAGTCAGAAGCAAGGCAGAGAGAGAGCCAGAGAGGGGGAAAACAACCTCCTGTTATCACATAGAGAAAAACAGAAGTAGAGACTTCACACAGTACAGTAGGTAGAGGAAATAAAGGGGGGTCAGAATAATACATCCCCCCTTGGTGTATGTCTATTATAGTACAGTCCAGTTTTGTCCATACCACAGTCCAGTTAAGGGTGGGGGGGATCTCCTGAAACAAATATTGCTCTCTATAGACCTCTGAAAGAACAAACACCCCCCCTGGCTGTAACTGAAAATGTATGCCCGTAAGCCAAAGATAAATTCCCATTTTAAACAAACATGGACAATAAAGTTTTTGAACTTGAAACACTACTGTCAGCACCCCTCAAACAAACACTCCCAAAGACCCAGCTGTACCTGTGATTCAGAGGCTCTGCTCGCACCAACATGGGCCCTATTGATTTGTCCATCAATTTGTCATCACCTTTTGTCCATCAATTTGTCATCACCTCGGCTCTGTGGATGACAGAAGTGATCCATATTGTGAACCCTACTAAACAAACGGTGTAAAACAAAGCTGTGGTTGTCAGTGTTGTTGTTCAAACTGAGCTTGGCGCTTCAGTTTCCAGCAATGTCTTCTTCGACTGCTATAGTACGGCAGAACCAGGTTACCAATGCCACTCAGCAGACGTTCAGCTTGTATCCATAGCGACCTACATTACAGTGAGTGCATTCATTTTTAGTATGTGATTCTGGCGAGAATCTAATCCACAACCCTGGCGTTTGATAGTACCATTGCTCTTAACAACTGAGCTACATAGGACCACCATTACCCTTCAGTGGGTCCAGTTCTGTCCCATCTCATCTCCTCCAAAACCAATGCCCTGTCTTCCAAAACCTTGGACTCAGAATATGTTGTACAGAGCATTATGGGTACTGCAGTTCAACATGCTACTGGTTACACCACTGTAGTCCCTCCAGGTTCTCACCCCCTTCACTCGCCCCCCCAAACCTCACTGAGCACAGCGGGACCCCCTGGCCCTCCACAGCCTCTGACAGAGTTAGAGAACCAGGGTAGGGTAGTGTTGGCACCGTGTGCCCTGGATGTGGTCGTAGTGGTGAATCGAAGTTGCACTGGGTCATATGTAGCCCTGTAGGCACAGTGGAGCATGGCAGGGATAGGGTGCTGTCAGAGTTCAGGCCCAGCTCCACTCTCCCAGTGTCCCAGTCCACATTGCCCGACCTGTAGTCACCAGGGAAGGGTTTGCTGCTGTACCCATCCCCCAAGCTTGGGGCCTGGGCGTCGGTGAAGACACAGTCGGAGAAGGAAGACATGATGGAGAGGTGGTCATCCACAACCTCCACATGGATGTCACTGAGGTCAACAGGGTCTGAAGAGGACTCCGGGGGGTCCTGGAGGGATGCCTGGAGAGATGCCTGTGTGAAAACACAGAAACACTGCATTACATTCCCAATTACATACCCACGGACTATGGACTACATGTACTGTAATATATACTATACACTTGGATTAAATGAAATACGCACAATGCATACTGTGTGTGTGTGTGTGTGTGTGTGTGTGTGTGTGTGTGTGTGTGTGTGTGTGTGTGTGTGTGTGTGTGTGTGTGTGTGTGTGTGTGTGTGTGTGTGTGTGTGTGTGTGAGAGAGAGTGTGAGTGTCAAGAGAACAAGAACAGTTTACTAGAGTCTTGGGGAGTCTGTTAATGTGAGGTGCATCTGGTTTTTGTTTCAGCCGGTACAGAGCCAGAGCAAGGAGAGGAGAGAAGAGCACAGCACACACTCCTATTCCAAACAACACTGGCTGTAACCCTGGGGAACACAGACACACACATTTCATTGTGAAATCAGGGTCGTTTTCATTAGCTCTAACTTCATGCCCACACCCCGGCTCAACCCTAACCCTAGCTTAATGTCCACACACTGGATCAACCCTAACCATAACCCTAACCTCTGACCTCTCACCTGGTCCTGGGGCAGCCTGGTGGACACAGCGTGGGTGGGAGGTGGGAGAGGAGGCCAGGGGGAAGGTGGGGGGTCCGAAGGAGAAGTTAGCCAAGGCACAGTAGTCCTGTCCTGGGACCAGGTCTGAGAACTCAGCTCTGTACACCACCTCCTGGGCCCAACCAGTACGCCTCTGAAACAGGATCAGGGAAAAGGGAGGGAACATGTGAACATGAGAGAGAGAGAGAGAAGCGATTCTCAGGGAGAGCCAATCATGGAGCTTGTACTAACCAAATGCACACAAACAAAACACAGCAGACCATAGACTGGACAACATGAGAGTTTCTGGTTTGAGCATTTTAAGTAGTGTACTCCACGTACACTTACGCAGGAAGGGGGGACTGAGTTAGAGAGAAGAGAGAGAGAAGAGGAGAGAGAGAGAGAGAGAGAGAGAGAACGAGAGAAGAGAAGAGAGTGATGGGAGAGGGTGAGAGAGGAGAAGCGGAGCGGGCGAGAGTAAGGGAGAGGGAGAGATGAGAGGAGCGAGAGAAGAGAGAGAGAGAGAGAGGAGAGAGAGAGAGAGAGAGAGAGAGAGAGAAAGAGAAGATGGAGGGTGAGCAAAAAGTGGTATTGCAGATGGCACAACCGGGGGTACCTTGTAGTCAGAGTGGTTCTGTTGGTTATATACTGTCACTGTGACCCAGGGGTCAATGAGTTCTGACAGTGGACAGCAGCTCTGCAGAGGAAGGCACCCCCTGTTGGTAGAACAAGGGAAGTGCACCTCCACTACCAGCCTCTCTCTAGACAGAGACACAGAGACGGAGGGGCGGCTGAAGGCTGAGGAGAGGAGAGGAGAGGAGAGGAGAGGAGAGGAGAGGAGAGGAGAGGAGAGGAGAGGAGAGGAGAGGAGAGGAGAGGAGAGACAAAGAAGCCACTTTGTAATTTCAATCACACCAGCCTATTCATGTCAGCATCTTTAGCGGTTTTAGCCATCTCCATTTGAATTCTGCAGTGTATTAAGATGTTTAAATGCTCTCTATGTGACATTTTATTTGAACAACAAACCAGCATTTTAGATATGTGATAGGACTGAGAGCAGAAAGGTAGGCTACTAACTGAAATCACTTGGGTCAAACTTGCGTGGTTCTGTCCAGACATGGCTCCCAGAGTCCTGGTGGAGGCCCAGGCGGATCATGTTGTAGAGTTCAAAGTCAGAGAAGGACTGGGACACGTCACAGTGCTGGGAGGAGACCTGCACACACCCCTCCACGTCCTGCCACGGATCTCTGTAACCCCCCCCCCCCACACACACACACACATACACACACACACACACACACACACACACGTAATAAATAATAGAAAACCATTCCAATCTATTCATGGGTTTCACTTATGTCACTCGATTGAAATGTATGTGGAAATGTCCCATACAAGACACACACACTGGTTGAATGACTACTTGGGTGGTGGTGGTCATGACTAAACCAGTGGAGAGGAGAGGAGCAGCCAGAGAGTGTGATGGGCTTGGTTTCACAGCTATGGTAGAAAACAGTATTGTCTATCTATCATTTCCTATCTACTTATAAGCCCAATCAACCATAGAGTGGAGTGACTGATTCATCTCTCTGATTAAAACCCTTCTGAGGTTTCTCTGCCAAAACCACACATTTTTTATTCTCTCACACTACCTCCCTCTCTACCTCTCTCCTGCTCTTCTCCCCTTCATCAGAGCCGTTTGTTCTATCACCCAATCATTTGCTTTCCCTTTCCATTCTAGGATAGCTTTCCCTTACACTCTCAACAGTTGCGCAATTCATATTAACTTTCATTGTTCAGTAAATGAGTATCAGGATCCCATTGCTTGTTAGAATCCTCAACCAAGCAATGACTTGATTTAAAATATTCAATTTAAATGACTAGATACTAATTACACACAGAACAAACATTACAGTGGAAAATAAAATGTCATACATCAATGTTGTTTTTTTTCTTCAGTAAAACAATTAGTTACTAATTCTAGTAAATAGGGGTACAGTAATATAACACTCCACAGAGCTAGATACTGGTCGATTAGATCAGTCAGTAAGTATCGATTAGATCAGTCAGTAAGTATAGTGAGCACTGAGCACAGACAGACAGACATACCCACCCCTGAGTCTTAGTTTGGACGGTGTAGGTGGTGGTGTTAGTGTTGGCCTGAGGACAATCCCACTGCAGGAGGCATCCTAAGTCCAGGGAAGCCACACTGGTGTTACAGAAGGTCCCAGATGATCCTGAGAGTTCACACGATACAGTTCACAGTCAACACATAGATCACACACACTTCTGACATAGGCTACACTTTCATATTCACGATCTCACAGTAACAAGGATGACTATACCTAAAGACACAACTCATACATACTTAACATAATTGACTTAACAGTTCCTTAATCACCCAAATGAATGGATTACTACAGTACAACACAATACACTTTATACTATTTGAACCTTTAGTTGGCCATTTAAGCCATTGAGATCAAACCCTATATATAGACAACCCCTGTGGTGAGCCCCCCACAGACAGTGTGAGAGGACAGTGAATTGGATCAGTTACTGCACCTAAAATGGAGGGATAGAGAGCAACAGTCAGACTCACCTATGATGAGAAGAGTGACACACAATCCTGTTAACACAAGGGTCGTCGGTACACCTGGCACCGTCACCATGGTGACACAGGTAAGCTGGTAAACTGGACCACCGTGTGAGAAGGACAAAGGACATAGACTGAGGAGGACTCAGACAAAATCTTTTTCCAAAACAAAATCCCTTTTAGGGAGGGATACCACATTCATGTAAGTACCCTGATGCGCACAATGTAGCTGTTTATAAAATGCATGACAAATCATTTCTACAAGTTGAAAAGGACAGAGGTAGAGTAAGCTGTCACTTACCTACATCCACAGCCAGAAGTGAGAGAGAGAGAAAGAGAGAGAGAGCGAGAGAGCAGGGGTGGAGGGATCAGGACGTGATACAGTAGTTGTAGGTTCAAGAGGAAATTGCATAATCTGAAGCTTAAAGGTGCGATGCAGCAGCTTTTATCTCAATATCAAATAATTTCTGGATAACATTTAAGTACCTTACTGTGATTGTTTTCAATTAAAATTGTAAAAAATAAGCAAAAATAGCTTTTTAGCAAAGAGCAATTTCTCAAGCAAGAATTTTGCTAGGACTGTCTGGGAGTGGTCTGAGTGGGGACGGGAAAACTGAAAACTAGCTGTTATTGGCAGAGGGGTTTGGAACTCTCTTTCTTATTTGTATATTAAAGACATGCTGTGGAACTTTGGCAACTACTAAGTATTTTTTAAACCTCCCACTTTGGGCTGGATGTGTCAATGTGCAGTTCATACATGCATAATCTATGAGCAGAATTACTATTTTACCTCAATTAGCCACGAAATCCCCTAGTTTGAAAGTGACTGTTTTTCTGGAAGCTGTGCTGCGCCATTTTCCCTTCATTTTCCCTCATGTGTGCCAGCCCCCTAGCAATTCCAGTTCAACCAATTAGCTTCAGCCCCTCGCCATATGAGTGACAGTTAACAAGAGGCACATCATGCATTCACAGCAGAGAGAGAGAAAGAGAGAGAGAGAGAGAGAGAGAGAGAGAGAGAGCGCGCAATGACAATGACGTGGTGCACATATCTGCACGTGACGTAATACGCAATCTTCGGGGACCACTTTCAGCTCGTGAACGCTACTAAAAAGTATACAAAAGTATGGGAGAATCTCTTTAACTAATTTACTGCCTGGTGATGTCACCAGGCAGATCAAAACGGAAATTTCAGGCGGTCTTTTCAAACAGCTCTTACGCTAAAAAGGCATCATTATTTGAACAATTTTCACAGTATTATTCCAACCTCAGTGTGGAAATATTCTGTATACAATTCCTTCAGAAAGAATTCACACCCCTCGACTTTTTCCAGATTTTGTTGTGTTACAAAGTGGGATTAAAATCAATGTCATATTTTTTTTTTCAACGATTTTCACAAAATACCCTGTAATGTCAAAGTGGAAGAAAAATTCAATTTTTTTTATTTATTAATGTAGGCCACTCAGGAACATTCAATGTCATCTTGGTATGTAACTCCAGTGTATAATTGACCTTGCGTTTTAGGTTATTGTCCTGCTGAAAGGTGGATTTGTCTCCCAGTGTCTGTTTGGAAAGCAGACTGAACAGGTTTTCCTCTAGGACTTTGCCTGTACTTAGCTCTATTCCTTTCATCCTTAAAGAATCCTTAGTCCTTGCATATGACAAACATACCCATAACATGATGCAGCCACCACCATGCTTGAACATATGGAGTGGTACTCAGTGATCTGTTGTGTTGGACTTGCCCCAAACATAATACTTTGTATTCAGGACAAAAAGTTAATTTCTTTGCCACATTGCTTTTGTGCCTTTTTGCAAACAGAACAGTTTTGGAATATTTTTATTCTGTTGAGGCTACCTTCTTTTCACTGTCAATTAGGTTAGTATTGTGGAGTAACTACAATGTTATAGTTCTCTCATATCACAGCCATTTAACTCGAACTGGTTTAAAGTCACCATTGACCTCATGGTGAAATCCCTGAGCAGTTTCCTTCATCTCCGGCAACTGAGTTAGGAAGAACGCCTGTATGTTTGTAGTGACTGAGTGTATTGATACCACCATCCAAAGTGTAATTTATAACTTTGCCATGCTCAAAGGGATATTCAATGTCTTCATTATTTTACCCATCTACCAATAGGCGCCCTTCTTTGCGAGGCATTGGAAAACCTCCCTGATGTTTGCCATTGAATCTGTGTTTGAAATTCATTGCTTGGCTGAGGGACCTTACAGATAATTGTGTGGTAAAAAGATGAGGTAGTCATTCAAAAATCATGTTAAACACCATTATTGCACACAGTGAGTCCATGCAACATAGTATGACTTAATAAGCAACATTTTACTCCTGAAGTTATTTAGGCTTGCCATAACAAAGGGGTTGAATACTTATTTACAAGACATTTCAGCTTTAACATGTTATTAATTTGTACAAATGTCTTAAAAACATTGACATTATGGGGTATTGTCTGTAGATCAGTGACAAAATCTAAATGTAATCCATTTTAAATTCAGGCTCTAACAAAATGTGGAAAAAGTCAAGGGTTGCAAAACATTTCTGAAGGCACAGTACAAAAACACAGGAAAACCTATTTTGAATGCACTGGGCCAGCAAGCTGTGAGACCGGAGAGAGAAACAGAAGGTATAGAGAGAGTGAGCAGGAAACAGACGGAAAGACAACCACCTTGCAAGCTTTGTGTAAGTATAAGTGTCTTGTTTTGAGTCACTCATTGTATCAGCAATGTTGGTACAGTACAATGTTGGATCTTAATTTTAACCACTTTGCTACAGAAGGGAAATAATCATGCAGCAACAGGAAATGTGAATTATAATTAAGACATTTCTGTTGGGGTTGATACATTTTTCATTAGAGAAAATAAAGTCTGAAATTTCAAAAAGGGGAAATTTCAAACTTCAGAAGCCTTTTTAAACCTCACATACACCATTTTTAAATGTCCTGCATTGCAGGAAAATTCCCCTGCAACAGGGTGATCAAATTAAGATCCTACATCTGTACATTGTACAATGACCCACTACTACTTATTATAGTGTATGTTATGCTTCTTAGATATTCATGACCGGTGTGTACCGGCAGTTGGCAAGAAATCCTACAATCTAGCAAGAGAAAAAATAACTCACACGGACAGTCTGTCCATTCTATAGTTTTATTCAATGCCATTTTTAAATAATATTAATCTATACATCGCTTTGTTGAAGTGGGTCTTTGACCATTCATTCTCAAAAATAATAATAACAAGTCATAATATAATACAGGAAGTGCTGTTAGAGGACCATAAAATACATCATACAGCGACAGTCGCATACTGTATCAGTCAACAGAACAGTATGGCTCACACTGGTACACACCGCCCTGCTCATGGCCTCTCCAGGGTGCATCATACAGCTGTCTGAACACAAAGGCAAACTGCTGAGCCTAAGCCCATTGAGACAGACAGTATCAAACATCCAAATCATAACATTAATCATTCATAACACTTTTCATAATATTCCTCATGGTAGTAACATCACCACCGCCAGTAAATCAAAAAGAGTGTTTACAACTGACTGTCAGGGAAGGAGCCATAGACCCCCATGATAGGAGGATATCAGAAGATACATAACCCAGGGTATTGGTCCAATACCATAGCCATGTAATTGACTTGATTTAAAATCATTTAAATATGGCTCTGACCAATACAAGTGTTGCCATGCTGAGGGAAAGTATTGTCATTGCTTCTTTATGAATCAGTCAGTCTACCAGCCTGCATCCTATGTAGGAATCAGTGGGATCTCCGCTCACTCCCCTTTACAGTCAGTACAGCATTATACTAGGTTATACTCGTTGGTTAGATTAGTACAGCGTTATTACAATTATTACCGCCTCAGTCCAGCAGAGGGCGCTACACCATCACTCATAGGCCACCAGCACAGCAGTGCCTCCACACCAGCAGCTATACCTCTCCCATGTCCGTTTGTGTACTGGAATGAAGTAGCCCCTAGGCACTGATCCAAGGTCAGTTGAGTCTCTCCCTCCTAAGAAACATGGTTAGGATTTGGGTAATCTGATCCTAGATCTGTGGTTAGGGGCATTCTGTATCTATGTTTGCGCCCCAGGCAGGGCTAGGCCAGGGACAGGCTCTGGGTTGGTAGGGGAGGACGGTAGCCCCTTAGGCCCTTTATATAGCAGCCTTCGGTTGGCTTCAGTACTGTCTCCGTTCAGGTTCTTATAGGGGTTCCTGCGAGAGGGTGCGCGGAAACACAGCGAGGGGAACCGGAACCCCGCCAGGCAACAACCGGAACATGAGATAACCTCCTCCTGCTCCAGAGAGGGACCAGAACCGTTTTCGGTGCCGTTACCAGAGCCGAACGGCGAGCCCCCTACGGGCCCCCCAGGAGTGGAGTGGTACCCGTTGGTGCCCCCCAATCCCAGGTAGGGCAAGGGGAGGGTGGGCAGGCAGGGAGGGTCATTGGATATGGGAGGAACATTACCCCAGCCATTGGTGAATGTAGTAGAGGTGGGTGGGGAGGGTTTGGAATAAGGCAGGCATGTAGGGAGAGTGCCATCTAGAGTGTCGGGGGAGCTGGTGCAGTCCATGGGTTCTTCCTCCAGGCTGCTTGTGTCCACTTCCTCTTCTTCACATAGCTGGTCTAATGACAGCACCTCTGGGTCGAGAGGAAGCCCGGAGTCATCGGCAGTGAGGCCCTCGCTGCTCTTCCTCCTCTCCACATCCTCCTCGACTACGAACTCCGACTCAAAGGTAAACCTCTCTTCCACGATTCCCCTCTCCTCCTCCACCTCGTTCTCTCCATTCCTCTCAGCGTCCGGTGGCGATACACCCGTTTTCTCTGTGGTATTGTCTTTCGTGGTGGGGGTCAGGAGATCTGGAGGAGGGGTGCAGGGCAGGGACAGACAGCGTCTATGGAGCCTTCCTCGGGGCATACCCCCACCCTCCTCTCGGTCTGAGGGTGAGGGGGTGGTACAGGGGTCCAGAGGTTGGGGTAAGGTGAACGTTAAAGAGATGACTGACTTGCTGGGCGTGTCAAACAGTTTGATCTTGCCTCCATTCAGGTCCTCTCGCAGGGAGAAGGGGTTGACACGGGTGGGAGGGGCCAGAGTGGGGGGCGTGGCCGGAGGGAGCATGTCTGATTTGCTGCGGCAGAGGCGAGGGTCGCCGGGGAGACAGAGGGAGTGTCTCCGTAGTGGGCTGAGATCTGGAGAAAGAGATGCTGAATGAGAGAGCGATTTATTCAATAAAAAAAAAAATACATGGCTAGCAATGAGCCTTACATGGCATATATAAAATCTAATAAATGTGTTAAAATACTTGCCATATACGTATACCCATCTATTGCAGTAATTGTAAAAGTCTATCTATACTGAACAAAAATATAAATGCAACAATTTCTAGATTTTACAGTTCATATAAGGAAATCAGTCAATTGAAATAACTAAATTAGGCCCTAATCTATGGATTTAATATTACTGGGCAGGGGTGCAGCCATAGGTGGGCCTCTGAGGGCATAGGCCCACCCACTGGGGAGCCAGGCCCAGCCAATCAGAATGAGTTTTTCCCCCACAAATAGGCTTTATTACACTGCTCAAAAAAATAAAGGGAACACTTAAACAACACATCCTAGATCTGAATGAATGAAATCATCTTATTAAATACTTGAATGTGCTGACAACAAAATCACACAGAAAATATCAATGGAAATCAAATGTATCTACCCATGGAGGTCTGGATTTGGAGTCACCCTCAAAATTAAAGTGGAAAACCACACTACAGGCTGATCCAACTTTGATGTAATGTCCTTAAAAACAAGTCAAAATGAGGCTTAGTAGTGTGTGTGGCCTCCACGTGCCTGCATGACCTCCCTACAATGCCTGGGCATGCTCCTGATGAGGTGGCGGATGGTCTCCTGAGGGATCTCCTCCCAGACCTGGACTAAAGCATCCGCCAACTCCTGGACAGTCTGTGGTGCAACGTGGCGTTGGTGGATGGAGCGAGACATGATGTCCCAGATGTGCTCAATTGGATTCAGGTCTGGGGAACGGGCGGGCCAGTCCATAGCATCAATGCCTAACGCTTGCAGGAACTGCTGACACACTCCAGCCACATGAGGTCTAGCATTGCCTTGCATTAGGAGGAACCCAGGGCCAACCGCACCAGCATATGGTCTCACAAGGGGTCTGAGGATCTCATCTCGGTACCTAATGGCAGTCAGGCTACCTCTGGCGAGCACATGGAGGGCTGTGCGGCCCCCCAAAGAAATGCCACCCCACACCATGACTGACCCACCGCCAAACTGGTCATGCTGGAGGATGTTGCAGGCAGCAGAACGTTCTCCACGGCGTCTCCAGACTCTGTCACGTCTGTCACGTGCTCAGTGTGAACCTGCTTTTATCAGTGAAGAGCACAGGGCGCCAGTGGCGAATTTGCCAATCTTGGTGTTCTCTGGCAAATGCCAAACGTCCTGCACGGTGTTGAGCTGTAAGCACAACCCCCACCTGTGGACGTCGGGCCCTCATACCACCCTCATGGAGTCTGTTTCTGACCGTTTGAGCAGACACATGCACATTTGTGGCCTACTGGAGGTCATTTTGCAGGGCTCTGGCAGTGCTCCTCCTGCTCCTCTTGCACAAAGGCGGAGGTAGCGGTCCTGCTGCTGGGTTGTTACCCTCCTACGGCCTCCTCCACGTCTCCTGATGTACTGGCCTGTCTCCTGGTAGCGCCTCCATGCTCTGGACACTACGCTGACAGACACAGCAAACCTTCTTGCCACAGCTCGCATTGTTGTGCCATTCTGGATGAGCTGCACTACCTGAGCCACTTGTGTGGGTTGTAGACTCCGTCTCATGCTACCACTAGAGTGAAAGCACCGCCAGCATTCAAAAGTGACCAAAACATCAGCCAGGAAGCATAGGAACTGAGATGTGGTCTGTGGTCACCACCTGCAGAACCACTTCTTTATTGGGGGTGTCTTGCTAATTGCCTATAATTTCCACCTGGTGTCTATTCCATTTGCACAACAGCATGTGAAATGTATTGTCAATAAGTGTTGCTTCCTAAGTGGACAGTTTGATTTCACAGAAGTGTGATTGACTTAGAGTTACATGGTGTTGTTTAAGTGTTCCCTTAATTTTTTTGAGCAGTGTACATACATAAATACTCCTCAGTTTCATCAGCTCACTGGGTGGCTGGTCTCATACAATCCCGCAGGTAAAGAAGCCGGATGTGGAATGTTTATGTGTGGTATGCAGATTTTAGTCCGGTTGGACGTACTGCCAAATTCTCTAAAACAACATTGGTAGAGAAATGAACATTCCATTTTCTGGCAACAGCTCTGGTGGACATTCCTGCAGTCAGCATGCCAATTGCACACTCCCTCAAAACTTGACTCTTAAATTTCACATTTTAGAGTGGCCTATTGTCTCCAGCACAAGGTGCACCTGTGTAATGATCATGCTGTTTCATCAGCTTCTTGATATGCCACACCTGTCAGGTGGATGGATTATCTTGGCAAAGGAGAAATGCTCACTAACAGGGATGTAAACAAATGTGCGCAAAATTGAGAAATAAGCTTTAAAAAAAAATAGCAGTATATATAATTCCTAGACATGTCCCTATGCTAGGCCCCATCCCACAGAGCTCAACTGAAAAAACTACCACTTTATTATTAATTTATCATCAAACGGATAATAAATATTTAAGTCCGGTAAGTCTTGGACCTACAGAGCAGCATTTCTTCTTAGCCCCTAGAAGAACAGATGACCACAAAACCCTAACCCCTCCCCCAGCTCATAATCAACAGCTGGGTCTTAATGACTCCGGTCTGAACACAGTTGTGTTTTGGAGAACCCCTTCAGGCTGACCTCCCTGTGCTCCATACCCTCCAGGACAGCCACACACACCCTTTAGTGCCGCTTCATCTTTCTGCGTCCTCTCCGTCTCTCTCCTCTCCAGCTCATTTACGATCGCTGAGAACGATGGGCGACGCTTTGGATCCATCTGAGTGAGAGAGTGGAGAAAAAGATAAACATTTGTTAAAAATACTAAATAAAAGAGTCAGTTACTCAAGTCACGAAGGAGAAGGAATGAGGGGGAACAGAATGAGAAGGGGAACAACAGAAGGGGAACAACAGAAGGAGAATGAATAAGGGGGAACAACAGGAGGGAAAAGGTATAAGAGGATTTGTGTGTGTGTAAGAGAGTGTGTCTTACGTTACAGCAGGTGACCGCCAGGCTCAGGAAGGCAGGGGGACAGTCTCCCACCATGTGCTGAAACGTCTCTATGTCCAGACCAAAGTCCTACAGAGAGGGAAAGAGCATCACTCAGTGAAACAGAGCCCTAGGGAGATGCCAACATGAGCTCTGATTTGCTGTACTCACTGCAGTCACTAACGGTCAGCGACTTCAATGAAAGTACTGTGACTTACTGCCGGAGGGGAGATATTACACTGCAGTTTCATACAATGGCCAGAAGGGGGAGACATGTTCAGTCTATGCCACATCATACAATATTGTGAACCCTGATTGTGTGCTAGTGTGTGTGTTAGTGTGTGTGTGCGCTAGTGTGTGTGTGTGTGCGCGTTGCGTTCATACCTCTGTGCGGGGGAGGACATCAGGGTCAGCCTGTATCCTAGCGATGACCTCACACAGAATGATACCATACGCAAAGATGTCCACTTTCTCGTTGTAGATCTCGCCTCGCAGTACCTCTGGAGCCATCCAGTAGGGAGAGCCCACCACAGCCAGAGGCTCCTGGTCTGACTCATCACTGTGGAGGGAGACAGAGGAAGACAGGCCTGGACATTATTACAGGCGGTGAAGTTCCCTTTAGATGCTGGTCTAGGGTCAGCTTTGCATTTTCCCCACTAATAGGATTGGGGAGGGGAATCTGATCCTAGACCTGAACCTAGGGGAAACCCCGGAGCCATTATTACAGCACACAGACAGACTGCAGCTAGCTTCATCACGCTCTAGTTCATTAACAACCTTCCCAAAAGGAAGGTTTATATGGGGTAAATCTAGTGCGTGTGTAAAGGCATAAAGGGGCAGACATAAACACACGTCACTGCAAGGCGCATGCTCTGAACACCCCCCCCCCCCCCCCCCCGCTGGCAGTCACTTCCTCTCTGTGCTATTTCCATCTCACTGTGAGCCATGATATTGCATAAACAGTGAGGGAAGTGATGGGAGCTGAGAAAGAAAGGAAGAGCGAAAAGGGGAGAGATGGAAGAGGAGAGAGAAGAAGTGGAACACAGACTAACAGTCAGAGCTCCCAGTGTAAACACCATCTGGGAAAGTGGAGGGAGAGAGTTGCCGTTCAGCCGGGGAGAGAGGGTTGCCGTTCAGCCGGGGAGAGAGGGAGAGAGAGTCGCCGTTCAGCCGGGGAGAGAGGGTTGCCATTCAGCCGGGGAGAGAAAGAGGGTTGAGAGAAAGAGACCAAGTGTGCTTGAATAGTTTGACCATATTTGGAAAGCTTTCCTGAACTCTCCATCTCCGTCTCTCTCCCTCTCTGACAAACAGGGTTAGTGCAAACACACTGACAAGTGTACTCATGTTGACAAACGCAGAATTAGAGGAAGGTCATCAACATACAGCAGACTTTGCATTCATTGGTTCCTAATACTAATGTTTCGTCAAATCAGTTCAATTCGTCCTTACAGCACCATAAATAAACAAAAACAAGTTGTGGTGCATCAACACAACATGGCTGTACATAAACAAACACAAGGTAAACACTGGGGTGACCGTAGACAAACGAGAGGAAACGGTGCACACCAAGACACACACACACACCAACACGGGTTAACGCGACAGCTGCTTCCTCTCAGACACAGTGTGTTTACAAAAAGGATACAGACCCATTTACCACGTTAAAGAGGCCGGGGGGGGGGGGGGGGGTGTATGTGTGTCCATCTGTTCCTGGATCTGTGCACAATATGGCCTATGGGCAACTTCTAAACAATTAGCAGGACACCAACTCCCGTCAAAAGGAAGAAGCTGAGCGGATTAAAACAGGCTGGAGCGATGAATACAACATATGAGGTGTTAATGTTAGCATTATAAATGAATGATATCTGGAGTCAGAGTGTGTGTGTCAAAATCCGTCCGGATTAAATATTGACACCGTCGCAGTAAGTCAACGAACGATGCACCCCTTCCCCCCTGAAACAGGGGCTTACTCACACATAGTTCCACATAGCGGGCAAACCACAACTTCTTCAGGGGAAACAGTGTCTCGCATTCTTTGGAAAATGGGACTCTGCTTTAGTGTGATTAATATTCATTTTTTAGACCCAAGACACTGATACAAGGTCAGTTTTTGGTGTTTCTGTACGCATTATAGTGAGGATTGGGAAAGGGAAGCTGATCCTAGAGCTGTGTCTACAGGCAACTTCTACCTGGGGTTTCAGTAACCGTCTCGTCTGAGAGCGCGAAAGCAAGTGCGAGAGCTAGCAAGATGGAGCGAAGGAATGAGGTGAGAGGGATAGAGGAGAGAGAGTGCAAGAGTGCAAAAGATTAATGGCGATAGCAAAAGAGAGTGACTGCAGATATAATAGCGTGAGCTATCAAGATAGAAAGCGTGAGAAAGAAAGAGAAAGGTCGAGCAGCCATTCAGGTGTGTTATCTAATCAGTTTGTGTTGATAGATGGATGATGAATAAACTCTACTGACCTGTACTCTGGTATTTTCTCTGCCAGGCCAAAGTCCCCCACCACGGCCGTACACTGGTCGCTGTCCCAACGCACCAGGCAGTTCTACAGGACAGAACCAGCAAGACAGAGGTCAGGACCTGTATTCACAATGTAGGAGTGCTGATCTAGGATCAGGTTGCTGCTTTCCATGTCATCTTATTCATTATGATCCAGAAGGCAAAAACGATCCTAGATCAGCACTCCCACTCTGAGAAGCTTTATGAATTTGGGCCCTGGTAAATCCATTTACAGTTAGCTGTGTGTACTTGAGTATGCACTATTTAGTGTTCAGGAGTGTGTGTACGTGTAGCGTGCCACGCGTGTGCATGCCAAAGTATGTACAATTACCCGACATTATGTGTATCCATATAAGTGAGTGTACCTGTGTGTGTGTGTGTGTGTGTGTGTGTGTGTGTGTGTGTGTGTGTGTGTGTGTGTGTGCCTTGGATGTGAGGTCTCTATGGAAGATGCCTCTGCTGTGGAGGTACTGTAGGCCCCTAGCGATGTCTAGAGACAGGCCCATCCTGACTGACCATGACAGGTACCGGTCACTGTCCAGCAGCTGCTCCAGGTTACCCCCGTTGATGTACTGGAAGTAACCATGACAACCACAGACAAGTGTCAATCAAAACAGGTGACTGCTGTAACCATGACAACACCACACACACACATGTCAAACGACAGGTTTCCTTAACCTTTATTTACAGGTTATTCTCCATTGAGATACATTTTTTTTTGCAAGAGCGGTAACCATGACACGCATCAAATCAAATAACTGTCTCTACTTCAAATATTCCCCCAGCGTAACCATGACGACCATTAAGGAAGGAAGCATCAGGTATTAAAAGTAGTTCAATCTGTCCAATAGTTTCTACATCCTAGTCAGTCAGTCTACCCTAGTTTAGAGGGGATCTTACCTCTGTTAATGCATGGAGCTGTCCCTCATTAACACACACCCCTACAAACCTGGGACAGGAGAGAGGAAGATTATCAGAAAACATAACTGGAGGTCACCCTACATGCCTTATGACAAGTCTTACAATGCGTTATAAGTGCATGGTTTAAATGTGTAAACTGAGGATTTCCCATTTAGACCAAAGCTTTCATATGGATATGCACAGAGTGTGTTTTAATAAAAGTCGAAGAGACCTGAGTATGTTGGGGTGAGACAGGCGGTTCATCAGTTGGACCTCCCTCAGCATGTTAGCCCTGTTACTGGCCATGGTGTTCATCTTCAGAGCCATCACCCGCCCACTGATACGGTGCTGCACCTGCAGAGAGACAGGAGGTGAGAGAACCATCACTAGGGTCAGAGACCATCCGTATGATACAGACATGACAACCAGCATTAGAGAAAGGACACCATTGGACAAGCAGTGAACATCAACTATACTGTGAGAAAGAATGGGAAGTGAGGTGAGATCTTATTGGTCCAAAACGTTGTTCTCCGGACTGTCTGTATCAAGTTGTAGAATGTGTGTTTGCGCCTGAGTGCCTAGCCCAGAGTGTCCTAGCCCAGAGTGTCCTAGCCCAGAGTGTCCTAGCCCAGAGTGTCCTAGCCCAGAGTATCCTAGACTGGACTATAAGGCTCTATTCTGGCCAAGCTGGGTGTTTTGTTGGAGAGTCTGTCTGGTGGTCACCATGGTGATCTGGTGTCTCATCCCCTATATGTCTGAGTGTGTTTTGAGGGGCTTGGACTCCTGCCCTTCTAACTAATAAACCATAAACAGCAGATATATAACCACTAAGGACTCCAACAGTCCACTTAGTACTGTGAGTGGGAGGGTGTACATGTCATGTTTGTCAGTATGTGAGAGTGTGTGTGTGAATGTGTGATTCATTTTGTGACTGTGTGAGAGAAAGAGTGTGTGTGTCACATCTAGCAGACAGAGAGATAAACACATTCTGGCTTCTAACTCCTAATTCAAGGCTACAGCATGCAGTCAACCAGTCACTATTAGGGCCATCCTCCTCTGAACTGCAGTCAGAGATAGGGTAAGGAAGGGTAGAGAGGCAAACACCACTTACTCACTCCCACACACTCTGTGGAGTGGCCACTGCTGATGTATGGAGGCAATCTGTGCCTTTACACATTTATGACCCCACTTCCAGTAAGAGCTAGTACCGTCTGAGGATTAGCTCCATGGTTTCTTCCTCCATCTAATGTATTACATCTGTCTATAGGATTTAACTACATTAGTAGAGATGTACTCCTGGCCAGTAGGATCATACAGAATAGTCTCGCTCTCACACACACTTTTGCGCACTCGCACATAAACACCATAACGCAGACATGAGCCAACTGCTGAAATAGCAGAACTGAACGGTCTCTGGTAGGGCTGTGCCATCACTATACCAGGTAGGGCTGTGCCATCACTATACCAGGTAGGGCTGTGCCATCACTATACCAGGTAGGGCTGTGCTGTCTGTCTCTGTCTAGGCCATCTGCTTTGTCCCGTCCACATGCAGAATTTCAGCTCAAATAAACAAGTGCTCAGTAATCATGGATACAGGCTGTTGCCCAGTGACCACAAGCAAAAATAGTTCTGCCACGGCAATGTGGTGTGAGAGTCTACCTCAGGTGTGTGTGTGTGTGTGTGTGTGTGTGTGTGTGTCAGTGCTCCAGTCACAGCTAAACAGGGAGTAGGTGTGATATCAGCATTCTAGTGACAGGAACATGGAGACGCCTAATAAATCTTACTCTCACAGATCTATTTGGCTAAAAGCTTCATTTTCTTGGTGTGAGACCAGGGGATTCATGTGAGGCTGGTAGCTGAACATGGTCCATAATAACAAGCAGGGAGGACCTGACTGTCTTCCTGGGGAGCCTTTAAATAGAACATGATCCAGTGTCTAAACTCTAGACCAGGACCTGATACACTAAATGGTAAGGAGTGTGTTGCACAACATCAGTACTGAGCTCCTCACACACACGACAACTTCAGTATCGAATGCTATGACAGCCCTTCCCCGCTCTTGCGGTGTGTGTGTGTGTGTGTGTGTGTGTGTGTGTGTGTGTGTGGTAAGCCTTGCAGGAACAAGTAAGAGCATGCAGCTTCTGGACATCAAAAGAAGTCTCTCTCTACTGCTCCACAGTAGAAACATTGTCCACTACATCTTTTTCCTCTCTCTCTCTCTGGGCTGACTCACAGTCCTCCTTCAGTCACACCTCCACAACCACCTGGATCATGTTCATTAGGGCACACCGTAGCAAAATGTTTTGCAACAGAAAATGTGTCCAGGCAGTCACTCACTCCCTGTTTAAGTCAGTTTTTTCCCCCAGTGCGGTGCCAAATGAACACATCCCATATGGGGGTAGCAGGGACAACAAGCTCCTTATACACTACAGAACATGTGGGGACACGGGGCGTGTAAACACACAGCGCAGGGAAAAATGTAAATAAGTCAAGTATGCGCACATGTATTTAAATACCAAGTATGTGCGCACATGTGTGTATAGTCTACATGTGAAACAATAACAAACACCTCTTGATTGACAGGAGCACAAGCCCTGCCTGGAGGGGAGAAATAATAGAAGCAGGGAAAGTGCTGTGCTAGCGAAGTCCCGCCTCCTCCTCCTAATCCCAGATCCACAGCCAATGAACACAGCCTGACTGACTCATAATGTCACTCTTTGTAACAGATCACAAACATGGGTGACATTCGATGATGGATAGGTGTGTGTGTGTGTGTGTGATGCTAGGTTTGTCTAGGTAAAATAAAATCACTGCTGAGTCTGCACAGAGGAGATTACTGACTCAGACAGAGGTAGGTGTGTGTGTGTGTATGTGAACATGTGCAAGTATGTAAGTGCATGTGAGTGTGTGTGTGTGTTTACCAACATTGTTGATTACCAACAATGACGAGACCGCCTACAGCAGGGGTGTCAAACTCATTTTAGCTCAGGGGCCACATGGAGGAAAATCTATTCCCAAGTGGGCCGGACCGGAAAAATCATGGTATATATAACATAAAAACAACAACTTCAGATTGTTTTCTTTGTTTTAATACGATCAACATACAACATAAAGCTGGAGCCTGAGGACAGTGTGTCCAAAATAGTACAAGCACAACATCACTATTAATCATAAAACACGTCAAGTTTATTTGAAAATTCTAAAGAAAAATAACACACAAACACACAATGCCTCAGTGATTAACAGAACTGTTTCACAGATCACAGAACTATATCAGGGTGTCATTTCTCAGGCAGAAATGTAGATAAAAAGAATGAAATCCTGTTCCCCAAACAAGTGCAAGAACCACAGAGTCAAGAATAGGTTAAATATACAAATAAAATCAATTAAAAACAATAGCACAGCAACATAAAAACATAAACATAAATCTGAAAGCGTTATTCAAACACCCGTAAAAGTCCCGTTATTTCATCTTTGAACCGCTTCATGTCTGCCACATGTTGGGTCGCGCACACATTTTTCAGACAGGGGAAGTGAGCTGCATCACCACCGGCAAGTTGCGTCTCCCACAATGACAGCTTCAACTTGAAAGAACGTATGCTGTCATAATACTGCGTGACAACTTTGTTGCGCCCTTGCAGCTGTTTGTTCAAGTTATTCAGGTGCTCTGTAACATCCACCATAAATGCAAGGTCCTGCATCCATTCTGCGGAATGAAATTCTAACATTGGTTTGCCCTTTTCTTCCATGAACTGTTCAATTTCTTCTCGTAAATCAAAGAAACGCCTCAGCACAGCACCTCGGCTTAACCATCTTACCTCAGTGTGGTATGGCAGGCCATAGATGTGATCTTTCTCTCTGAGAAGGCTGTCAAACTGACGGTGATTCAGGCTTCTGGATCGGATGAAATTAACAGTTTGGATGACCACCTTCATGACGTTATCCATCTTTAATGACTTGCAACACAAAGCCTCCTGGTGCAAAATACAGTGAAAAGTCAAAAAATCACATCCTCCATTTGCAGATTGCACTTTCTCTCTGAACTTTGTCACAACGCCTGCTTTTTTCCCGATCATTGAGGGCGCACCATCTGTAGCCAGGCTGAAAGCGCGGGACCAGTCCACTCCGACCCTGTCCAGCGCGCCGACGAGTGCGGTAAAAATATCAGCTGCTGTCGTTGTATCTGTCATCGGCACCAACTCCACGAACTCCTCGGTGACGGTCAATGTGTCATCAACTCCGCGGATGAAAATGGCCAGTTGTGCAACATCTGTAATGTCCGTGCTTTCATCAATTGCAACCGAAAACGCAATAAATGACTTTACTTTTTGCTTCAACTGGCTGTCCAAATCCACTGAAAGATCGGAAATCCTGTCTGCAACTGTGTTTCTTGTCAGGCTGATATTTGCAAAAGCCTGCCGCTTTTCAGGGCACACAATCTCCGCTGCCTTCATCATGCATGTTTTTACAAATTCACCCTCACTAAATGGTTTTGAAGCCACTGCGATTTCATTAGCAATGAGGTAGCTAGCTTTCACTGCAGCGTCACTGATGTCTCAGCTGTGAGTAAACACAGACTGCTGTTTCTTCAGACCCGCCAACAGTTCATTCACCTTCTCTCATCTCCGCTGTCCTTGAAAGTTGTCATATTTGTCGGCATGAAGACTCACATAGTGGCGACGAAGGTTATATTCTTTCAGCACTGCAACATGCTCTGAACACACCAAACATACAGCTTTCCCATTCAATTCCGTGAATAAATAGGATGACCATTTTTCTTGGAACACTCTGCACTCTGCGTCCACTTTTCTCTTTTTTGACAGAGACATATTGGGGCAATGAGGGTGCCAAAGCACATAATGTTAAAAGTAGAAGCCGTAATAAATATCGCGGGCAAAACAAAGTAGCTCATTGGCTGCACGTGCTTGACCTACTTGCTCTCCCCCGGTATAAACAGTTTGCTTGCTTAACACAATTGCTATTGCGTCATCCAGTGGACGCAATTGGAACAGCAGTTTATTTTATAGAAAAATTGCAGCGCATTTTTATACTTTACAACAAAAAAAATTATTATTATTTTTTTTTTTTTTCAAAATCATCTCACGGGCTGGATTAAACCCCTTTGCGGGCCTGATCCGGCCCGCGGGCCGTACGTTTGACACCCCTGGCCTACAGGGAGGAGGTGAGGGCTCTGGGAGTGTGGTGCCAGGAAAATAACCTCTCACTCAACATCAACAAAACAAAATGAGCTGATCATGGACTTCAGGAAACAGCAGAGGGTGCACCCACCTATCCACATTGACGGGACCGCAATGGAGAAGGTGGAAAGCTTCAAGTTCCTACCCGCCCTCCAAGACACATACAACACCCGATGTCACAGGAAGGCCAAAAAGACATCAACCCCCCGAGCCACTGCCTGTTCACCCCGCTATCATCCAGAAGGCGAGGTCAGTACAGGTGCATCAAAGCTGGGACCGAGAGATAGAAGCTGTTTTTCAATCTCAAGGCCATCAGACTGTTAAATAGCCATCACTAGCACATTAGAGGCTGCTGCTGCCTATTGAAATCACTGGCCACTTTAAGAAATGGAACACTAGTCACTTTAATAATGTTTACATATCTTGCACTACTCATCTCATATGTATATACTGTATTCTATTCTATCTTAGTCCATGCCGCTCTGTCACTGCTTGTCCATATACAGTGGGGAGAACAAGTATTTGATACTTTTTTTAAAAAATTTATTTAACCTTTATTTAACCAGGTAAGCCAGTTGAGAACAGGTTCTCATTTACAACTGCCGATTTTCCTACTTACAAAGCATGTAGAGGTCTGTCATTTTTATCATAGGTACACTTCAACTGTGAGAGACGGATTCTAAAACAAAAATCCAGAAAATCACATTGTATGATTTTTAAGTAATTAATTTGCATGACATAAGTATTTGATCACCTACCAACCAGTAAGAATTCCGGCTCTCACAGACCTGTTAGTTTTTCTTTAAGAAGCCCTCCTGTTCTCCACTCAATACCTGTATTAACTGCACCTGTTTGAACTCGTTACCTGTATAAAAGACACCTGTCCACACACTCAAACAGACTCCAACCTCTCCACAATGGCCAAGACCAGAGAGCTGTGTAAGGACATCAGGGATAAAATTGTAGACCTGCACAAGGCTGGGATGGGCTACAAGACAATAGGCAAGCAGCTTGGTGAGAAGGCAACAATTGTTGGCGCAATTATTAGAAAATGGAAGAAGTTCAAGATGACGGTCAATCATCCTCGGTCTGGGGCTCCATGCAAGATCTCACCTCGTGGGCATCAATGATCATGAGGAAGGTGAGGGATCAGCCCAGAACTACACGGCAGGACCTGGTCAATGACCTGAAGAGAGCTGGGACCACAGTCTAAAAGAAAACCATTAGTAACACACTACGCCGTCATGGATTAAAATCCTGCAGCGCACGCAAGGTCCCCTTGCTCAAGCCAGCGCATGTCCAGGCCCGTCTGAAGTTTGCCAATGACCATCTGGATGATCCAGAGGAGGAATTGGAGAAGGTCATGTGGTCTGATGAGACAAAAATAGAGCTTTTTGGTCTAAACTCCACTCGCCATGTTTGGAGGAAGAAGAAGGATGAGTACAACCCCAAGAACACCATCCCAACCATGAAGCATGGAGGTGGAAACATTCTTTGGGGATGCTTTTCTGAAAAAGGGACAGGACGACTGCACCGTATTGAGGGGAGGATGGATGGGGCCATGTATCGCGAGATCTTGGCCAACAACCGCCTTCCCTCAGTAAGAGCATTGAAGATGGGTTGTGGCTGGGTTTTCCAGCATGACAACGACCCGATACACCAGGGTAACTAAGGAGTGGCTCCGTAAGAAGCATCTCAAGGTCCTGGAGTGGCCTAGCCCGTCTCCAGACCTGAACCCAATAGAACATCTTTGGAGGGAGCTGAAAGTCTGTATTGCCCAGCGACAGCCCCGAAACCTGAAGGATCTGGAGAAGGTCTGTATGGAGGAGTGGGCCAAAATCCCTGCTGCAGTGTTTGCAAACCTGGTCAAGACCTACAGGAAACGTATGATCTCTGTAATTGCAAACAAAGGTTTCTGTACCAAATATGAAGTTCTGCTTTTCTGATGTATCAAATACTTATGTCATGCAATAAAATGCTAATTAATTACTTAACATTTTTTGTTTTAGATTCCGTCTCTCACAGTTGAAGTGTACCTATGATAAAAATTACAGACCTCTACATGCTTTGTAAGTAGGAAAACCTGCAAAAATCGGCAGTGTATGAAATACTTGTTCTCCCCACTGTATGTATATAGTCTTAAATCCCATTCCTTACTAGTTTTGTGTGTATTGGGTATATGTTGTGAAATTTTTAAATATTACTTGTTAGATATTACTGCACTGTCGGACCTAGAAGCACAAGCATTTCGCTACACCTGCTATAACATCTGCTAAACACGTGTATGTGACAAATAACATTTGAAGTGCGTGTAAGTGCGTGTGTGTGTGTAAGTGCGTGTGAGTGTGTAACAGTCTGTTTAAGGAGTAGTTTCTCAGGACGGCTGTTTTTCCTTTCTCTGCTCTTTCCAACGGGCAGACATTCCACAACCAGACTCTCCTCTGATAGAACTCTGTTCAGCTCTGACAACAGGATCCTAGAGGAGAGCCCTCAACACTTAATCCAGCCTGTCAATCAAACACACGCATACACAGACTTCCACGGTCACTCAAACTGTGAAACGCTGTCTGAGTCAGTAATCTCCCCTGTGCAAATGCAGTAGTGATTTTACCCTGACAGGCCTAGCATCATCAGTCTCCTCCTATGTATGTCTGACAGACATATCAGTGTGGATGTCGGATCACCACCTCAAGCTGAACCTCGGCAAGACGGAGCTGCGCTTCCTCCTGGGGAAGGACTGCCCGCTCCATGATCTCGCCATCACGGTTGACAACTCCATTGTGTCCTCCTCCCAGAGTGCAAAGAACCTTGGCGTGACCCTGGACAACACCCTGTCGTTCTCCACTAACATCAAAGCGGTGACCCGATCCTGCAGGTTCATGCTCTACAACATTCGTAGAGTACGACCCTACCTTACACAGAAAGCGGCACAGGTCCTAATCCAGGCACTTGTCATCTCCTGTCTGGATTACTGCAACTCACTGTTGGCTGGGCTCCCTGCCTGTGCCATTAAACCCCTACAACTTATCCAGAACGCTGCAGCCCATCTGGTGTTCAACCTTCCCAAGTTCTCTCATGTCACCCGCTCCTCCGCACACTCCACTGGCTTCCAGTTGAGGCTCGCATCTACTACAAGACCATGGTGCTTGCCTACGGAGCTGTGAGGGGAACTGCACCTCCTTACCTTCAGGCTCTGATCAGACCCTACACCCAAACGAGGGCACTACGTTCATCCACCTCTGGCCTGCTAGCCCCCCTACCTCTACAGAAGCACAGTTCCCGCTCAGCCCAGTCAAAGCTATTCGCTGCTCATGGCACCCCAATGGTGGAACAAGCTCCCCCATGATAGCGGAGTCACTGACCACCTTCCGGAGACACTTGAAACCCTACCTCTTTAAGGAATACCTGGAATAGTATAAAAGTAATCCTTTAATGAGAGAAATAAGTATTTGACCCCTCTGCAAAACATGACTTAGTACTCGGTGGCAAAACCCTTGTTGGCAATCACAGAGGTCAGACATTTCTTGTAGTTGGCCACCAGGTTTGCACACATCTCAGGAGGGATTTTGTCCCACTCCTCTTTGCAGATCTTTTCCAAGTCATTAAGGTTGAGGCTGACGTTTGGCAACTCGAACCTTCAGCTCCCTCCACAGATTTTCTATGGGATTAAGGTCTGGAGACTGGCTAGGCCACTCCATGACCTTAATGTGCTTCTTCTTGAGCCACTCCTTTGTTGCTTGGCCGTGTGTTTTGGGTCATTGTCATGCTGGAATACCCATCCACAACCCATTTTTCAATGCCCTGGCTGAGGGAAGGAGGTTCTCACCCAAGATTTGACAGTACATGGCCCCATCCATCGTCCCTTTGATGCGGTGAAGTTGTCCTGTCCCCTTAGCAGAAAAACACCCCCAAAGCATAATGTTTCCACCTCCATGTTTGACGGTGGGGATGGTGTTCTTGGGGTCATAGGCAGCATTCCTCCTCCTCCAAACACAGCGAGTTGAGTTCATGCCAAAGACCTCGATTTTGGTCTCATCTGACCACAACACTTTCACCCAGTTCTCCTCTAAATCATTCAGATGTTCATTGGCAAACTTCAGACGGGCCTGTATATGTGCTTTCTTGAGCAGGGGGACCTTGTGGGCGCTGCAGGATTTCAGTCCTTCACGGCGTAGTGTGTTACCAATTGTTTTCTTGGTGACTATGGTCCCAGCTGCCTTGAGATCATTGACAAGATCCTCCCGTGTAGTTCTGGGCTGATTCCTCACCGTTCTCATGATCATGGTCCTCTGTAGCTCAGCTGGTAGAGCACGGCGCTTGTAACGCCAAGGTAGTGGGTTCGATCCCCGGGACCACCCATACACAAAAAATTTATGCACGCATGACTGTAAGTCGCTTTGGATAAAAGCGTCTGCTAAATGGCATATTATTATTATTATTATCATCATTGCAACTCCACGAGGTGAGACCTTGCATGGAGCCCCAGGCAGAGGGAGATTGACAGTTCTTTTGTGTTTCTTCCATTTGCGAATAATCGCACCAACTGTTGTCACCTTCTCACCATCCTGCTTGGCGATGGTCTTGTAGCCCATTCCAGCCTTGTGTAGGTCTACAATCTTGTCCCTGACATCCTTGGAGAGCTCTTTGGTCTTGGCCATGGTGGAGAGTTTGGAATCTGATTGATTGATTGCTTCTGTGGACAGGTGTCTTTTATACAGGTAACAAACTGAGTTTGAGCACTCCTTTTAAGGGTGTGCTCCTAATCTCAGCTCGTTACCTATATAAAAAGACACCTGGGAGCCAGAAATCTTTCTGATTGAGAGGGGGTCAAATACTTATTTCCCTCTTTAAAATGCAAATCAATTTATAAAATTTTTGACATGCATTTTTCTGGATTTTTTAGTTGTTATTCTGTCTCTCACTGTTCAAATAAACCTACCATTAAAATTATAGACTGATCATTTCTTTGTCAGTGGGCAAACGTACAAAATCAGCAGGGGATCAAATACTTTTTTCCCCCTCACTGTATATACATTTTACCAATATGATAATGTTGACATTTGAAGCATTTAGCTAGGAAAACATCTGCATGTTGTTTTGGCAATGAAAATCAGGTGAGTGTGAATGGGGCGGCAGGTAGCCTAGTGGTTAAGAGGGTTGGGCCAGTAACCGAAAGGTCGCTAGTTCGAATCCCAAGCTGACTACTGTAGGTGAAAAATCTGTCCATGTGCCCTAATTGCTCCTGTAAGTCCCTCTGGATAAGTCTGCTAAATGACTTAAAACATAAAAAATGCGAACACACACAGGGTCTCCCACAAACACAGAGACTCTCACTCACGCTGTTTGTGAATGTTGTTGACAGTGTGGCACACTCTTGCCGTCACTGTTTCCACACGGTTTCAAAAGCAGCTGGCAGTAGCGTGGTACCGACATGCTAATGGATACTGTTCACCTACTGGACTTATGACACAGAGCTTTGCCATTTGTCGTACGCATATTTTGAATAATTGAGGTCCCCTACTACTAGAAAATCATTAACCAGTATTGAACAGTATTACAAAATACAGTGGTGCACCTTGGTTGGTTTGTCTGTTGGACTGGTCTTTGAGTTACTCTTATTTTAGATTAGATTTTTCTTTCAGTTTACGTATAGTTGTTAACTAGCAGATACCGTAGACTATGTCATTATGCTAACACTAATTAGTAATTGCACTAGCGCTAGTTAACAACTCCCTTCAAACCGCAGGCAGAGACATAAAAATAGTATCCACAGGTTAATCTGACTCATTGTCAAAATCCCAAAGAATAACACTTGACACCTGAGGAAGGTCTGTGTTCCTTCCCATAGAATTATACAAAAATAAACATAACATGCAACAATTTCAACGACTTTACTGAGTTACAGTTCATATAAGGAATTTAGTCAATTGAAATAAATTCATTAGGACCTAATCTAGGGATTTCACATGACTGGGTAGGGGCGCAGCCATGGGTGGGCCTGGGAGGGCATCGGCCCAACCACTGGGGAGCCAGACCTGCAAATCAGAATTAGTTTTATTACAGACCGAAATAGTCCCCAGTTTAATTAGCTGTCCGGGTGGCTGGTCACAGACAATCCTGCAGGTGAAAAATACTGATGTGGAGGTCCTGGGCTGGCGTGGTTACATGAGGTCTGCGGTTGTGAGGCTGGTTGGACGTACTGCCAAATTCTCTAAAAACTAAGTTGGAGGCGGCTTATGGTAAAGAAATTAACATTCAATTCTCTGGCAACAGCTCTGGTGGACATTCCTGCAGTCAGCATGCCAATTGCACACTCCCTCAACTTGAGACATCTGTGGCATTGTGGTGACAAAACTGCACATTTTAGAGTGGCCTTTTATTGTCCCCAGCACAAGGTGCACCTGTGTAATGATCATACTGTTTAATCAGCTCCTTGATATGCCACACCTGTCAGGTGGATGGATTATCTTGGCAAAGGAGAAATGTTCACTAACAGGGATGTAAACAAATTTGTGCAAAACATTTCAGAGAAATAAGCTTTTTGTGCGTATGGAACATTTCTGGGATCTTTTATTTCAGCTCATGAAACATGTGACCAACACTTTACACGTTGCGTTTATATTTTTGTTCAGTATAGAATGACTAGAATGGAACATTCTAATTCTAAGTGTGTTCACCTCACTTCGTTAGAACAGTAATAGAATTACTATTAATTATATTATATTTCTGTGGCCAAAACAATGATCATTTGTGATTCAGTCAGATGATCTGAATAAGGAAGTACCAGGACTCCTGCCTGTACAGGAAGTAACACTTACAGTACGGCAGGCAGGTCGGTCTACGGAGCGCTCGCTCTCACAAAAAGATGAAACGCAGCACCTGAAGGATTAGTCTTGACACGCGCACCCCTCCTCATATTGCACAATGGCAGCGTGGAGGTATGAATACCTGCCTGCGACTGACTGCTGTGAGGAAAGCATCCATTGATCCAGAGTGTGTGTGAGAAAGAAGGCACTGAATAACACTAGATGGCAGGATGACAAGAGTATTGTGCCGCTCCGTTTATAATCCAGCATCAAGATGCAACGCTTCAGAGGGTGTGTGTGTGAACACAGAGTTGCGAGGATCATTTATGGCTCTATTACCACAGTCTGTCATGTCATCTGAACATTATAACAGTTAGATTGGGACTCGATGTAATCGCTGCAGTAACAAATTTGCATTTATATGCAGTTATCAAAGGGCAGGTTGCTCAATCAAGAGAGGCATCTTTACAGCTGGCACTTGCAAACCCCAAGTCATTTGAATGCTCACTGCCCAGCCAAAGGGCAACATGGCTGGGAGGAGGAGTGATCGGGAGTGTGATAGAGTAGGAGGTTAAGTTATGCTCCTACTGTAATGACAGGTCTAAGATACAATTTCCATAACTTAACCATAGTTAACTGTGCTAACATGGTCCCAGAACAGTTGTTTTAAAGGGGCCTGAGAGTGAGATTCTTAACATGGTTACGGTCATGGTTAACTGGACTCAGGTCAGTTGTTGAAGGTATATCTAGGGCCCAGAGTTTTTCCTGATCATGTGACTGACCAGGAAATACTACAGGACCCTAGTTTATATGCTATAACTTGCGCCTGGAGTTTTTCCAGGTCAGGACACATTAAAGAAAAACTCCTGGCCCAACGTTATGAATATTACAATGCTCTGTGAAACAGGAGCAGGACTAGGACTATATGAAGTCCATGACTGTGGCACAAATTGACACTATTCCTTATGTAGCCCATAGAGCTCTGGTCAAAATAGTGCACTATGTAGGGAATAGGGCAGTGGTTCCAAAACTTGGGGTTGTGTCCCCATGTGAGATCCCCCCCAAATTGAAATGGGGTTACCTGAGAAAATCTGTAATCTTATCAAACAAATGAATATATTTTTTCTCTTCAAATGGGTATAGAACACAAGCTTTAAGGGTCAACTAAAGACCTCTTACACTATTCGAGCTATTGTTACCCGATGCATAAGGTAACAATGCATGGTCATCATGTTTCATGCTTGGTACCAATGATGACCTTAACAGGGACACTCAGATGCCCAAACTGAGTTAGGTAGGCCATCTTATCCCACACAGTTTAGCACAAAAAAACAAGTCAGTAGGCCAAGCTAGTCTGGACCCATATTCACAAAGCATCTCAGAGTAGGAGTGCTGATCTAGGATCAGGACCTTTTTGTCCATATTAATTATGATCAAGAAGTAAAAACTGATCCTAAATCAGCACTCTTACTCTGAGACACTTTGTGAATAGGCTACAGGACAGGCCCTGATCTCCAAACTCTTACATGTAATTTATAGGCAACTTACCTTGAAGACTTCTGAGAAGAAGCCTGAGCCAATCTTCTCGCATATGAAGTCATCAATCCGGGCCAGGCTGGACACAGCGCTGCGCAGTGCCCGGTAGGACGAGGGCCTGATCCGGTTCGGCCCGTGGACCGCGTGGATGGGTGGTTCCGCCGCCTCCTGGCACCGGTCCGGGTCGACCCGCTCCATCTCGGCTATCCCGGGACTTGGAGGGGGACTAAGACGTGCACGCAGTTTAAAATCCAACGTTTCTGTTTACATTTCTCATGTCCTCCGCAGCAGCGCGAGGGTCCGGTGAAACCGATGAGCTTCACACTAGATGCTGAATTTCAGAACGAGGGTGAAAGAGCGATTAATATCGCTGTCGAAATCCCCTCGAACTCTAACAAAAAACTGCAGTCTGTGTCCTCAAGTTCGGGTATTTCTTCTTTAGAAACTAAAGTCTACACAGCTTCCTTCCATCATGCCGCATCCGGCAGCGGTTGTGCGCGGTGTTTGATTCCGTGACTGAAAAGATTTAGGCAGGCTCTCTCCTCTAGTTCTCCCTCTACCCCCTGCTGTAACTGCGCACTCTCAGGCTGCAGCAGTCAAAATCAGCCTCCTCTGGTCTGCATACGTATGCAGCGAAAAGGGCTCCTATTCTGTACCAATTGAAACCGGGTTTCCAGTGCGTATTTGTTGACAGAACGCTTAGCAGACAGGCTCGCTGTTCGTTCGATGAGGAAATGAGAACAGAACTCCCTGTAAAATAGAAAATGGGGTGTTTACTGTGGCTCGCCGGTTATTTATTTGTGTAGCCTAGGCCTACTTATCTGTGTCTAGTCTGTCCTGATACAGGTCATGGAAGTAGTTGAGTTGAGCCCTTGATCATGACTCAGTTCCATTCCATTACATTACACATAAGGGTCGTTGAACAAAGCCCCGACCCTTGGTCTGAACATTAACACGCATCGCTTGCGGTAAGGTAGGTTTTGGAAACATAAGGACCATATCTTTCATATTAGTGAGAAATATTTTTCTAAAAACTAAAGTTTCAATTGGTATACACCTTTATAGGGTAAGGGTTCCCACACGGCCATATTTCCATGTTACAGCGCTTGTTTACGGAAAACTGACAGAAGACAGAGTGGACAACCTGTGCCAATTAGCCATCTGCGTCGCTGAACACCTGTGTGTAAAGGGAAGACAGATGCCAAACTGTTGTCAGTGAAAAATACTGTCAGCTGCAACTGTTAAAACCGGTTAACACAGTGTACAGTAAAAGTGGGTATTTTGCATTTGTTAAATTATTTTGGTGTGAAATGAGAGGGCTTTGTGTTTCTAGAACCATACCGCAATTGAGAATCGATTCACGTTGTGATGGAATATTTGGCTGTTTTGGCTTCCAGAGCCAATTTGCCTTTAAAACAGAACATGTAAGGTCCTTGGACTATAGGAAGTAACGTTAGGCTACTTTAGTCCATTATTGGGCTAGGAAGCAGTGCGATATCGCCATTATTGTTTTAGACAAACTTTAAAATAGACTACAGAGCTGCTATAAACCTGAGCCAATCGCATAGGCTATTAAAGGCTAGGAGCCTATTCAAATGTACAGTATTTTGATTGATCACTCAATAGAAACGAGACTGCCAGGCTGTACAAACACAGGCAAATATTCAGGTTGAAAACAAACAACCGGTGGACAGGCGGCGAGAGCTTGATGCTGTCGGTAAACAGTGCGCGAGAATATTCGTGAGAGACCTTCCGCCACCGTCAGCTTGACTGCGGGTCGTAAATTATAAATGACGAACTGGGCTGTGTTTTGGGGGTTTGTCAGTCTAGTCTCCCACACAATTGGTTATGCACTAAATATAAGCCTACACTATTTCAAAATGGAAAATAATGACAAAAACACCGACTGTCTTTACCTCGGTTATATAGGGGAGGAATCATGCGTAACTGCGCGAAAGCATGGATGCGACTTACCTGCAATTGATCAAGTCTACAGGTAGTCTAGACTACGGTGTCCTCAGCCTCATGAGCCCTGACCCGACCGAGGTGTTGGGTTACCGGTCCTTTTATTTCACTAATTAATCAGCCTTGTCTACCGTCCCGCTGCAGCACGGTTCTCGTTTTACGTCCCCTTGCCTCCATTTGTCGTGGCTCAGCAGTACACCGAGAAAACAGTGCGACTTTTAGTGTGGCTTCTTATTGGAGGAGAAGCCGCTGGGCGGGGCCATACGTCATCACTTTCAGAAACTTCACCTGCGGGGGCGCTTTCAAATTAAAAACAATTTTCAGCAAGGCAAGGCAAGGTGAACACACTTCGCCTGGCATAGTGCGCAGTATATCCTACAGTAGGCTATGCAATCAAATTAAATCAATCACATTTATTTTATTAAGGCCATTTTACATCAGCAGTTTTCACAAAGTGGTTTACAGATAGCCTACCCAGCCTAAAACCCCAAAGAACAAGCAATGCAGAAGCACAGTGGCCAGGAAAAAACTCGATAGAAGACAATAATTTAGGAAGATACCTAGAGAGGAACCAGGCTCAAAGGGGTGGCTAGTCCTCTGTAGGCCTACCGGGTAGAGTAGGCTCTATGTGCGACACTCCACATAGCCTAACCAGACACCTATTTATAATTTTTCTTGCAGTTGACTGTGAACATCGAGGAACACACCTCAGCATTCGACCTCAGTGCCACCCTGTGATAAATTGCTTCTTACTGTAGCCCCATCTCACACCACATACCGACATAGTTCACATTATAACATGCTGTGGCCACATTCGGCCCTTGGCAACACTTTGTGCCATTCAGTACCCACTGCAACATTTGAATAGGCTTTAGGCTCCACCATGCATAATTTATCAATTCGTTTATTGGCTCTTTTAATCTACACAGACTCCAGACAGTGGCTATAGCTGAAACATAATACTAAAGTCACACCATTGTTGTGGATAATGATATATCCCATGTATTATTCATCACTGCTGTTCACTTATTTATTGAACCTAAAATGTTATTTATTTTGACAACAGGACAGTCTCAGAATAGAATTGACTGTGCTTTCCTCCCAAATGGCACTATATTCCCTACATCAGGGTTTTCCAAACTCGGTCCTGGAGATCTACTGTCCTGTAGGTTTTCACTCCAACCCTGTTCCTGGAGAGCTACCGTCCTGTAGGTTTTCACTCCAACCCTGTTCCTGGAGAGCTACTGTCCAGTAGGTTTTCACTCCAACCCTGTTCCTGGAGAGCTACCGTCCTGTAGGTTTTCACTCCAACCCTGTTCCTGGAGAGCTACTGTCCTGTAGGTTTTCACTCCAACCCTAATCTAGCGCACCTGATTCTAATAATTAGCTGGTTGATAAGCTGACTCATTTTAGTTACAACTGGGGTTGGAGTGAAAACCTACAGGAGGGTAGCTCTTCAGGAACAGGGTCGGAGAGCCCTGGTCTATATGCTTCTGACACATAGGCTATTCTTGTTCTCATAGACCAGGGGTATTCAACTCTTACCCTATGAGGTCTGGAGCCTGGTGGTTTTCTGTTCTACCTGATAATTAACTGCACCCACCTGGTGTCCCAGGTCTAAATCAGTTCCTGATTAGAGGTGAACAATGAAAAAACACAGTGACACTGGCATCGAGGTCCAGAGTTGAGTTTGAGGGTCATAGACTATGGCTTGTTGACCTTTTAGACTACGTATTCATAACTAAATGTGAATATGCATGTAGGTTTATAGGCCTATATGTAGGTGTATGGGCCTATACTGGTAGGGCTACATATAGGTGGATAGACCTACTACATAAACTGCACATTGGAGTATAGCCTGCATCTCACGTCTCATTTCCTCGACCAGTGCAGCAGCATACCGTGTACACACACACACACACACACACACACACACACCTCATTACGGGCCTCCTGCAGGTACTAATGATCACACTTACTTCCCCCTCGTTTGTCTTTGGCTGTCTGGGTCCATGAGGTAGGGGGCACCAATTGGTTTTTGGAACTCACCAGCTGTTTCACTCACCCCCACACGCCCCCCAGGGGTAGAGGGTTGGGAGGGGAGACCGAGGAGGGGGATGCCACATGCTCCATGATGACCCCCCCTCCTCACCGCCAGCAAACCGACTGCTGCTGATACCCCACTAGAGGGGACATGGTGGTTAGTGCTACCCGCTGGGGGAGAGATAGGGCACCAGGGCCAGTCACTATGGTACAGTGTAGTGGCAGGAAAGTGGATCATAAGGAAGTGTGTGTGTGCTCTCATCCTCTCACCCAATGGGAATAGAAAATAATGACTAAAATTACTAAATTGCTGTGAACATTATGCAGAAAGTATAGGGTTGCATTACTGTAATAATACCTTATAAGGCAGTCTATTCAGTGGGGTATATTTAGAAGTGGACATGTGTGTTATACTGAAATACAGTGAAAGACTTCTCAATATAATGAGATGGGATGAGTTGCCCTGGCTTCCATCCATTATAGTCTAAATGGTTCAAAGATAAAAAAGAGAACTCAATAGAATGGGCCCCTTGACGCTTATTATTCTACTGTGTGTGTGTGTGCATGTGTCGGGGTGTGTATGTGAGTGTGTGCGTCAAGCGAGCGAGAGAGAGAGACCAATATCATATTACCCTGAGTGCTCATGCCAGTAAAGACATATAAAACACACATCAAACATGACACTGTGGTATAGCCCAACTGCACTTTATGGATCTCAAACTCAAGGTTTGTAATGGGAAGACTACAGTGTTCTATTCACAGAACTAGAATGAGTAGAACATGCATCCCCTTCTACAGATTCTATTTATATTGTTCTATCCTGGATGTGGGCTGTTGATAATAAGGGACAGTGGGCCATAGAGACTGGAGAGACACGAACAGTCAATTAGTTTTAAGATGTCTCACTTTACAGGAGAGGTAGAGACCCATTCTCTCCTCAGGTTTCTATGATTGTGTATGTTTGGTGTCCTATTGATGTTGCAAATATTGGGTAGATCATTTGCTCCATAAATCCTCATTAGCCTTTGTGTGGGGGCTTGTTGTGATGCTAAATTGTTGCATAAATTAAACAGGTCTAAGAATTGCTTTGGTTATTGTTGATGTTGAATTTAATTTGTATTTTTATGATGTTGCATGGCAGTAGGTTTTACAGGGGTGACTGATTGTCCATAAATAATATAGGCATAGGACTACAATAAAACAATCTTCATTATTGAAAATGCAGAAACATTTCATTTAAATGTAATTAAAAACAGGAAAGAGGCTAAACATTCAATAAATGTATGTTACTTGCATTGCCCCTTTAAACAGGCTGGATGAGATATTGATTTGGCCTTGTTTCACAGGAATTAAAACATTGTTTTTCATGCCCTAAAATATTTGGGGCCTATGCAATTTAGCCAAATGTAGCCTATAAGAAAATGTCCAGCAATACAGGCAGAAAAATCAACAGATTGCAGACAGACGCATAAAAATGTATACTACATGGTTTATCCTGCATGGTCCTGACACCCCAGGACTACACAACTGATTCAAATAACCCACTCATCATCAAGCTTTTTGGCATAGCAATACTGCCACCCTGTGGCGTAACGTAGGGACAACATCGTGGATTGCATTCAGGAGAGGATTATAGAAAATACAGTGATTTGTGTGGATTTGTGAGCGTGCGACGTGTCACTATAAGGATTGGTTGTCTACTACGTTGTACATTTATTTGCTTTTTGTGGTTTACTTGATAGACATATGTACATTACATATTTTTGTTATGTATTCAACACAGCCGGGGGAAATACGGGTGCTGAAGGTGCTCCAGCACACCCTGCTGGTGAGATGGTAAAATTGAAATAATTTGTGTTGCAATAAAAAACTATTAAACTATTTTCTGTTGCATTATTGATATACATGAACATTGGATATTTATACATGGGCACATTATGCATGGAGAGCTCTCAGCTCTGTTTTACTCATAATATGCTCTTATCTATTCAGTTGTGGGGGTTTGGAGTCGGACATGCTCTGCTGTATACAGTTTAGCTTGAGTTAAATCGGGTCTCTCTCTCTCCCTCTCTGTCCCTCTCCCCTCTTCTCTTCTTGCCCCTTGTGGTGGATGTCAAGTGATTTGGAGCAGTGCTCGCAATAGTTTTCCACTATTTTCTCTTTGTTTGCAATTCTAAACTTGTCGAAAAGGGAATGGGAGCTATATCAAATAATGAACATGACATTCTCTCGCCCTCGTCTCGCAGGCCTGTCCCTGCCCATGTCAAACACGTAGGTGTAGGCCCATTGGCCTTGCAACATTATATCAACTAGCCTCAGAGTTTCCCGCGCCAGTGAGCTCCAGACAGACACAGCTATTTTTGCAAAGGGAAATGTCTTCAGGTGTTTTATGAAATTTCCACTGAATGTATGGGATCCTCAGATCATGACATTTTGGCCTGGTGATTATCGAACGGGGGAGTGTTGGAAAGATTTTCAAATACTATGAGGAACTATTATCATTCACAATGGATTTTAAAAAATGACTTAGTTGACTTACTGTGTGAGGCAAGAAAAAAATGACTGAGAAGCTCATCTTATTAGTGGTGGTGAATTAAGACAATCAGAAATCAGACATACATCCCCAAATGGGCACTTTCCTACATTTGCGCGCAGAAGGCAGTTAGCCTACTTGTATACGTGCTCAGGCGCCCGTTCTCCGTCAACATTAAGAGGCCAACAGTAACCAGACATGTTCATTGCACATTGTTCACATGGAGCGCTCCAAACAAAATACAATGAAAAAATGGACAAAACTCGTAAATGGTGGTATGAAATAAACCCAAACTTGTTTCTCACAAGTGTATCAGGTTGTGAACCCTGCAAACAATGTTTCCACTCCTAGAATGCGAACGGTAAATGACTGTAGGCCTAACACATGCATTAAAATAAATTAACGTAACCAAATGATGGGGATTAACGGTAAATGTACTACTATTGACATATGTAGTGGGGAATTTATAAAAATAAACAATCAAAGGGCAAACAATTAACACAATAAAACAATGAATGCACAAGAATTGGAGGGAGACAGCTCAGCGCATTCTAGAGAGCTGAGTGCATTCTGGAGACAGACAGCCAATAGCCTATCTTCGCCACACACCCGTCCCCTTCTTCTTGTCTCAACATCGCAAAATACTCAAGAAACATTATCTTCACACATATTTAAGATGCATTTCTATTCACTGACAGCCGCTTCTCAATAATCAGTTAGGCCTATTGCCAAGTGTGCTGCCCAAATTGCGGGCTTCCCACCTAGAAATATAGGCCTACATGATTGTTATTTGAAACAATCCACAGCTTGAAAAGAAGGCAATGATCCTCTGTGGCTAACTAAGTAATGCTCTCTGGTGATGTATTTTGAATGATTTTATTTATTTCTGTATAGACAGGAGTAGGCTAATAATATAATTTTGGCAAATGTATTTATATTTACCTTAGACTGCAGTGACTAGGCTACTGTTACAGAATAAAATAAAATCACATTTAATTTGTCACATGCACAGAATACAACAGGTGTAGACCGTGAAATGCTTGGGAAGACTACAGTGTTCTATTCACATAACTAGAATGAGTAGAACATGCACCCCCTTCTACAGATTCTATTTATATTGTTCTATCCTGGATGTGGGCTGTTGATAATAAGGGACAGTGGGCCATAGAGACTGGAGAGACACGAACAGTCAATTCGTTTTAAGATGTCTCACTTTACAGGAGAGGTAGAGACCCATTCTCTCCTCAGGTTTCTATGATTGTGTATGTTTGGATTAAGTCCTATTGATGTTGCAAATATTGGGTAGATCATTTGCTCCATAAACCCCCATAAACCTGTGTGTGGGGCTTGTTGTGATGCTAAATTGTTGCATAAATTAAACAGGTCTAAGAATTGCTTTGGTTATTGTTGATGTTGAATTTCATTTGCCTTTTTGCCCAAAATGTAATTTAAGGTGCTCCAAAGCTTTTTACTATCATTTACATTTTAGCAGACGCGCTTATCCAGAGCGACTTACAGTTAGTGAATACATCTTTTATTTTTTTAATTTTTTTTTATACTGGCCCCCCGTGGGAATCAAACCCACAACCCTGGCGTTGCAAACGCCATGCTCTATCAACTGAGCTACATCCCTGCCGGCCATTCCCTCCCCTACCCTGGGCCAATTGTGCGCCGCCCATGAGTCTCCCGGTCGCGGCCGGCTGCGACAGAGCCTGGATTCGAACCAGGATCTCTAGTGGCACAGTTAACACTTTGATGCAGTGCCTTAGACCACTGCGCCACTCAGGAGACTCTTTATGTCATTTATCTTTGTTTCATAGTGTAGTTTCTTCTCCTTTTTATTCAGTTTAGTCACATGATTTCTCAACTTGCAGTATGTTTGCCAATCGGTTGTGCAGCCAGACTTATTTGCCATTCCTTTTGCCTCATCCCTTTGTCATTATGGAGTATTGTGTGTAGATTGATGAGGAAAGATAACAATTTAATCCATTTTAGAATAAGGCTGTAACGTAACAAAATGTGGAAAAAGTAAAGTGGTCTGAATCCTTCCCGAATGCACGGTATATTGATCACATAACCATTACACGTTCACGTTGCATGCCTGGAGTTAGATCAGAGATGGAAGAGGAAGCGAGACATCTCACTGGCTCAGAGAGGAAGAGGAAGGGCCCAACTCTGCGGAAAATCTGTCTCCCTCCAGCAGGAGGCGTTTTTTCATTGTTTCACCCACCAAGAAATGAGTTTTTGTATGGAGGTCAATGAGAATGTCGAATTTGGTCAACAAAAAAACGAATGGCTTATTTTTTTATTTGCAATGTGAGGTTTATTTAATCGAATGTAAGTTTCTCAATGCTTAAGTTGTTACGAGTGTACTGATATAAGCACTTTGAGAAAAAACACTTTATATCAGTTGTCTCGAGATGGCTATGCATGTTCATGTTATGAGGCTAGTAGCATAGCCTCGTTCTCCATTGAATATAGGCGGTTGATGTCAACAACCCTCATCGAATATTCAAAAAAGCATTACAATAATGAGATGTATCCACCAATCCAAAGAAAGGATAGGTGGGAGCTAGACAGCCCACCATATTGCTTTGTGGACAGTGACTCCCATTGTAAGGGTGGAGAGACATGTATCTTGTCAGTATATCCATAATCTTTGTTCATATACAGTCAATGAACTAAGTAAACCAGATCCAGCTTCTATCACATTTGTGTATTTTTGTTCAATTGTAAACAGCCTGAGTAATCTTTATTGACCCACCATCTTTGGCTAGATGGCGACGGTGTCCTGCTGTCAAAGCAAGTAGCTTGTGCAGTGGTGGAGACAGCTGTGTCTGTGATCATGGTCCTGATCCGCCTAGAATGGGCCAAGGCATGGATTCAGAGTGCGTGCATGGGGGTGGTCTTTGCACTCTTTCAGCTCCTCGCTCCCTAGGCGGTCCGGTGGATCCGCCAAACTTCCACCGGTCACCAACTCTCTTCTGATGTTGTCTGCGATGCAGCTTGTGCAAAGGATTCGTCAGAGAGGTCCATAGGCTACCTCATACCTAGTTTTACGGAATGTCTATTTGTGAGTCCACTCTTGTAACGGCACCGGTGTGGCACAGCCATGGTTCTGCGAGGGCTTGGTAGTCGGTTGTCGGAAAAGAGTGTGAAGATCTCAATTCCATACTCCTCCCTCCTCATCTCATTCTCAAAACCCATTGGATGAGAAAGCCAGGGGTCCCTCCCCTCTGATCTTCTCCTCTAATGGGTTTTGAGAAGGAGACGAGGAGAGAGGACGCGAGGACAGTGCATTGCTGCATGATAGGTTACTGCGTTGCTCTCTGGGAGCAGTAGTTTAGACCAGCGTTTCCCAAAAGTAGTCCTGGGGCCCCCCCTGGGTGCACGTTGAGATTTTTGTCCTGACTCAAATAACCAACTCATCATCAAGCTTTGATTATTTGAGTCCACTGTGTAGTGCTAGGGCAAAAAACCAAAACGGGCACCCAGGACCCAGTTTGGGAAACCCTGGTTTAGACCGGCTGCACCTGTCCATTATATACAGAGCCTGTGCTGTGCTCTCATTGTGAAACTGCCTGCTTGACTTTTTGCAGTGAGTAAAACATCCATAGTCTGCCAGTCTAGGCCTAATAGCCTACTGAGCACCATAGCAGTTATTAGATAGATACCAACATTTGTTTCAGTAGCCTACAGCACACAGGAGGTGGGCGGCACCTTCATTGGAGAGGACGGGCTTGTGGTAATGGCTGGAGCGGAATTATTATTACTATTGTTATGACTGAGTAGGATCAGAGTTACTACTATTTTTATGACTGAGTGGAATCAGAGTTACTACTATTGTTATGACTTAGTGGGATCAGAGGTTCTACTATTGTTATGACTGAGTGGGATCAGAGGTTCTACTATTGTTATGACTGAGTGGGATCAGAGTTACTTCTATTTTTATGACTGAGTGGGATCAGAGTTACCTCTATTTTTATGACGCAGTGGGATCAGAGTTACTTCTATTGTTATGACTGAGTGGGATCAGAGGTTCTACTATTGTTATGACTGAGTGGGATCAGAGTTACTTCTATTTTTATGACTGAGTGGGATCAGAGTTACTTCTATTTTTATGACTGAGTGGGATCAGAGTTACTTCTATTTTTATAACTGAGTGGGATCAGAGGTTCTACTATTGTTATGACTGAGTGGGATCAGAGTTACTTCTATTATTATGACTGATGGAGGAACCAGGGAGTCCGGTGTGGCCAATATGGGAGCAGGCCACTTCCTTCCTTCCCTCTATCCCTCCCTCCCTCCATCCCAATGGGTAATCAACATCCTAGTACTGCTTGTGACCCAGTGCCCTCTGGGGCTGAGTGTAGAGTGTCTACCCCTGGGGGTGCAGGTGGTGTCTGGGAAGCTCCAGCACCGCCTGTCCCTGGCCACAGGCCTCTACCTGGAGAAGACCTTCAGAGGGTGGAGAGACCCTGGAGTCGCCTGACCCGGGCCCATATTCATTAAGCAACATTCAGAGTAGCAGTGCTGATGTAGGATCAGGTCCCCCCTGACCATTACCTATTATTGATCATGGTCTAAAAGGTAAAACTGATCCTAGTTCAGCTCAACTCTGAGACACTACGAGGCCTGACCTGAAGAAGCCGCTGGCTCTGAGGGAAGGAGGAGGTAGAGGTTGCCCGTAGCCATTTTTAATGGGGTAGGATAATCTGATCCTAGATCTGTGGTTAAGGGCAGGGAGTAGGAAGAATTTGTCCCTAACCGTTGATACAGGGATGTGTGTTAAGGGCAAATTCTACCTCAAGCCATGCACTCAAAATCTCCCTCTCTCACACACACACAATTCAGCACGTATCCTAATGGAAATGTATGGTTGAAACACCTTTCACTGAGTGGAAATGTATGGTTCAAACACCTTTCACTGAGTGGAAATGTATGGTTCAAACACCTTTCACTGAATGGAAATCTATGGTTCAAACACCTTTCACTGAATGGAAATGTCTGTTTAAACACCTTTCACAGAATAGAAATGTATGGTTCAACACCTTTCACTGAATGGAAATGTATGGTTCAAACACCTTTCACTGAATGGAAATCTATGGTTCAAACACCTTTAACTGAATGGAAATGTATTGTTTAAACACCTTTCACTGAATAGAAATGTATGGTTCAAACACCTTTCACTGAATGGAAATCTATGGTTCAAACACCTTTCACTGAATGGAAATGTATTGTTTAAACACCTTTCACTGAATAGAAATGTATGGTTCAACACCTTTCACTGAATGGAAATGTATTGTTTAAACACCTTTCACTGAATAGAAATGTATGGTTCAACACCTTCACTGAATGGAAATATATGGTTCAAACACCTTTCACTGAATGGAAATGTATGGTTCAAACACCTTTCACTGAATAGAAATGTATGGTTCAACACCTTTCACTGAATAGAAATGTATGGTTCAAACATCTTAGCTTGACTTGGACTCCAGCAAATCCTTATTTTATAATATCCACCACAATTTGGCACCCCGGACGGGACTGACGTATCGTTGACCTGCGGCTCCGAGGCTAAACTGCCCGCAGAGGCTCACTGCGCTGTGAGTCTAGGGTAAATTCCTCCTCGTCAAATGAGGGAACGGAGAGACCCGCATGACGTCCACGGGAGTTGAGGGTCAGCGATCGCTCAGTCAATATTTTACTAAGCTGGTGAGTAATCCTTCGAAGATTCTTTATGAATGAAATCACTTTACGCTAAGTGATAGAGAAAATTATCATTGAAATAAGAGGAATTGTGCATTCCTAAATCGCTTTGCGCTAAGTGATCGAGAGCATGCTCTACCACATAGTGCGATGCGGGTGGACCGGTTAGGACGTCATGTTGGACTATAATATCAGGTTAGGGATAGACTTCTTAACCAGTGGACAGGTTAAACTAGAATATCAGGTTATTGTGACAATGGCGCCGGAGGAGATGGCTGCCCCCTAACCAATTGTGCTATTATGTGTGTTTTTTCACGTTATTTTGTAACTTATTCTGTACATAATGTTTCTGCCACCGTCTCTTATGACTGAAAACTCGAACAGCGCCGGAAGAAGATGGCTGCCGTTTTACAGCCCTCTAACCAATTGTACTACTATGTGTGTTTTTCCGCGTTATTTGTAATTTATTTTGTACATAATGTTTCTGCCATCGTCTCTTATAACCAAAGAGAGCTTCTGGATATCAGGACAGCGATTACTCACCTCGCGTTGGACGAAGACTTTTTCTTCAACGAGGCGTTCGCGAAGGATATTCTACAGACTCCCGACAAGGCCCAGATCCCCGTCATTCGCGTGAGGAAGAGACGGAGATATCGTGGACGCAGATCCGGGTGCCTTGTAAGGATCCGACGGCGAACGAGTAAACTGCCTCTCCCATCAATCCTATTAGCCAATGTTCAATCTTTTGAGAATAAAATTGACGATTTAAGATTACGGTTATCCTACCAACGGGACATTAAAAACTGTAATATCTTATGTTTCACAGAGTCGTGGCTGAACGACAACAATGACAACATTCAGCTAGCAGGCTATACGCTACATCGGCAGGACAGAACGGCAAACTCCGGTAAGACGAGGGGTGGCGGTCTCTGTATATTTGTGAACAACAGCTGGTGCACAAAATCAAATACTAAGGAAGTCTCAAGGTTTTGCTCGCCTGAGGTAGAGTATCTTATGATAAGCTGTAGACCACACTATTTACCAAGAGAGTTTTCATCTATATTTTTCATAGCTGTCTATTTACCACCACAAACCAATGCTGGCATTAAGATTGCACTGAATGAGTTGTACAAGGCCATTAATCAACAGGAAAACGCTCATCCAGATGCAGCGCTCCTAGTAGCCGGGGACTTTAATGCAGGGAAACTTAAATCCGTTCTACCTCATTTCTACCAGCATGTTAAATGTGCAACCAGAGGGGAAAAAACTCTAGACCACCTTTACTCCACACACAGAGACGCATACAAAGCTCTCCCTCGCCCTCCATTTGGCAAATCTGACCATAACTCTATCCTCCTGATTCCTGCTTATAAGCAAAAACTGAAGCAGGAAGCACCAGTGATTCGGCTAATAAAAAAGAGGTCAGATGACGCAGATGCTAAGCTACAGGACTGTTTTGCTAGCACAGACTGGAACATGTTCCGGGATTCTTCAGACAGCATTGAGGAGTACACCACATCAGTCACTGGCTTCATCAATAAGTGCATCGATGATGTCGTCCCCACAGTGACCGTACGTACATACCCCAACCAGAAGCCATGGATTACAGGAAACATCCGCACTGAGCTAAAGGGTAGAGCTGCCGCTTTCAAGGAACGGGACTCTAACCCGGACGCTTATAAGAAATCCCGCTATGACCTCCGACGAACCATCAAACAGGCAAAGAGTCAATACAGGTCTAAGATTGAATCATACTACACTGGCTCTGACGCTCGTCGGATGTGGCAGGGCTTGAAAACTATTACAGACTACAAAGGGAAGCACAGCCGCGAGCTGCCCAGTGACACAAGCCTACCAGACGAGCTAAACCACTTCTATGCTCGCTTTGAGGCAAGCAACACTGAAGCATGCATGAGAGCACCAGCTGTTCCGTACGACTATGTGATCACGCTCTCCGTAGCCGATGTGAGTAAGACTTTTAAGCAGGTCAACATTCACAAGGCCGCAGGGCCAGACGGATTACCAGGACGTGTACTCCGAGCATGTGCTGACCAACTGGCAAGTGTCTTCACTGACATTTTCAACATGTCCCTGACTGAGTCTGTAATACCAACATGTTTCAAGCAGACCACCATAGTCCCCGTGCCCAAGAACTCTAAGATAACCTGCCTAAATGACTACCGACCCGTAGCACTGACGTCTGTAGCCATGAAGTGCTTTGAAAGACTGGTCATGGCTCACATCAACAGCATAATCCCAGAAACCCTAGACCCACTCCAATTTGCATACCGCCCCAACAGATCCACAGATGATGCAATCTCTATCGCACTCCACACTGCCCTTTCCCACCTGGACAACAGGAACACCTACGTGAGAATGCTATTCATTGACTACAGCTCAGCATTCAACACCATAGTGCCCTCTAAGCTCATCACCAAGCTAAGGATCCTGGGACTAAACACCTCCCTCTGCAACTGGATCCTGGACTTCCTGACGGGCCGCCCCCAGGTGGTAAGGGTAGGTAACAACACGTCTGCCACACTGATCCTCAACACGGGGGCCCCTCAGGGGTGCGTGCTCAGTCCCCTCCTGTACTCTCTGTTCACCCATGACTGCATGGCCAGGCACGACTCCAACACCATCATTAAGTTTGCCGACGACACAACAGTGGTAGGCCTGATCACCGACAACGATGAGACAGCCTATAGGGAGGAGGTCAGAGATCTGGCCGTGTGGTGCCAGGACAACAACCTCTCCCTCAACGTGACCAAGACAAAGGAGATGATTGTGGACTACAGGAAAAAAAAGAGGACTGAGCACGCCCCCATTCTCATCGACGGGGCTGTAGTGGAACAGGTTGAGAGCTTCAAGTTCCTTGGTGTCCACATCCCCAACAAACTATCATGGTCCAAACACACCAAGACAGTCGTGAAGAGGGCACGACAAAGCCTATTCCCCCTCAGGAGACTAAAAAGATTTGGCATGGGTCCTCAGATCCTCAAAAAATTCTACAGCTGCACCATCGAGAGCATCCTGACTGGTTGCATCACCGCCTGGTATGGCAACTGCTTGGCCTCTGACCGCAAGGCACTACAGAGGGTAGTGCGTACGGCCCAGTACATCACTGGGGCAAAGCTCCCTGCCATCCAGGACCTCTATACCAGGCGGTGTCAGAGGAAGGCCCTCAAAATTGTCAAAGACTCCAGCCACCCTAGTCATAGACTGTTCTCTCTGCTACCGCACGGCAAGCGGTACCGGAGTGCCAAGTCTAGGTCCAAAAGACTTCTCAACAGCTTCTACCCCCAAGCCATAAGACTCCTGAACAGCTAATCATGGCTACCCGGACTATTTGCACTGCCCCCCCACCCCATCCTTTTTACGCTGCTGCTACTCTGTTAAGTATTTATGCATAGTCACTTTAACTCTACCCACATGTACATATTACCTCAACTACCTCAACTAGCCGGTGCCCCCGCACATTGACAATGCAACGGTACCCCCCTGTATATATAGCCTCCCTACTGTCACTTTATTTTACTGTATATATAGCCTCCCTACTGTCACTTTATTTTACTTCTGCTCTTTTTTTCTCAACACTTTTTTGTTGTGGTTTTATTCTTACTTTTTTGTTTAAAATAAATGCACTGTTGGTTAAGTGCTGTAAGTAAGCATTTCACTGTAATGTCTGCACCTGTTGTATTCGGCGCATGTGACCAATAGAATTTGATTTGATTTGATTTGATTTGAAAAGAGCTTCTGAACATCAGGACAGCGATTAATCACCTCGTACTGGGAGAATATTTTGTCTTTAAATAGTTGGGGTCAAGCTTCCTGCCATCCAGGACCTCTATACCAGGCGGTGTCAGAGGAAGGCCCTAAAAGTGGTCAAAGACTCCAGCCACCCTAGTCATAGACCGTTCTCTCTGCTACCGCATGGCAAGCAGTACCGGAGCGCCAAGTCTAGGTCCAAAAGGCTTCTTAACAGCTTCTACCCCCAAGTGATAAGACTCCTGAACAGCTAATCAAATGGCTACCCGGACTATTTGCATTGTCCCACCCCCTGTATATAGCCTCGCCACTGTTATTTTACTGCTGCTCTTTAATTATTTGTTATTTTTATTCATCAATTTTTTACTTAACACTTATTTTTCTTAAAACTGCATTGTTGGTTAAGAGCTTGTAAGTAAGCATTTCACTGTAAGGTCTTCACCTGTTGTATTCGGTGCATGTGACAAATACAATTTGATTTGATCTGATTTGATAGACTTATTAACCAGTTTCTCATACAGTTGAAACTAAGTATCATAGCAAAACTGTATGTATGTTACCAAGTTGGAGTAGCTCTCCATCGTTACAATGACAAATGAGGCAATAGTTTAGCAGCCATGCAATTACATGGTTTAGGTTGTAGGAACTGATCACTCCTCTATTTTATGTGTGTGTGTGAGTGTGAGTGAGATAGGAACTCAAGATGGGATCATCCTCGAGCAAAAAGTGTTCTTCAGCCACCACATGCTACACAGGGCCGTTGAAGGTGATGGCAGAGGACGTGTCACAATGGCACAACTTAACGAATGGAGATTTTCCCGAAGAAGGTACCCTCAGTGTCGTTAAGTTGAAATTAGCCAGAGAACAGTTGGAGAAAGTAGGGAAAGGCAAGAAAAATTATATAGGCTGGGATAATTTTTGAAAGTGGGAAGTTGAAACAGAGACAAGGACAGAGAGAGAGAATGGTACAGAGGAAATGATGAAAGCTGAATAAAAGAAAGTCAAAGCAAGTAGGAACAGACATAAAGATGAACTGTATCCACATTATCCACCTCCCTACACTCCCCCACCTCAACAACAGCTACCACTTCCACAACAAGGACCCCCAGCAGCAGGGGGGGCTGTGGGGGCAGACAGCGGATAATCTGAAGAAGACGAAGAAGAAAAAGACAAGCCTCTGACCACCAGAGTAGAATACCAACACCTCTGACCACCACACACACTGAGTTCCAGAGTAGAATACCAACACCTCTGACCACCACACACACTGAGTTCCAGAGTAGACTACCAACACCTCCTGACCACCACACACACTGAGTTCCAGAGTAAAATACCAACACCTCTGACCACCACACACACTGAGTTCCAGAGTAGAATACCAACACCTCTGACCACCACACACACTGAGTTCCAGAGTAGAATACCAACACCTCTGACCACCACACACACTGAGTTCCAGAGTAGAATACCAACACCTCTGACCACCACACACACTGAGTTCCAGAGTAGAATACCAACACCTCTGACCACCACACACACTGAGTTCCAGAGTAGACTACCAACACCTCTGACCACCACACACACTGAGTTCCAGAGTAGAATACCAACACCTCTGACCACCACAAACACTGAGTTCCAGAGTAGAATACCAACACCTCTGACCACCACACACACTGAGTTCCAGAGTAGAATACCAACACCTCTGACTACCACACACACTGAGTTCCAGAGTAGAATACCAACACCTCTGACCACCACACACACTGAGTTCCAGAGTAGAATACCGACACCTCAGAGCTGCCCCCGCCAAGACCCTAAACCTCCCAAACGACTGGTCACCGAAATGACCTGTGGACTTTATCCAGACTTACCACCCCCTCTCACTCCTGTTTCCACACCACCCTTACCAAACCTCTTTCAGTCCAACTTGGTGATAAAATGTTAAATCATTGTTTATTTTATTCTCCTAACTGCCCTGTACAGTGGGGAAAAAAAGTATTTAGTCAGCCACCAATTGTGCAAGTTCTCCCACTTAAAAAGATGAGAGAGGCCTGTAAATTTCATCATAGGTACACGTCAACTATGACAGACAAAATGAGATTTTTTTTCTCCAGAAAATCACATTTTTAATGAATTTATTTGCAAATTATGGTGGAAAATAAGTATTTGGTCAATAACAAACGTTTCTCAATACTTTGTTATATACCCTTTGTTGGCAATGACACAGGTCAAACGTTTTCTGTAAGTCTTCACAAGGTTTTCACACACTGTATTTTGGCCCATTCCTCCATGCAGATCTCCTCTAGAGCAGTGATGTTTTGGGGCTGTCGCTGGGCAACACGGACTTTCAACTCCCTCCAAAGATTTTTCTCACGATACATGGCCCCATTCATTCTTTCCTTTACACGGATCAGTCGTCCTGGTCCCTTTGCAGAAAAACAGCCCCAAAGCATGATGTTTCCATCCCCATGCTTCACAGTAGGTATGGTGTTCTTTGGATGCAACTCAGCATTCTTTGTCCTCCAAACACGACGAGTTGAGTTTTTACCAAAAAGTTATATTTTGGTTTCATCTGACATTCTCCCAATCCTCTTCTGGATCATCCAAATGCACTCTAGCAAACTTCAGACGGGCCTGGACATGTACTGCCTTAAGCAGGGGGACACGTCTTGCACTGCAGGATTTGAGTCCCTGGCGGCGTAGTGTGTTACTGATGGTAGGCTTTGTTACTTTGGTCCCAGCTCTCTGCAGGTCATTCACTAGGTCCCCCCGTGTGGTTCTGGGATTTTGGCTCACCGTTCTTGTGATCATTTTGACCCCACGGGGTGAGATCTTGCGTGGAGCCCCAGATCGAGGGAGATTATCAGTGGTCTTGTATGTCTTCCATTTCCTAATAATTGCTCCCACAGTTGATTTCTTCAAACCAAGCTGCTTACCTATTGCAGATTCAGTCTTCCCAGCCTGGTGCAGGTCTACAATTTTGTTTCTGGTGTCCTTTGACAGCTCTCTTTGGTCTTGGCCATAGTGGAGTTTGGAGTGTGACTGTTTGAGGTTGTGGACAGGTGTCTTTTATACTGATAACAAGTTCAAACAGGTGCCATTAATACAGGTAATGAGTGGAGGACAGAGGAGCCTCTTAAATAAGAAGTTACAGGTCTGTGAGAGCCAGAAATCTTGCTTGTTTGTAGGTGACCAAATACTTATTTTCCACCATAATTTGCAAATAAATTCATAAAAAATCCTACAATGTGATTTTCTGGATTTTTTCCCCTCATTTTGTCTGTCATAGTTGACGTGTACTTATGATGAATATTACAGGCCTCTCTCATCTTTTTAAGTGGGAGAACTTGCACAATTGGTGGATGACTAAATACTTTTTTCCCCCACTGTAAATTTAATGGGAAGAGACTTATTGTGTAAATTGGGAATTCAAATCTCTTGCATTGAGGAAGGCCTAATAGTAACTGCTCCAAGCATCGGTATTTATACCACGCTGGACGTACCAGGCCACGATTGGTATTATTCATGGGGTCTTTCTGACCACTTTGACCCACTGAATGCATTATTTTTTGTAAACCAAATTTAGTCATGGTCGAAGGGACCATTTGTTTGTATTACTGTGGCATTGTGAGACAGAGCAGGAGGAGTTGACAATTGATTATGTGCATGAAGGAAGCACACGCTTCCTGGGTGTGGTAGCTGATGTGAACTTCACTGAACAGCAACAGTTTTTCTCTGTGCCCAAAGCAGTTCCCCATATCTCTAAGGTACATGGGTGAGGAGCGTGAGGTTGGCAACAGACTGGGAGGCTCAGCCAGATGGGAGAGAATTCTCCTCTGTGGTTGGTGCTCTCAGAACATTTGTATTATTTTTATTTAACTAGGCAAGTCAGTTAAGAACAAATTCTTATTTACAATGATGGCCTACACCGGCCAAACTCGGACGACGCTGGGCCAATTGTGCGCCGCCCTATGGGACTCCCAATCACGGCCGGTTGTGATACAGACTGGAATCGAACCAGGGTGTCTGTAGTGACACCTATAGCACTGAGATGCAGTGCCTTAGACCACTGCGCCACTTGGGAGCCCCACAGATGTGAACAGCACGCACGTCGTGCACAGAGGGGACAATGAAGTCCCTGTTCCTGTTTCCCTTATACCTAACCAGCCCGCCTCTGACAGTGCACTGTTGTCTCAGGTTCCAGACTGTTTGTGGGCAAAGGATAAATATGACATATGGAAAATGAGAGGAGCAACGCCTGTGACTGTCTCTCCTAAAGGCACATATCAGCCCCACATAGCACAGTACCCTTTGCGTAAGGAGGCGGAGGCAGGCATTGGCAAAATCCTGACCTCTCTGCTGAGCAGGGGGGCTGTTGTCACCTGTCATCACCTTGCAACACGCCAATTTGACCTGTTAGAAAAGCATCTGGTGAATGGAGAATGGTACAAGATCTTAGAGCTGTTAACGATGTAGTGTACAGTCGTGGTCCAAAGTTTTGAGAATGACACAAGTATTTGTCTTCACAAAGTTTGCTGCTTCAGTGTTTTTAGATATTTTTCTCAGATGTTACTATGGTATACTGAAGTATAATTACAAGCATTCCATAAGTGTCAAAGGCTTTTATTGACAATTACATTAAGTTTATGCAGAGTCAATATTTGCAGTGTTAACCCTTCTTTTTCAAGACCTCTGCAATCAGCCCTGGCATGCTGTCAATTAACTTCTGGGCCACATCCTGACTGATGGCAGCCCATTCTTGCATAATCAATACTTGGAGTTTGTCAGAATTTGCGGGTTTTTGTTTGTCCACCCGCCTCTTGAGGATTGACCACAAGTTCTCAATGGGATTAAGGTCTGGGGAGTTTCCTGGCCATGGACCCAAAATGTCGATGTTTTGTTCCCCGAGCCACTTAGTTATCACTTTTGCCTTATGGTAAGGTGCTCCATCATGCTGGAAAAGGCATTGTTTGTCACCAAACTGTTCTTGGATGGTTGGGAGAAGTTGCTCTCGGAGGACGTGTTGGTACCATTCTTTATTCACGGCTGTGTTCTTAGGCAAAATTGTGAGTGAGCCCACTCCCTTGGCTGAGAAGCAACCCCACACATGAATGGTCTCAGGATGCTTTACTGTTGGCATGACACAGGACTTATGGTAGCGCTCACCTTGTCTTCTCCATACAAGCTTTTTTCCGGATACCCCAAACAATCGGAAAGGGGATTCATCAGAGAAAATTACTTTACCTCAGTCCTCAGCAGTCCAATCCCTGTACCTTTTGCAGAATATCAGTCTGTCCCTGATGTTTTTCCTGGAGAGAAGTGGCTTCCTCGCTGCCCTTCTTGACACCAGGCCATCCTCCAAAAGTATTTGCCTCGCTGTGCGTGCAGCTGCACTCACACCTGCCTGCTGCCATTCCTGTGCAAACTCTGCACTGGTGGTGCCCCGATCCTGCAGCTGAATCAACTTTAGGAGACGGTCCTGGCGCTTGCAGGACTTTCTTGGGCGCCCTAAAGCCTTCTTGAAGTTCATGATGATCCGATAAATGGTTGATTTATGTGCAATCTTACTAGCAGCAATATCCTTGCCTGTGAAGCCCTTTTGTGCAAAGCAATGATGACGGCACGTGTTTCCTTGCAGGTAACCATGGTTAACAGAGGAAGAACAATGATTTCAAGGACCACCCTCCTTTTAAAGCTTCCAGTCTGTTATTCTAACTCAATCAGCATGACAGAGTGATCTCCAGCCTTGTCCTCGACAACACTCTCACCTGTGTTAACAAGAGAATCACTGACATGATGTCAGCTGGTCCTTTTGTGGCAGGGCTGAAATGCAGTGGAAATGTTTTTTTTGGGATTAAGTTCATTTTCTGGTTTCTGGTACTGGTGTCTAGGGTGACAGGTAAGGTGGAGGTGATATGATCCTTGAATAGTCTCTCAAAGCACTTCAAGATGACAGAAGTGAGTGCTACGGGTCAATAGTCATTTAGTTCAGTCACTTTTGCTTTCTTGGGTACAGGAACAATGGTGGCCATCTTGAAGCATGTGGGGTCAGCAGATAGGGAAAGATTGAATATGTCTGTAAACACACCAGCCAGCTGGTCTGCGCATGCTCTGAGGACGCGACTAGGGATGCCGTCTGGGCTGGCAGCCTTGCGAGGGTTAACACGCTTGAAATGTCATACTCACGTCAGCCACGGAGAAGGAGAGCCCACAGTCCTTGGTAGCGTCGGTGGCACTGTATTATCCTCAAAGCGGGCAAAGAAGGTGTTTAGCGGGTAACCTCAGAGTCTAGGTATGGTGACTCATTTTATCTCTTTTGGGCTCCCGAGTGGCGCAGCGGTCGAAGGCACTGCATCACAGTGCTAGAGGCGTCACTGCAGACCCTGGTTCAATACCAGGCTGCATCACAACCGGCAGTGGTCAGTGCGCAATTGGCCCAGCATCGTCCGGGTTAGGGGAGGCCGGGGCAGGCTGTCAATGTAAAGGTAAAATAATTCAGGTCAGCTCTTTCAACATAGAGACCTTAATGATAATCTCTCCTGGATGGTTAAACCTCAGATTAAATCCTTTCCCCCCTCCTCCTAATGGAATAATACAATCGGCTGGGTCTAGGTTACTTTATTCCAGAAACACAGATTCTTATTCAGTTAAGTAGCAGTTTCCTGCAGTCAAATGACCAAAGTGACCTCATGGGTGGTATGTTATTAATATTTTAAATAATTAATACACTTTTTTTTTTTTTACCAGCCGAAAAATCTGGTGTTTCTATGTCAAATGGTTTTGTTATATTTCAGTCTTCTGTGATGTATACAGTGTAATATTGGGATGCGAACTCAAAATGGAATACATTTTAACTCTATATTTGACATGATACAGGTGTCTTCTTTTTTTTGCCCATAACCATGTCTCTGAGGGATCCTGATTGGCGCAGCGGTCTAAGGCACTGCATCACAGTGCTAGAGGCGTCACTACAGACCTGGGTTCGATCCCGGGCTGTATCACAACCGGCTGTGATCGGGAGTCCCATAGGGCGGCGCACAATTGGCCCAGTGTCTGTCTGGGTTAGGGGAGGGTTTGGCCGGGGTAGACCGTCATTGTAAATAAGAATTTGTTCTTATTAAATAAAGGTAAAATAAAAAATACAACTAAATAAGAATGAGGTGCATACTTTTGTTTCAAATTAGATTTGTTTAAGACTATCAAGAAACCTTGATTTAGCCCACTGCAGTAAAAGGCTAACCAGATGCTTTATATCATCAGTCAATTAACCTAATTAAGGACTTTAAGTAAAACAACGCTGATGACAGAGGGTCCCCCCCCCCCACCCCTCTATAGGACTACCAATAAACAATTGTTATGTAGTACAATTATATGAGAAGCACAATATATTATTTCATAAAAGACAGTGTCTAAACAGGAAAACCACTTCAGACACAAATTGTACTTTGCCTTCATAACTTATACTGTATGTAGGCCTACTGGTATTTTTCTGTTGAAGCAATTAAGCCATACAATAATTACACCACTCCTTTTTCCCAAGGAAGTGTCGCTAACTAGGACATACTCACCACCATAGGAAAAGGGCATATTAAGTGTTTCCTGCATATTTCTCCATAACTGTCACTCTTAAGTGTATGGTTGTGTATGGAATCTGTGTATGGTTGTGTGTGTGTGTGTGTGTGTGTGTGTGTGTGTGTGTGTGTGTGTAACTGGGCCTATATAAGATGACAGAGGATGGGACTAGAGTGTGGATATCAAGAGGAGATCAACTAGAGGTGAAGATTAAGACTGGACTAGTCTGCCGTACTACACTATACATCTCTGGTAAGACTTCTCTGTCTAAACACCGCATGTAGCATCTGTGTGTTTTATTGTTTGTATATATTATATTGTTCATGTTGTAAAACACTTTGTAACAATCTGTCTTTGTAAAAAGTGCTATAAAAATAAATGTGATTGATTGTTGTGTAATAGAATGATGCAGGGGACTTTTATTCAAATCAGTCTAGAGTCTTTGGCTTCCAGTTTTGCAGTCACATTGATATATGTGTTTAGGACATACAGTGGGGAGAACAAGTATTTGATACACTGCCGATTTTGCAGGTTTCCTACTTACAAAGCATGTAAAGGTCTGTAATTTTTATCATAGGTACACTTCAACTGTGAGACACGAAATCTAAAACAAAAATCCAGAAAATCACATTGTATGATTTTTAAGTAATTAATTTGCATTTTATTGCATGACATAAGTATTTGATACATCAGAGAAGCAGAACTTAATATTTGGTACAGAATCCTTTGTTTGCAATTACAGAGATCATACGTTTCCTGTAGGTCTTGACCAGGTTTGCACACACTGCAGCAGGGATTTTGGCCCACTCCTCCATACAGACCTTCTCCAGATCCTTCAGGTTTCGGGGCTGTCGCTGGGCAATACGGACTTTCAGCTCCCTCCAAATATTTTCTATTGGGTTCAGGTCTGGAGACTGGCTAGGCCACTCCAGGACCTTGAGATGCTTCTTACGGAGCCACTCCTTAGTTGCCCTGGCTGTGTGTTTCGGGTCGTTGTCATGCTGGAAGACCCAGCCACGACCCATCTTCAATGCTCTTACTGAGGGAAGGAGGTTGTTGACCAAGATCTCGCAATACATGGCCCCATCGATCCTCCCCTCAATACGGTGCAGTCGTCCTGTCCCCTTTGCAGAAAAGCATCCCCAAAGAATGATGTTTCCACCTCCATGCTTCACGGTTGGGATGGTGTTCTTGGGGTTATACTCATCCTTCTTCTTCCTCCAAACACGGCGAGTGGAGTTTAGACCAAAAAGCTCTATTTTTGTCTCATCAGACCACATGACCTTCTCCCATTCCTCCTCTGGATCATCCAGATGGTCATTGGCAAACTTCAGATGGGCCTGGACATGCGCTGGCTTGAGCAGGGGGACCTTGAGTGCGCTGCAGGATTTTAATCCATGACGACGTAGTGTGTTACTAATGGTTTTCTTTGAGACTGTGGTCCCAGCTCTCTTCAGGTCATTGACCAGGTCCTGCCGTGTAGTTCTGGGCTGATCCCTCACCTTCCTCATGATCATTGATGCCCCACGAGGTGAGATCTTGCATGGAGCCCCAGACCGAGGGTGATTGACCATCATCTTGAACTTCTTCCATTTTCTAATAATTGCGCCAACAGTTGTTGCCTTCTCACCAAGCTGCTTGCCTATTGTCCTGTAGCCCATCCCAGCCTTGTGCAGGTCTACAATTTTATCCCTGATGTCCTTGCACAGCTCTCTGGTCTTGGCAATTGTGGAGAGGTTGGAGTCTGTTTGATTGAGTGTGTGGACAGGTGTCTTTTATACAGGTAACGAGTTCAAACAGGTGCAGTTAATACAGGTAATGAGTGGAGAAGAGGAGGGCTTCTTAAAGAAAAACTAACAGGTCTGTGAGAGCCGGAATTCTTACTGGTTGGTAGGTGATCAAAGACTTATGTCATGCAATAAAATGCTAATTAAATTACTTAAAAATCATACAATGTGATTTTCTGGATTTTTGTTTTAGATTCCGTCTCTCACAGTTGAAGTGTACCTATGATAAAAATTACAGACCTCTACATGCTTTGTAAGTAGGAAAACCTGCAAAATCGGCAGTGTATCAGATACTTGTTCTCCCCACTGTATAATACCAATATTAATTTGTAACATATCATACAAAATGGGTGATGGACATCCCCATTTTAATACATGACGGCTGTGTGGTCCCATGGTGTTTATACTTGCATACTATTGTTTGTACAGATGAAAGGGGTACCTTCAGGCATTTGGAAATAGGCCTTGAAATACATCCACAGGTAAACCTCCAATTGACTCAAATAATGTCAATTAGCCTACCAGAAGCTTCTAAAGCCATGACATCATTTTCTGGAATTTTCCAAGCTTTTAAAGGCACAGTCAACTTAGTGTATGAAAACTTCTGACCCACTGGAATTGTGATACAGTGAATTATAAGTGAAATAATCTGTCTGTAAACAATTGTTGGAAAAATGACTTGTGTCATGTTAACAAGAAATGTGTGGAGTGGTTAAAAAACGAGTTTTAATGACTCCAACCTAAGTGTATGTAAACTTCCGACTTCAACTGTATACAGTATATATATAAAAATATATATACTCCGGACTCCGACATTGCTCGTCTTAATATTTCTATAGTATATTTCTTAATTCCATTATTTTACTTTTATATTTGTGTGTAATTTTGTGTATTGTTAGATATGACTGCACTGCTAGGAACACAAGCATTTCGCTGCACACCTAATAACATCTGCTAAATACACTATGAGACCAATAAAATTTGATTTGATTTGAATAGAGTCTGGTGCAATCCTCTAGTAATCCAGCAGATGGAAGTAGCGAGCAAGTACCTAAGTTGCCATGTGAGGTTAGTATGTGTGTTACGTCAGAAGATGATGTTATGGCTACCTGCGTGGTGGAGGCCAGCCACCTCCAGTGATGGAATAAACAACCAGAAAATATAAAACCTAGGCTGTCCACTCATTTACTAGATTATATAGTAAAACACACAATTTCTTTTACCGTTTTAAAAACTGCCTCTCCACTAATTAGCATACTAGATTATATACTACCAGTCAAAAGTTCGGACACCTACTCATTCAAGGGTTTTTCTTTATTTGTACAATTTTTTACATTTTACAATAATAGTGAAGACATCAAAACTATGAAATAACACATATGGAATCATGTAGTTACCAAAACAAATGAAAGTTTTTTATTGTAAGCAAGAATCAGGAGGATAGAATTATGGTCAGATTTGCCAAATGGAGGGCGAGGGAGAGCTTTGTACACGTCTCTGTGTGTGGAGTAAAGGTGGTCTAGAGTTTCTTTCCCCTCTGGTTGCACATTTAACATGCCGATGTAAATTAGGTAGAACGGATTTTAGTTTCCCTGCATTAAAGTCCCTGGCCACTAGGGCCATTTACATACTTATGGCCGTATACAGCTCAATGAGTGTGGTTTTAGTGCCAGCATCGGTTTGTGTTGGTATATAGACCGCTATGAAAAATATAGATGAAAACTCTCTTGGTAAATAGTGTGGTCTACAGCTTATCATGAGATAGTCTACCTCAGGCGAGCAAAACCTTGAAACTTCCTTAGATTTCATTAACCAGCTGTTGTTTACAAATATACATAGACCGCCGCCCCTTGTCTTTCCCAAGGTTGCTGTTCTATCCTGCCGAACAAGCTTAAAACTCGCCAGCTGTATGTTATTCATGTCGTCGTTCAGCCACGACTCTGTGAAACATAAGATATTACCGTTTTTAATGTCCCGTTGGTAGGATATTCGTGATCGTACCTCGTCTAATTTATTTTCCAATGATTGTACGTTGGCTAGTAATACTGATGGTAAAGGCAGATTACCTACTCACCGTCTGATCCTTACAAGGCACCCTGACCTACGTCCCCAATATCTCTGTCTCTTTCTCCTGCGAATCACAGGGATTTTGGCCTTGTCGGATGTTTGAAGTACATAATTCCCGTCCAACTCGTTTAAGAAAAACTCTTTGTCCAATCCGAGGTGAGTAATCGCTGTCGTGATACAGTGGGGAAAAAAAGTATTTAGTCAGCCACCAATTGTGCAAGTTCTCCCACTTAAAAAGATGAGAGAGGCCTGTAATTTTCATCATAGGTACATGTCAACTATGACAGACAAATTGAGAAAAACAAATCCAGAAAATCACATTGTAGGATATTTAATGAATTTATTTGCAAATTATGGTGGAAAATAAGTATTTGGTCACCTACAAACAAGCAAGATTTCTGGCTCTCACAGACCTGTAACAACTTCTTTAAGAGGCTCCTCTGTCCTCCACTCGTTACCTGTATTAATGGCACCTGTTTGAACTTGTTATCAGTATTAAAGACACCTGTCCACAACCTCAAACAGTCACACTCCAAACTCCACTATGGCCAAGACCAAAGAGCTGTCAAAGGACACCAGAAACAAAATTGTAGACCTGCACCAGGCTGGGAAGACTGAATCTGCAATAGGTAAGCAGCTTGGTTTGAAGAAATCAACTGTGGGAGCAATTATTAGGAAATGGAAGACATACAAGACCACTGATAATCTCCCTCGACCTGGGGCTCCACGCAAGATCTCACCCCTTGGGGTCAAAATGATCACAAGAACAGTGAGCAAAAATCCAAGAACCACACGGGGGGACCTAGTGAATGACCTGCAGAGAGCTGGGACCAAAGTAACAAAGCCTACCATCAGTAACACACTACGCCGCCAGGGACTCAAATCCTGCAGTGCCAGACGTGTCCCCCTACTTAAGCCAGTACATGTCCAGGCCCGTCTGAAGTTTGCTAGAGTGCATTTGGATGATCCTTAAGTGGATTGGGAGAATGTCATATGGTCAGATGAAACCAAAATATAACTTTTTGGTAAAAACTCAACTCGTCGTGTTTGGAGGACAAAGAATGCTGAGTTGCATCCAAAGAACACCATACCTACTGTGAAGCATGGGGGTGGAAACATCATGCTTTGGGGCTGTTTTTCTGCAAAGGGACCAGGACGACTGATCCGTGTAAAGGAAAGAATGAATGGGGCCATGTATCGTGAGATTTTGAGTGAAAACCTCCTTCCATCAGCAAGGGCATTGAAGATTAAACGTGGCTGGGTCTTTCAGCATGACAATGATCCCAAACACACCGCCCGCCCGGGCAACGAAGGAGTGGCTTCGTAAGAAGCATTTCAAGGTCCTGGAGTGGCCTTGCCCGTCTCCAGATCTCAACCCCATAGAAAGTCTTTGGAGGGAGTTGAAAGTCTGTGTTTCCCAGCGACAGCCCCAAAACATCACTGCTCTAGAGGAGATCTGCATGGAGGAATGGGCCAAAATACCATTAACAGTGTGTGAAAACCTTGTGAAGACTTACAGAAAACGTTTGACCTGTGTCATTGCCAACAAAGGGTATATAACAAAGTATTGAGAAACTTTTGTTATTGACCAAATACTTATTTTCCACCATAATTTGCAAATAAATTCATTAAAAATCCTACAATGTGATTTTCTGGATTTTTTTCCCTCATTTTGTCTGTCATAGTTGACGTGTACCTATGATGAAAATTACAGGCCTCTCTCATCTTTTTAAGTGGGAGAACTTGCACAATTGGTGGCTGACTAAATACTTTTTCCCCCCACTGTATCCAGAAGCTATTTTCGGTCGTAAGAGATGGTGGCAGAAACATTATGTACAAAATAAGTTACAAATAATGCGAAAAAACACACATAGTAGCACAATTGTTTAGGCGCCTGTAGAACGACAGCCATCTCCACCTACGCCATTTAATTTAAAGACTTTAATGTTCTGAGAGATTATGAAGAAACAAAGGTTTTATACAAGGGAGTGGTATATTCCCACAACAGTACCTGTTAGGCTGTACACCATGTGATGTAAACCAGAGTTGAATTTGCAGGGTTTGTGGAGCTTGTGATGATGACACTTAAAGCCACCCTCTTCAGGAATGGAGGAAGCAGGATGTGGGCATGTTGAAGCAGGCAGCGGGGTTTGTGGAGCTTTTGACGATGATGCTTCAAGCCACCCTCTTCAGGAATGCAGGAAGCAGGGTGTGGACATGTTGAAGTAGGCAAGCCAGCAGTGTTTGTGGAGCTTGTGATAAGGATGCTTAAAGCCACCTAATTTGTGAATACCATCAAGTATAGACCAACAACAAAAATGCTAACAATGGAGCAAATGCTTCCCATGACATTTTCACCTGCAAATAACACTTGATTTGCATGATACATCTGTAGTTCTTAAAAACGTTAATGTTCTTAGAGATATGAGGAAACAAAGGTTTAATAAAATGAGAGAGATACAGTGAGGGAAAAAAGTATTTGATCCCCTGCTGATTTTGTACGTTTGCCCACTGACAAAGAAATGATAAATCTATACTTTTAATGGTAGGTTTATTTGAACAGTGAGAGACAGAATAACAACAACAAAATCCCGAAAAATGCATGGCAAAAATGTTATAAATTCATTTGCATTTTAATGAGGAAAATAAATATTTGACCCCCTCTCAATCAGAAAGATTTCTGGCTCCCAGGTGTCTTTTATACAGGTAATGAGCTGAGATTAGGAGCACACTCTTAAAGGGAGTGCTCCTAATCTCAGCTTGTTACCTGTATAAAAGACACCTGTCCACAGAAGCAATCAATCAATCAGATTCCCAACTCTCCACCATGGCCAAGACCAAAGAGCTCTCCAAGGATGTCAGGGACAAGATTGTAGACCTACACAAGGCTGGAATGGGCTACAAGATCATCGCCAAGCAGCTTGGTGAGAAGGTGACAACAGTTGGTGCGATTATTCGCAAATGGAAGAAACACAAAAGCACTGTCAATCTCCCTCGGCCTGGGACTCCATGCAAGGTCTCACCTCGTGGAGTTGCAATGATCATGAGAACGGTGAGGAATCAGCCCAGAACTACACGGGAGGATCTTGTCAATGATCTCAAGGCAGCTGGGACCATAGTCACCAAGAAAACAATTGGTAACACACTACGCCGTGAAGGACTGAAATCCTGCAGCGCCCGCAAGGTCCCCCTACTCAAGAAAGCACATATACAGGCCCGTCTGAAGTTTGCCAATGAACATCTGAATGATTCAGAGGAGAACTGGGTGAAAGTGTTGTGGTCAGATGAGACCAAAATCGAGCTCTTTGGCATCAACTCAACTTGCCGTGTTTGGAGGAGGAGGAATGCTGCCTATGAACCCAAGAACACCATCCCCACCGTCAAACATGGAGGTGGAAACATTATGCTTTGGGGGTGTTTTTCTGCTAAGGGGACAGGACAACTTCACCGCATCAAAGGGACGATGGACGGGGCCATGTACCGTCAAATCTTGGGTGAGAACTTCCTTCCCTCAGCCAGGGCATTGAAAATGGGTCGTGGATGGGTATTCCAGCATGACAATGACCCAAAACACATGGCCAAGGCAACAAAGGAGTGGTTCAAGAAGAAGCACATTAAGAAGCACATTAAGGACCAGAAAGTGGTCAAAACAGCAGTTTGAAATCTTGGTCTACCATTCAAATCTGAAATCAGAACAGAAATATCTACTATCAATCAAGAGATACCACCGTTTAAATAATCACATCAGCTACTTTAATTAAGCTAACTTCTTACTGTTGAATAAAATGGCATTGAACAATCAGAAATGTCAAATTATAGCACTTCCAGGGGTACGGTCCGGTAATAAAAAAATTAATAGTTGGGGTACGCCGTTCTGGTACACATGAGCCTATCACAATAATGAAAACAAAATGTCAAGAAAACTGTAGGCTATTACACCATTATAATTACCGCGGACAGCAATGGATGCATAAATTCTGGCCTAATGACAATCGCCAAATGTATTTAACTTTTTGGTGTTTTGTATAACATACAGTACCAGTCAAAAGTTTGGACACACCTACTCACTCTAGGGTTTTTCTTTATATTTACTATTTTCCACATTGTAGGATAATAGTGAAGACATCAAAACTATGAAATAATTCATATGGAATCATGTAGTAACCAAAAAAGTGTTAAACAAATCAAATATATTTTAGATTTTAGATTCTTCAAAGTAGCCTTGATGACAGCTTTGCACACTCTTGGTATTCTCTCAACCAGCTTCACCTGGAATGCTTTTCCAACAGTATTGAAGGAGTTCCCACATATACTGAGCACTTGTTGGCTGATTTTCCTTCACTCTGAGGTACAACTCATCCCAAACCATCTCAATTGGGTTGAGGTTGAGTGATTGTGGAGGCCAGATCATCTGATGCAGCACTCCATCACTCTCCTTCTTGGTCAAATAGCCCTAAAACAGCCTGGAGGTGTGTTGGGTCATTGTCCTGTTGAAAAACAAATGATAGTCCCACTAAGCGCAAACCAGAAGGGATGGCGTATCGCTGCAGAATGCTGTGGTAGCCATGCTGGTTAAGTGTGCCTTGAATTCTAAATAAATCACAGACAGTGTCACCAGCAAAGCACCCCCACACCGTCACACCTCCTCCTCCATGCTTCACGGTGGGACCCACACATGAGATCATCCGGAGATCATCCGTTCACCTACTCTGCGTCTCACAAAGACACGGTGGTTGGAACTGAAAATCTCAAATTTGGACTCATCAGACCAAAGGACAGATTTCCACCGGTCTAATGTCCATTTCTCGTGTTTCTTGGCCCTAGCAAGTCTCTTCTTATTATTGGTGTCCTTTAGTAGTGGTTTCTTTGCAGCAATTCGACCATGAAAGCCTGATTCATGCAGTCTCCTCTGAACAGTTGATGTTGAGATGGGTCTGTTACTTGAACTCTGTGAACCATTTATTTGGGCTGCAATTTCTGAGGCTGGTAACTGTAATGAACTTATCCTCTTCGGCAGAGGTAACTCTGGGTCTTCCTTTCCTGTGACGGAACTCATGAGAGCCAGTTTCATCATTGCTCTTGATGGTTTTTGTGACTGCACTTGAAGAAACTTTAAAAGTTCTTGACATTTTCTGTATTGACTGACCTTCATGTCTTAATGCAATGATGGATTGTCGTTTCTCTTTGCTTATTTGAGCTGTTCTTGCCATAATATGAACTTGGTCTTCTACCAAATAGGGCTATCTTCTGTATACCACCCCTACCTTGTCACAACACAACTGATTGGCTCAAACGCATTAAGAAGGAAAGAAATTCCACAAATTAACTTTTAACACAGCACACCTGTTAATTGAAATGCATTCCAGGTGACTACCTCATGAAGCTGGTTGAGAGAATGCCAAGAGTGTGCAAAGCCGCCATCAAGGCAAAGGGTGGGTACTTTGAAGGATCTCAAATATAAAATACATTTTGATTTGTTTAACACTTTTTTGGTTACTACATGATTCCATGTGTGTTATTTCATAGTTTTGATGTCTTCACTATTATTCTACAATGTGGAACATAATCACATTAAAGAAAAACCCTTGAATGAGTAGGTGTGTCCAAACTTTTGACTGGTACTGTATGTCTCTTCCATTCACCACGGTTTGGAGGCTGGAAATACATGTATGTTGGTAGTGGGTGAACGTGAGTAACCTAGTAAAGGAGCCCTTTGAAGTGATTGTTTGACAAGTGCGTGCACACATAGGATGTCCCATACTGGGAATAAATTAATTATACTTTCAAGTAAATCAAGTCTTATTTGCATGTGCTCCAATGTTAACATTGTTGTTGGTGACCCAGTTTTTGAGGGTATTCACAAATCACAAAGTAGCATGACAACATCACAAAAAACAGAGACACAGTATTTGCATAGCAGTCAGGGCAAATACTGTACATAGCAGCATCTAAGGTACATCAAGAATGCTGAGTGACACTGAGGATTGAGTGACATTTCATTTTGGTACTAGCGAACGGTAAATGTGAGTAGGAGTAGGCCTACTGGTATTGTTCAGTATAAGGATGGAAGCCCAAAAAATCCTACCACACCTGTTCCCCTAGGATGTGTCACTAATTATCTATTGCTGAGCAATAATCCTGCGTATTTTCCCAGTTTCTGTCACTCCCAGTGCGTGTGTGTGTGTGTGTGTGTGTTTGTGTGTGTAACTGGGCCTATATAAGATGACAGAGGATGGGACTAGAGTGTGGATATCAAGAGGAGATCAACTGGAGGTGAAGATTAAGACTGGACTAGTCTGCCGTACTACACTATACATCTCTGGTAAGACTTCTCTGTCTAAACACTGCATGTAGCATTTGTGTGTTGTTTTATTATTTTATTGATTATATATATAATATTGCTCATGTTGTAAAGCCGTTTGAAACAATATGTCTTTGTAAAAAGTGCTATACAAATCAATGTGATTGATTGTTGTGTAATAGAATGATGCAGGTGACCTTTATTCAAATCAGTCTAGAGTCTTTGGCTTCTAGTTTTGAAGTCACATTGATAGATGTGTTTAGGACAAAATATATTAGAATGTCTTTGGGTTTCAACTGAGCCCTATAGCTCCTTGGACCCAAATGTGATAATTTAGAGTAATTGACTATCACAGTACTGTTATTATTATTTATTTATTTTTTACTACGAATAACATCTTATCAAGAGATTTCTGACCCTATGACATGGATACAAACAAAGGGATTGGTTTGTGTTTAAAGGATATTTTTAAGTGAATTCAGCGAGAGCAATGTGGAAACCAAAAGATACTCTTAAGGTAAGAAACTCATCATCACGATACAGATAATACATTTGTCTGAAAGAAACCACACAATATTATAAAATCCCTTCTTATTGAAATGCTATGCTACTGCATAGTGGATATCGCTCAAATATATATTGAATAAAGCCCTTTTCTGTTGCTGTCAATACTAAGTCCACCAAATTGTATCATAATGAAAGGAAACTTACTTCATTATGTTTATGTACAGTACCAGTCAAAAGTTTGGACACACCTACTCATTCCAGGGTTTTTCATTATTTCTACTATTTTCTACATTGTAGAATAATAGTGAAGACATCAAAACTATGAAATAGCACATATGGAAACATGGGGTAACCAAAAAAGTGTTAAACAAATCAAAATATAGTTTATATTTGAGATTCTTCAAAGTAGCCACCCTTTTTATTTTATTTTACTAGGCAAGTCAGTTAAGAACAAACTCTTATTTACAATGATGTCCTACCCCGGACGACGCTCCCAATCACAGCTGGATTGTGATACAGCCCGGAATTGAACCAGGGTTTGTAGTAATGCCTCTAGTACTGAAATGCAGTGCCTTAGACCGCTGCGCCACTCGGGAGCTTTGCCTTGATGACAGCTTTGCACACTCTTGGGATTCTCTCAACTAACTTCATGAGGTAGTCACCTGGAATGCATTTCAATTTCAATTGTTAAAAGTTAATTTGTGGAATTTCTTTCCTTCTTAATGCATTTGAGCCAATCAGTTGTGTTGTGACAAGGTAGGGGTGGTATACAGAAGATAGCCCTATTTGGTAGAAGACCAAGTCCATATTATGACAAGAACAGCTCAAATAAGCAAACAGAACCAACAGTCCATCTTTACTTTAAGACATGAAGGTCAGTCAATACGGAACATTTCAAGAACTTTGAAAGTTTCTTCAAGTGCAGTTGCAAAAACCATCAAGCTCTATGATGAAACTGGTTCTCATGAGGACCACCACAGGAAAGGAAGACCCAGAGTTACCTCTGCTGCAGAGGATAAGTTCATTAGAGTTAACTGCACTGCAGATTGCAGCCCAAATAAATGGTTCACATAGTTCAAGCAACAGACACATCTCAACATCAACTGTTCAGAGGAGACTGCGTGATTCAGAACTTCATTATCGAATTGCTGCAAAGAAAACACTACTAAAGGACACCAAGAAGAAGAAGAGACTTGCTTGTTGTGATGGTGTGGGGGTGCTTTGCTGGTGACACTGTGTGTGATGTATTTAGAATTCAAGGCACACTTAACCAGCATGGCTACCACAGCATTCTGCAGCGATACACCATCACATCTGGTTTGCGCTTAGAGGGAGAATAATTTGTTTTTCAACAGGACAATGACCCAACACACCTCCAGGCTGTGTAAGGACATTTTGACCAAGAAGGAGAGTGATGGAGTGCTGCATCAGATGAACTGGCCTCCACAATCACCTGACCTCAACCCAATTGAAATGGTTTAGGATGAGTTGGACCACAGAGTGAAGGAAAAGCAGCTAACAAGTGCTTAGCATGTGTGGGAAATACTTCAAGAATGTTGGAAAAGCATTCCAGGTTAAGCTGGTTGAGAGAATGCCAAGAGTGTGCAAAGCTGTCTTCAAGCCAAAGGGTGGCTACTTTGAAGAATCTAAAATCAAAAATATATTTTGATTTGTTTAACACTTTTTTGGTTACTACATGATTCCATATGTGTTATTTCATAGCTTTGATGTCTTCACTACTATTCTACAATGTAGAAAATTGTAAGACAAAAGGGGAAAAAAAACGAATGAGTAGGTGTGTCCAAACCTTTGACTGGTAATGTTACTGTATAGTGTACACACTCGTAAGGTAAGAAACTCATCAGAATATGAGGATGACTGTTGTCGGCAACATACCACACTGTACTGTAATACATAGCTATGAATATGCATCCAGAATTAAGGAATAACATATACTTTACTGACAAACAGAGTATAAGCTGTCAGAATTATGTTTTATTTATCTTCAAAAAACGTTTTATTGAAATGCCATGTTACTTGAGAAATGTTATGGCTCAATTAAACCAAATTGTATCATCATGGAATAATAGACTGTACACATACTTTTTTCTGTCTCTTTCGTTCATTCTGTCAGACTGTGCGTCTGTCTCAGTCCATCAATGATGAGGAGAGAACATACGTGACGATGAGGAAGACTCTGATTAAGAAGTGGCTGAAAGATCAAGATATCGACTGTAAACTAGTGGGTAGTCCTGTCTTCTCTATCTTTCGATCACTCTCTCTCACACACGTGCCCTTTCTCTAACTCCCCCCTCTCTCCACAGCCAACTACATATCGATCACCTTCCCCACTCCTGACGTGAAATTCTCCAGATTTGATCTCTCTCTCTCTCTCTCTCTCTCTCTCTCTCTCTCTCTCTCTCTCTCTCTCTCTCTCGCTCTCTCTCTCTCTCTGTCTCTCTCTCTCTCTCTCTCCCCATCTCTCAGGAGGATGTTCCTAACATAGCGTTGCTGGGGTCAGGTGGTGGAGAGAGGGCAGCAGTGGGCATGCTGGGATCGCTGTGCCAGCTGGCACAGGACGACCTGCTGGACAGCCTCCTCTACATGTGTGGGGTGTCGGGCAGCACCTGGTACACACACACGTATTTACTATTATTCTTAGCAGGAAAGTTCATTTTGAATGTGCTGAAACAAATTAGGTATCTGGCTCTCTCCTTCTCCCTCTCACACACACACACACACACACACACACACACACACACACAGGTGCATGTCATCCCTGTACAGCAATCCAGCTGAGTCATTGAGTAAGAGTTGTGTTGAAATAATAAAGAAGCTGAAGGGTCCTACGGTGGACTTGAGCAAGGCTGTGGAGTGGCTGAAATTGAGGAAAGAACAAAACCAGGACTTCAACCTCACTGACTTCTGGGGCGCATTCACTGCCTCCTATTTCATGAAAGAGGTCAGTGTATGGTTGTGTGTATCTGTCTGTTTGCCAGTGTGTGTGTGTTTGTGTCTATTTGTCAGTCTGCCAGTGTGTGTATCTGCCTCTGTTGGGCTGATTATTTCTCCCCCGTCTCTCCATTCTTTACATTTACATTTTAGTCATTTAGCAGACGCTCTTATCCAGAGCGACTTACAGTTAGTGAATGCATTTTTTTTTTATACTGGCCCCCCATGGGAATCGAACCCACAACCCTGGCGTTGCAAACGCCATGCTCTATCAACTGAGCTCTCCCCCCATGTCTCTCCCCCATGTCTCTCCCCATCTGTCTCCCCCCCACCCATCTCCCCCCTGTCTCCCCCCTGTCTCTCCCCCCTTGTTCTCTCTCTCCTGTATCAGATGAACACTTGCTGTCTTTCTGAAGATGCTCACAGGAAAATCATCAAACCATACCCCATCTACAGTGCCATAGAACTGGACTGCCACAGACAGGGTTACACTAAAGGTGACTGTTATGCAGGGTTCATGCAAACTCTGAAATTCTGAACTTTCTGAGTTTCCTAGTTTCGAGTGCACTGTGAACGCAGCATCAATGTATCAATCAAATGTAATTGCATTGCACTTTTTAGAAAGACAATTGTCTCAAAGTGCAAGAACAATACAAATAATATAAACAATTAATACAATATGAACGATATGAACTAACACTCATCTGTAGACGCCCAAAAAGCAAGCCAAGCATTAGTCTGAGTCCCAGTCGGGCTCTGCTTAGAAGTAGTGCACTTTATAAGGAATAGGGTGTCATTTCAGACAAAGCCAATGAGTGTACATTTCTGTAATTTCACTGTTTTCTCCAGGGGTATGGTTTGAGATGACCCCCCACGAGAGCGGCTTCTCCGGATTGGGCGCTTTCGTCCCCACTTCCTGTCTCGGGAGCCAGTTTGAAGGCGGGACTCTGAGAGAGAAGAGGAAGGAAATGGACATGGTTCTGCTGCAAGGTGGGGATTGCACACACACACACACACACACACACACACACACACACACAGAAGCACATGCACACAAACACACACACGCACACAAACATACCCACACACAAACGCACACACACAGAAATGTGTCCCCATTGTTGATATGATCAGGTGTTTTACAACTCTCATAGATGGTTATTTATTGTTGTTTGTTTGTTGTTGTTGGGCAGGTATCTGTGGGAGTGCCATTGCAGACGGGCAGATGAACAATGCTGAGGTAGTAAAAAAGATCTGGGGCTTATTTGGAGGTAAGCTACAGTGCAGCATGCTAGTTAGCCTGTAAGGCTAGTGTATAGGATTGTAAGTTGTATTTAGGATCATTGACACAACGTTCCCTTTGCGTTCATTTGTGATAAATAATGTTTCTTTCTTTCTCCTTTACCATATCTTTAGGTGGCAAGAACGTTTCAAACTCAGGTAAGAGTTAACTTCTTGCAATAAGGTGGTCTTTCACCCCTTCCTTTACCCCCACCCATCCAGATGATAAAACATCCATCAAAGAAAACGATAGAGACAAAATACAAAAGATTAGTCAATAAGAAATAAATAAAATGAACCTAGTGCCTGTATGTACAATACAACCCAGGAACAGACCCAGTACAGAAACACAAAGAAACAACAACAACAAGGAAGAGAATCACCTTCAATCAAAAATAAACAGAAAACGTTCAACAATGAACTACAGGACAATTCTAGACAGTAAACTACAGGACAATACTAGACAGTAAACTACAGGACAATACTAGATCATAAACTACAGGACAATACTAGACAATAAACTACAGGACAATAGTAGACAATAAACAACAGGACAATACTAGACAATAAACTACAGCACAATACTAGACAATAAACTACTGGACAATACTAGACAATAAACTACAGGACAATACTAGACAATAAACTACAGGACAATACTAGACAGTAAACTACTGGACAATACTAGGATATAAACTACAGGACACTACTCTACTGTGTCCCGAGTGGCGCAGTGGTCTAAGGCACTGCATCGCAGCGCTAACTGTGCCACTAGAGATCCTGGTTTGAGTCCAGGCTCTGTCGCAGCTGACTGCGACCGGGAGACCCATGAGCGGTGCACAATTGGTCCAAGTTAGGAGAGGGTTTGGCCGTCAGGGATGTGGGTTCGTTTACCATGGGGGGCCAGTGTAAAGAAAAACATGTATGCATTCACTAACTGTAAGTTGCTCTGGATAAGAGCGTCTGCTAAATGACTAAAATGTAAACGTACTAGACCATAAACTACAGGACAATCCTAGACCATAAACTACAGGACAATATATTGGCATGGGTGTTGTTAGGCTTGAGACAAAGTTGAGGCTTGGCAAACCGTGCCAATATATCCTCCAAACACCGGCTTCGAGGGCATTATCACTTTTATACAATGGGTTACCAACATATTCAAATAATGATTGACATATTTTCATTTAAAACGTTCTTTTGATGGATGTATTCATACTATTTCATCCTTCCACAAGATATAGTCCCAACACAAATCTAGGGTTGCTACCCAAGCCGGCTGGTCATTCGTTGTATCGTTTCGGTTGCTAGGAAAAATAACGTTCAGTCTTTTTGTTCGTTCTAAATCGTTATTTTTCCTTGCTTGCTAGCTAGCCAACTACGGCTAATTTACAGTCATGTCAAAAAGTGCAGCCAGAATAACAGCAATATAGCTGCATTTGCATTTGTTTAAGCTGTTTTCTAGTGACATTTGTTAAATTGCGTCAATTCAAATCTGGTATTGGGAACAAAAGAGGTCAATACACGTCTTCTAAAATAGACTAGTATTTTAATTAATGCAAAACACTTCAATGGTAAATATGATGTTCGTATATACGGGTCCACTGAAATACCACGCAGGGCAGACAGAGAACTGGTCCATTGTTATAAGTTCTTCTTTAAATACTCTGACAGAGATAGTTCCTGCTCCCTGCTGGCCTATCAGAGTAGAGACTGAGCGTGGTTTAGACTTACTCAGCCTATCGTTGGCGGACAGGCTGGTCCCAGCCCCTTGGCGCTTCACTGTTGCCAGGTGTTTAGTTGTTTTGCAACTTGTCCAGAGAGTCAGCAACCTCAGACATCTTTGTAGCAGAACACATGTCCTTGAGCGTTCTAACAAAGAGGCAGTGTTTGTGTCTGTGAGACACAAGTCTGTCTCGGCCTACCCCCTAACAGTTCCTCACATGAATCACAGCTTGTTATGTTAAACAGTCTATATCAGTACAGCACAAACCTATTATGTTTAATCATTAATGTATTATTTCTAAGCTAGGCATCACATCTAGTTATAAGAAAATAGAGCCCCACACATTTAATTGGATACATCCCTAACAATGAGCTAATGAGGTGCGATTTCGCCTGGCATAGAGAATGTGCTCACTTGTCAAGGCCACTGTTGTTCAGAGGAGCTAGCCAACAACACTGCAAACACAATCACTTCAAACTAAATCTGGAAAGACTGCAAACTAGCTTTGTTTTGTTTTACCTGTTTTCAATTGACATTTCTTTGTATGTATCCATAAAAATGATTCCAGCTGATTCATGATTTCGACTGGCTGAGAAACGCTGCCTGCCTGTCTGTCTCGTCCCGACTCCCGACACGTTCATTACTATGGGACAGCTGGAGATCGAATTTCAAAATTGAAACAATGTTGCAAATGTCGGCGAGATAGACATCTGTTGAAAACTAAATGTTAGTCTAAAAGAAATGTGAGATTATGTCTGGATACTTTTTATATTAGAGATCAAGTTTATAAAGTGCCATGCTGGGCTGATGAGACAGTGGGCTGCGCAGTCAGATGGAACAGAGTAAATAGGTATTTTAAAGTAATAGATTTAGCCGGTGGTAACTTGTGGAATAGACACCGGCTGGAATGCGGTTTTAACCAATCAGCATTCAGGATTAGACCCACCCGTTATATAATAGACAATAAACTACAGGACAATAGTAGACAAACTACAGGACAATACTAGACATTATACAACGGGTGGGTCTAATCCTGAATGCTGATTGGTTAAAACCGCATTCCAGCCGGTGTGGGGAGATAAATGGACCAGAGGAGGCTGGTGGGAGGAGCTATAGGAGGTTGGGCTCATTGTAATGGCTTGAATGCAGTAGGCCAAGAGGACATCCTCAAGGTCCGAGGACGACACTTGAGATTTACATGTCTCAGGCAGGGCTACCTCATCATGAGAGGAGGGCGTGTTTCCAAATCACCTCCGCTACACTTGACCAACCTGTTTTGTTCTGCAGGGGAGGACAGCATGAGGTTGGAGTTTGTGAGTAAAGGGGAGGTGAAGGTGTGTAACTGTCTGCCCTCCCGAGTGGTGAGGTGTGTGTCTGAGCTGATAGAGTACGCTGAGGACCCAGATGCACTGAAGACATGGAAAGTCATCGCCACACTGGAACAGCTACTGAAAGGTGAGATACATACACACATACACACACACACACAATCAAAAAGACACCATTATCATGACCTGTGTGATAATGTGTATAATGACTCTAGGTCATGTGAGCAGTAAGGGCGAGATGCTGTGGAACATGGACGCTGAGAGGTGGCAGAGAACCAGCCTGATGGAGAGAAAGAAGTTCATAGAGAAAGTCAGTCTGGAGCTCATCCTCACCTCAGACAGCTGGACAAAAGACTGGGAGGACCAAAGCTGCACCTGCAACGGTAACACTGGCATCATATTGCTCCAACACCATGTTAGCCCATTGAACTAAAGCCTACATTCTGAGAAAAAAAGGGTTCAACAAGGATTATTTGGCTGTCCATGTGGGAGAACCCTTTGAAGAACCTTTATGGGTTCCATGTACTGTCGAACCCCATTAGGTTCCATTTATAACCTTCTGTGGAAAAGGTTCTACATGGAACCTAAAAGGGTGTCATGGAAATTATTCTACATGAAACCCAAAAGGGATATTCAAAGTGTTCTCCCACAGTGACAGTCAAAGAACCCTTTATAGGTAGGTAGGACTATGTAGCACTTTTTTTTCTTAGAGGCATTACCCTCTGCACCTGCAAAGGTAACACTAGCTTCCACAGTGCCACTTTTCTTAAGTGACTTTAGCTTTATGACTCAAGACCGTGTTAGTTCACTGAGCTGATACCTTGGAACTTAGTTTTTTTTATAGTAGGTTTGGGCATCTGGATGTAAAATGCAGTATGGTTATGTGGTAATATTGTCTTAGTGTAAGCTTAGGGGAGGCTGGTGGAGGGAGAAATCAGAGGACGGCTTTTTGTAATGCTTGGGAATGGCATGAGGAACGGTATCAAACACGTGTTTGGTACGATTTCTCATTCCGTTCCATCCATTACAATGAACCCATCCTCCAATTTTGCCCACCACCAGCACCCTGTGGTTCAGCATCATGTCCAGCCACCCAGTCACTTATAGGATACGTGCTCCTGCTGTCCGCAATAGTGGTTACTGGCTAAGTGTGTGTGCACACGTATCAGACAATAGCAACCGGCAGAGAGATACAAATGGAAAATTGGCTTGCAAGGTGTTAGATTGGGGTTGGTGAGCGGGCGTACAACAATGACTTGCAACCTGAACGTCAGGAGTTCAAATCAGCTTCGGGTAAATTTTGACAAAAGTGCTTTAAGTGTTTACATTTTCTAATTCTTGTTGCTAATGCACATTTTTGATAGTACCTTCCACTGATAACTTACCCTTATCCCAGTCACTCAAAGTGAATGCCTAACCTTAACCACTCAAAGTTAATGTCTAACCTTAACCACTCAAAGCTAATGCCTAACCTTAACCCTTACCACTCAAAGTTAATGCCTAACCTTAACCCTAACCACTCAAAGTTAATGTCTAACCTTAACACTAACCACTCAAAGCTAATGCCTAACCTTAACCCTTACCACTCAAAGTTAATGCCTAACCTTAACCCTAACCACTCAAAGTTAATGCCTAACCTTAACCCTTACCACTCAACGTTAATGCCTAACCTTAACCCTTACCACTCAAAGCTAATGCCTAACCTTAACCCTTACCACTCAACGTTAATGCCTAACCTTAACCCTAACCACTCAAAGTTAATGCCTTAACCTTAACTAGTGATGTTACGTTTGATACTGGAGCTCTGAGGCATGTATCGAAGTAGCTAAGCAGCTAACTTTGAAGCAGTCTGCCGGTGCGTGTATTACTTTATCAAAAGTACGACATCAATGACGTCCAAAGCTTTATTTTTATCACATGCTTTTTCGAACCGTGTGTTACATGGCAGATCCTGAGCTGATCCTTTTTGTCTTATCCTCTGCAGCTAAAGGGATGGAGAAAACGATGGAAATGACAGCCAAGCCAGCCATGTCATCCAGCGAGAGAATAAGAAACCCCGGGGTCCCCGATAGTACTGTTCTTTTCATTACCTTTCTATCCACTATGATTGCAACGGAAAGTGTGTGTTTGTTTGTTCGTGTGTGTGTGTGTGTGTGTGTGTATGTATGTATTCCGGTAAAGGAAGGATACAGAACAGACTGCATACTCTCTCCATCACTGAGATATTTTTTGGACCAGTTAGGAATTATTTGACAATTGGTGTGTGTGTCTCCCCCAGAGTTGTGGATTGTACATACCATTTTCCCTCTGGTCATAAAATGGGAATGGGGAACCGTGTCCAACTTCCTCTTCAAGATCCAAGGTACAGTAACATCAGACTTCTTCCTAACATGATAGCATAACTAGTATCAGTCATAGCCAGGATCTTGTGTTTCCCTCCAAAATAGCAACTTTCTTGGTTGGTTCTCTCTCAACCACCCTCTCTACTCTCTCTCTCTACTCTCTCTCTCTCTCTCTCTCTCTCTCTCTCACTCTCTCTCTTCCCCTCTCTCTCTTCCTCTCTCTCTCCCCCCTCTCTTCCCCTCTCTCTCCCCCTCTCTCTTCCCCTCTCTCTCCCCCCCTCTCTCTACTCTCTCTCACTCTCTCTCTCTCTACCCCCCTCTCTCTACCCCTCTCTCTGTACCCCCCCTCTCTCTATACCCCACCCTCCCCCTCTCTCGCTCTCCCTCTCTATGCTCTCTCTCTACCCCTCTCTCTCTCGCTCTCGCTCTACCTACCTCTCTCTACCTCTCTGTACCCCCACTCGCTCTCTCTCTCTGTACAACCTCTCTCTCTCTCCACCCCCTCGTCTCCCCCCCCCCCCCCCCCCCCCCCTCTCTCTACCCCCTCTCTCTCTCTACCCTCTGTCTCTTGCTCTCTCTACCCCTCTCAATTCAATTTCAATTTAAGGGCTTTATTGGCATGGGAAACCTATGTTAACATTGCCAAAGCAAGTGAAGTAGATAATAAACAATAAAAATGAATAGTAAACATTACACTCACAAAAGTTCCAAAATAATAAAGACATTTCAAATGTCATATTATGTGCCAATAGCTAAAGTACAATATGGTCATACATTTGGCAGGAGGTTAGGAAGTGCAGCTCAGTTTCCACCTCATTTTGTGGGCAGTGTGCACATAGCCTGTCTTCTCTTGAGAGCCAGGTCTGCCTACTGCGGCCTTTCTCAATCTCAAGGCTATGCTCACTGAGTCTGTACATAATTCATAATTCTCCCCCCCCCCCCCCTTTTCTCTACCTCCCCAGCTACTAACGTTCCGAGCCGCATAGCGTCCAAAGAGAAGATTCACCTGGTAGACGCTGGGTTAAAGATCAACTCTCCCTATCCCCCCATCCTGCGCACATCGAGGAAAGTCGACCTCATCATCTCCTTGGACTTCAGTGCGGGAGACCCCTTTCAGGCAAACACACACACACACACACACACACACACACACAATGCTTATTCCTATTCAAGCCTTTCAGAAGAACATGAAGTGCCTAGGTAGTAGTGAACCTCTGTCTCTCTCTCTCCCCTCTCTCTAGGGAGTAGGGCCTAGGGCACGTGTCAAACTCATTCCACAGAGGGCTGAGTGTCTGCGGGTTTTCGCTCCACCCTTGTACTTGATTGATGCATGAAGGTCACTAATTAGTAAGGAACTCCCCTCACCCGGTTGTGTAGGTCTTAATTGAAAGGAAAAAACTAAAACCAGCAGCCACTCGGCCCTCCGTGGAATGAGTGACACCCCTGGCCTAGAAAGTAGGGACTAGGAAGTAGGGCCTAGGGAGTAGGGGCTAGGTAATAGTGACTAGGAAGTAGGGAGTAGTGACTAGGAAGTAGGGACTAGGGGCTGGTTTGGAGAAGGACATTGAAATAACCATACTACTGATCCTGCTCCTCACAGACGGTGCGTAGTGCCAAAACGTACGCGCTTCTGCTGGAGGTCCCCTTTCCCCCAGTGAAGCAGAGTGTGTGGGAGGAGAAAGACCATCCTGAGGACTGCTACGTTTTCGAGGGGAAAAGCCCTGAAGTGCCCACCATCATGCACATGCCCCTGTTCAACCTGCAGAACTGCCAAGGTCTGTGGAAGACACTGACTCCTATGATGACTATCTATGTCTTACTTTTATCCTTGTCTCTCTGACTACGCCCTATTCTGATTTAGAGCTTTTATTTTCTGTCTTTTTCTTTTTTATCTGCACCAATTGTCTGCTTTTTTATGATGGCGTTCGTATTTTTATCAGGAACCCCATTTGCTACAGCCAAAGCTGTAGCTACTCTTCCTGGGGTCCACACAAAACATAAAATATGGCATACATAACATTAAAAGACAATTACAGCCGAAGGACAGAACTACTTAAAATGACATACATAACATTGATAGACACACTTTCATATGATTATTATGCAGCCTACACTCATAATAAAGAATACACTGCAGTCCTCCATTTTTTACAGTTACTTACTGTTACAACTGCTGGTCCTGATCCTAATCTCTCAGAACCAGTTGTTCTGTAAACTCTAGAGAGAATATCTCAACATTACCACCTATGTCCTTGGTTCTCCCGTCGGACATCAATACTATTCATAAATCATGTGATTAATTGATGCTACTGAATGCAAGCGCAACGAAAAATGACAATGGAAATGCAACAATTCCATTCAGCTCATAAATGAACCAAACAATGAGCTACAGATGGTTTCCTCCCTGCTAAGGCTTCAATGTAATCATTCACCTCAGCAACCGTGTGGGAATTTCATCCAGCTAAAGTACATACATGTTATTCAATCATTGCACCCACACTGCTCGCGCATGTCAACGAGCCTCTGCGTAGCCAGGCGCTAAAATAGAACATGGTTATATGTGTGACACTCAACACGCCGCAAGTCCTGCCTCTCCCATGAGGAGATGGGAGAGGCGGGACTTGCAGCGCATCGATCATCACAAATAGAACCAAGTTCTATTTTAGCGCCTGGCTACTCAGACGCTCGTTGACGTGCGCGAGCAGTGTGTGTGCAATGATTGAATAACATGTATGTGTAAATGTATTTTGCAAGGATAACAGTCACACAGTGGCGGAATAAATTCAACTACACATACTTTGTTTAGTCACAAAACTGTCCACAAAGCCAATATTGCATGTAACAAACAGTTATCACCTGCAGCATGGTCAAACAAGTTGTTTTCGACAGTTTACTAAACAACTACTGATTTTTACAAGTCAACACAAAGACAACAGGAGCACTGCCTCCGCTATTCCAGCACCATTTCAACTTAAATATTGAATCATCATCAAGGCTATATATGCTTAGTTTAATACACTGAAAACAAACTTAAAGATAACAAAAACAATGTAGTCCAATGTTGCTAAATATCATGTGGCTGTCCATGGTACTGATTTGTCGCTGTGTGTGTGCGCTTTAGGCTCGGGGGTGTTTTAGATTTATTTTTGCTATTTTCACAACCAAAAATTATCAGCGTTGGCGCAAAAGGACTGGGTTTTGATTAATAACTTGTTTATTGTTTATTCATCAAAACCAAGTCCTTTTGCGCCAACGCCATCAGTGTGCTGATAATTGACGAGGCGTGGCCTCTCACTGGCCAATCAAAACTTGCCCCACCGCGAAATATGTGGTTGCTTCAAATTGTGTATTTAAGGTATTTTATGTATTGCCCTGGAGTCAACTCCAATTCCAATATTAGTCCGTTATAGTATGTTAAATGGCTTACAAAAACGAAATAACAAAAGTAGACATATCTTTGCTAAATACATTAACTTGAACCCATTTGCAGTCCACATTGTTCAAAGTAATTGCATGGCTTCAATAGCATTCACACTGATATAGGGGCTAGGCCTACTGTAAATTGCATTATGGCTGAGCATGGACATGCCAAACATTGTCAATAAGCAAAATTAAATTCATTATTGATAAGGCCTAAAAAGAGAACGAATAATTCTAAACAAAACAACTTGTTTTAAATAGGGTACCATAATTTCTCCCTGTGGGTATATACTATTAAAACAACGCAGACTATGGAGGGTTTTACGCACATCCAAACTTTTCACAGTAGCTGGACAAAGATCCAATATAAAGAGAAATGGAGAATGTCCACTCACCGTTATACTGCTCCCAAATATGACTATTTATTATGAACATAAATCGGAATCATCTTACAGATCAGATCGCAGTTGTATTGCAAGTGCGCCACATACGTTGTAACCGTAAAACCAGGAAGGTGAATCATTCTAATAAGATTTTGTTTTTCGTTTAATTTCATTACAACCATTTTTAAAATGTAATCGGCAGGATAAAAAAAAAGACACTCATTGCTGTTGAACCAGCCTTCGTTATAGTAGGCCTAGGGGAGGGCTTGGGTTTTGAACATATGAAACGGAAAACATGCAGTTGTTACAGGTTACAGATAACTTCTAAATATGAGGTTCACGAGTGTTCACCGAAGTTCTCATCTCTCGTTTCATGATGGGAATGGACACGTAGGTTTTTACGCACGTCCAAACGGGACCTCATGGCTAAAAGAATATGGGCCTGCCTACAATGCATACATAAGGGAATGCCAGCTCACTGTTTTACTCCTCTGGAAATTCCTATTTTAATAACGTTTTGGGGATTACGATTTATTTCCAAGCTGTCTCAAGAGCCAAACCCTTTATTGACAGTCTTGACTACTTTGCGATTGCTCTTGTTCCATGCGCATATGGGAAGTGTGTGTCACGCCAAAAAACAGCTTTTGGTTAGTCTTAAATATCCCTATCAGAGATGCCTGAAATTAGCACTTTGGATCATGTTTTTAAGAACACACCTCAAATATTATCACTTTGAGCGCAAGCAAACTGATATAAGACGGGTAAATGGCCGAACCTGGCGTTAGGGCTGGGAAATGCCAGTGGGTCCGTTTTTACATGACGAAATTGCAAACTCAGTGCATTTGACACTAGTGCCGCCTTAACCACCCAGCTGTAAACAGAGCCCTCTGTGTTCTAGGTCTGTGTTCTATATGTTCAAAGTTGTGTTGTAAGGTTCTGTGTTCTCTTCCTAGACGAGGAGGAGATTAAGAAGGAGAGGGAGAAGTACACAACGTTCCACCAGCACTACGATGCGTCTGAGATCCAACACATCATGGAGAAGGCCAAGGACAACTTGAAGAACAACAAAAACAGGATCCTGGAACAGATTTTTATGGCTGTCAAACGCAGAAAGAATCGCATGTCAGTGGCTCAATAGTCTTTATCTGTGGTGTAAAGTACTACTTAAGTATTTTTTGAGAGTATCTTTACTTTACTATTGATATTTGACAACTTTTGCTTCACTACATTCCTAAAGACCCACTGCATTGTTGGTTAAGAGCTTGTAAGTAATCATTTCAAATTTGATTTGATGTGGCACAGGGTGTTCATTCTTAACAGACAATGCTAAACCAACATGAGAAATGACAGCTGCTTTGAATTTATGGTGACATTAGCTATGCCTACTCTGGGGAAGTGTGCTCCAAAATACATTTGGCCAGTTTCAAACCAATCAATTGTAAGGGCTCCAGTAAACAAATTGCCCCCCTGTTATAAGACGCGTAAGACCCTCCAGCCCATGGTATAAGACGCGAAAGACCCTCCAGCCCATGGTATAAGACGCGAAAGACCCTCCAGCCCATGGTATAAGACGCGAAAGACCCTCCAGCCCATGGTATAAGACGCGTAAGACCCTCCAGCCCATGGTATAAGACGCGAAAGACCCTCCAGCCCATGGTATAAGACGCGTAAGACCCTCCAGCCCATGGTATAAGACGCGAAAGACCCTCCAGCCCATGGTATAAGACGCGAAAGACCCTCCAGCCCATGGTATAAGACGCGAAAGACCCTCCAGCCCATGGTATAAGACGCGTAAGACCCTCCAGCCCATGGTATAAGACGAGTAAGATGCACTCCCAGTTCAGCATTCAACCATAAAGAATTCAAAGCTCTTGTTCAAAAATCATAACAATCATTCATTCAACGAAACAGATTTACAACACAAGCCCGTTTGTTATCTAACAGCTATGAACTTTACTTAAGGTCCAAAAAACAAAGCAATCAGGTAACAAAAGTATAAACTATGGATGCGGTCAAAAACTGTTTGCCGCCATACCTTTCCATGCCAATATTGCCATAGGGAAACGGTACCCATGGAAAAAGGGATGTGTTCCTAGGTGAGCCACCATATTGCCAGTTCCAAACATAAGCATAATACATGAATTAATATGTTCTTACTTCCTTATTTTTATAGTGAATTCATTATCACATTATCATAGGCAATATTTCATAATATTTGTCTAAATGGAGCAAAACAAATATAGCACAAATAAAGAAAATGGGAATTTGGCTCCAACACCAGTGTTTATGGAAACAAAATCATGAATGACAACATCTATTTCTATGAGGTATCATAGAAGCTCATTTATCGATTGAAATTCTGGTGGCACAGGAAGTAAACACTGGGGACAGAAAGTTTCCACCCCCCTAAAGTATTTTCCACGATGCCCTTTCCATTCCGCCCAGACGTATGTTTACAACCCGACTTGCAAGCACGAAAAATTGAGTTAGCCGAATATGTTTGAGGCCATCATTTCGCAGGTGAGCAGTTCAATTCCCTGTAAAAATAAAATAAAATTTGAGATCCCTGATTCCATTTGTAGCACCCCACTCCTCTCTATTTGTTGATAGAATCTGTGGCTCTGGTCAAATCTATCTATTTAAATAGTCTGATTTATTGAGACTAGCAGATTATTAATTACCTCTTAACACTTTACATTAGAATCAGCACTGAAGTTAGCATTAGCCCACCATTAGCCCTGATACATCAATAGCATCTGTGGATCTGGTCAAATCTAACCATTTGGGGTTCCTCTTAGAAACCTCTGTGGAAATGGTTCAACATGGAACCCAAAAGGGTGCTTCAAAGGGTGCTCCTACCATTGGCTCCTACAGGGACAAATTAAAAACCCCAAAGCCCCACTTGTTTTGAGCCCCACCTGTTTAGCTAAAGAAAAATAGATATACAGTACCAGTCAAAAGCTTGGACACACCTACTCATTCAAGGGTTTGGTTGAGAATGCCAAGAGTGTGCAAAGCTTTCATCAAGGCAAAGGGTGGCTACTTTGAAGAATCTCAAATATAAAATCTATTTTGATTTGTTTAACACTTTTTTGGTTACAACATGATTCCATATGTGTTATTTCATAGTTTTGATGTCTTCACTACTATTCTACAATGTAGAAAATAGAAAAAATTAAGAAAAACCCTTGAATGAGTAGATGTGTCCAAACTTTTGACTGGTACAGTCTATATCTTTTTTATTGTTGTTGCCTGTTTTGCCTGTTATTTTGGCATTAATACGTGTCACATATCAGTTTGCAAACAATGTAAAAAATAAAAAATCATTGTGTTAATAAAGCCAAATTCAGACATGGTCTCTTTTTTGCTTTCTTGACTACGGCAGCTCCAAAATGCAGGTGTTTCAGCCTAGCTCAGTGCTTTCTGTGGTGGTGGGGCAGCAAGTGGAAAATACGGAGCGTAGGTAATGGTCTCTAGTCGCGTCGTGATTGGCTCAGTGTTCTTTCACTCTTGGGGACACTATGTCACCGCAAAATCTATGGGGAGAGCTCGAAAATGCAAGCCCCTTGGGTGCTGCCATAGTTACATTAGAAGTGCCCATCCAAGAAGGCTCAACGTCATTGGCCACAGATAAAATCACATAAAATCACGTTATATCTACCGTAACTTTGATTGGACTGATCTTGTCAACATTATACTTTCGAAATCTTAGCTAGCCAGCTAGACAAGCAGTCATCATCATGAATCACGTTGACAATCTACTGGCAAATCCTTTTCAATCCTTGTCATATGAAGATAAATTATAGATGAAACGTATCGGTGCTCATCAGCCATTGGACATAAACATTACACAACAAGTTGGAAATCGCAAATTCAACAATGAGTGGTTTGGAAGGATTCAGTGGCTAACTGCAAAGGGTTGCAAAGCAATCACTAGCCTGCTATTCAGTGGAGTGGGTGTGTGGTCCAAGTCTGGGTTTAAGGGTCTCTTTTCCAAGCTTAAAAGGATAAACATTCAACACCATGGGCCAGAAAAGTTTGAATACATTGGCCATGCTGGCAATCTAGCATGACTTTGGCCGCGCTCAAAACAACTGGAAACTCGGAACTGGGAAATCTCACTTCAGTAAGTTCAAGACAACTGGGATCTCGGGAAAAAATGAGCTCTGACTGGGAAAATACATTTTGAACGGTCATCCAACTCGGAATTCCAAGTCAGGAACTCGGGCCTCTTTCTAGACCTCTGACCTGAAGATCACAGACGTCATGATTCGACCTTGTTTTTTCCCCCCACAGTTCCCAGTTGTCTTGAAAGCACCATAAATCCAGAGAATAACAGACTTTGATGACAAAGTTTGATGAGAAGATTTGCCCACAAGGACTGCCGCGCCACCTTCCTGTTCAAGTGAGCACAGCACAACAAGGTGAGTCCAAAAATGTATTGTATGCTGCTGCATAAATGATGTAATATGCCAGGGAGATATGTATACTGCAGCTAGTAATACTAAGTGTATGTTGTGTAGTAAGCTGTTAGTAGACCATGTGCCTCATTTATAACTTAGCCTACTGTTCTGACTTGGTGGTGCACATGTAGCCTATAGCCAGTTTTAAAGAAACGTAATCATCGAATATTGTAAGAGCTTTCATTGTCTGCCTATATGCCCCCTTTATTTATCCTATGGTTCTGACTTGGTGTACAGGGAGAATACTGTTCTGGGAGTTCTGAATTCTGTCGCTAGACATTTCAAAAGTTCTTAACAAATAGTTATATTGACTACGTCCATCCTAGCTCGCTCATTGTCTTAATCGAAATTACGGATTGCCTCTTATCCGCTCGTTGTCCCCTTATGCCATAGTTTGTACATCTCAATTGTCAGTAAAAAAACACATTTGTTTAAGCAAGTCAGCCATATCACCTATGTTTTTTTTTTAAGGCAGTAAATAAAGTAAGCTGAATGAACTGTTTCGCTGCCAGACAAGGATCCACTGATAGCCAGGTGTAGCAGTGGTAAAATGTTGGGACAGCTTTATGTGTCACCGTTCTAGGGCAATTAATGTATTGTTTAGTGTTGTGGCTTTGCTGGCATGCATCCCACTTATTTTATTTTTTTGCCCCACCAAGATTTACATGCTAAAATTGCCACTGGTTGAGAGTAATGTGAAATGGTGCCAATTTTGTATTATATTAAATTTATTTTACAGTTGTAAGAAAGGTGAAATCTTATAGTAAATCATTAATAATTTGATTGGTACTATATTTAGAAAGCATTTCAGTAATTTCAAGCCCAATTATTCTTTTGAAATGGGGGGGGAAAATTGCATATGATTTTTTATATTTACTTGAGCCTCATTTTTAACATCAACATTGTAGTTAGGAAGATAACTGGCCAACTGTTGCTAAAGTGTGTTGAAAACTATGTAGAATTGCACAAAATGTGCTTACACAAGGCCACATTTCCTTAAGAGAAGACTCCAGACCAATGGTGTAGGAGTTAGCTGGACATGAGAGGGGGGGAGATACAGACAAATCTTAACTTCAAATGTAAGCAAATTACAAGGCTAAGGTGGGCCTTGCAGAGGAGCACTTCCTCTGGTACAGTCCAATCAGTCTTAGGGACATTGATACGAGTGGCGGCTCGTGATTGACTGATTAGCCTGCTGAAATGCATTTCATTACGGTAGCCTATAGGCTATAGTTAATTAAGCCAAGAAAATAGTGTTTATCAACAGGTACAGTGCTGCGAGATCCATAAATTAAACTAAATGCCCCAAATCATATAAAAGTGTTAAAAATAAAAAGCCTGACTGGATTGATGACATCAAATAACAGAACACAACCAGTCCTGATATAAATCAGAAATGACTGCAGATCAAAAACACAGTTCCGGCATAACTGAAATTATTGCAGAGAAAAGCTTAAATCGCCAACTATTTTGCCATGCAAAAAATAAATCCCTTATCCTCTCCTTCATTAGTGAATAAGAATAAATCATCTTTGGACATATTAACGGTAAACATTCAAGGCCATAAACCAAAGCAAAGCGCCAGTCTGAGTCTATTGAAGGATTGGGCCTCATCAATTAATCAAGTAGCAAGCAATGGACATTCAGGCTGTGTTGGCTAATCTGGAAACAAATTCCACCAACCTTTCATCTTGTAGACTAAACCTATCTGTCATGAGCATGACAGTCAATCCAAAGGTCAGATGCTGCGCAAAATCAGTGCTGTATTGATTGTGGATTACTTTATTACTGTTTGCATGATTTCAGATTGTAATGCCATATACAGTATACTCTCACAGCCGCAAATCCCCCATGAGACACTGTCTGTTGTGAAAATGAAAGTGATTTTGGCGCCATCTGTTGACCATGATTAATGTCTGCTGTTTGAATGGAGTTGGATCAGAGCAGCTAGGGCATTCAAGCTCAACGCCCCAAGAGGAGCAATAGACTTCAAGCAGCAGTGCATTTCTTCTCAGAACCGCTAGCTGTCAATGTAATCCAATGTAGCCGTCCTGGGCCCTAAAACCTGCTCCCCTCAGAGCAATAGTAGGAACATATTAAAACAGTAAAATGTATAGGATACAGCACTTGTATTTACTTACCGTATTTTGGACTATAGGGCGCCACCCCAACACCCTAACGGACCAGCCGCCACTGATTCATACTGTACTGAATACCAGTGTGACTGCATTGTCTTACGACAGGTTCCGTCATTCTAGTGCAACCCATGCCACCTGAACTACCTGTCTTGACAAGTAATCAGACAGATCAGTGTGGACGGAGGTGTCAATGGTGCGTCTTTCCCATAGAACACCTTTACTCTAATCATCATGATCTTAGAAATAGAGTCAGGAGGAGAGATGTTCTGAAGGACTATTACGTTAAACACTCTGGAATCTGAACGTTTTCACTTTATTTCTTCCCTTCTTGGTAAGGATGAAAAACGTAAAAAAATTCCAGACTGTTCCAAAACAGAACTTGACAGCACAAAGGAAACAAATCATCATCATCCTTCTCTCAGTCACATTTCTGTTTGGGCTCTTTTCCTTTTCTTTGTTTTTCTCACATCATTCTTTTCCACAAAAAGTAGGAAGCTGCAAACGTCACATTATTTACATTCTCACGATGAACAACACGGACCATTGTAATAACGACTTTTTCCCTTGACATGTGGCATGCTTGTACCTTTTAATAGTAAAGCAAGTGTTAACAGGTGTCTTATCAAAATAAGGTATAAGTAATCTTCTTTCCCCAGACACTTTGTACCCCCCCTCCCCTTACCAAACAAATCAGGAATCTGAGGGGACATAAAAACAGAAACAAAACAGAAAAACAAACCAACGGGGAAAAAAAGTATTGATGGTCCCCCTGCCTTTTGGCAATGCAGGAACTTTGAAAAAGAGGGAGCCATACCCCCTTAACCGGTACCACCATATCCCTCCCACTCAACCCTCCCCAGCCGCTCACGCACTGAATTTGGCCCATGTGTGTATGCACAAGTGTGTGTGACAAGTCCCTGGCCACCAGAGGAAGATTTGGCCTGTGTGTGTTGATGCTTGCGCATGCATGTAAATATGTGTGTGTGTGTGTGTGTGTGCGTGTTTAGTCCCGAAAGGCAGGCCAGCAGCCACCTCAGGAGGCGTTGGTGATGGGTTTGTACTTCTTGAGGCGGGTCCACTGTCCTGTGGAGTAGTTCATCTCAAACACTGTGTCCACCAGCATGGTGGTGCTGCCCGTGCCGTCCGCCTTGGGCAGGATCTCTGTATGTTCACTCAGCTTTATCTGGATAATGTCCCCCTGCTCCGGACACGGGTTCTCTGGAGGAGGAGGGGATAGAACAGTTAGAGATGTTGTAGAGTGATAAGATAGAATGGTTCTCTGGAGGAGGAGGAGGGGGGGGGGGGGGATACAACAGAGAAGTTGTGGTAATATGGTGAAAATACATTTTGAACTAGCAGTGAGGGTAAGAGTGTTGGAAGGTGTGTTTGTGTACTCACATGCATGTGAGTAAATAGCCAGTTAAGCTTAGATTCGACCCCCACCAGAGCGCTTTCACATATCCACATCCCAGTCCAACACGTTACTAAAACATTACTAGTACGTGGAAAACTCACAGTATACGACTAGGTGGACATACTCCAGGGATTATTTATTCTCTGTTGCAAAAAGCTGTTACTTATTACTAAAACGGGGGAGTATTTAGCAGAAAGCAGTACAGTACCTCTGGATCCGGCCATGAAGCCCAGGATAAGAGCTTTCTCTGGTCTGGTCACCTTGTTGGCCGTCTTGAACATTTCCTGAGCAGCATACATCTGGTCTCTCTGAAGAGACCACAGCACAGGGACAGAGGTTACATACAGCGGCACAGAGGTTACACACCACACAGATAGGTAGGTAAAACAACCACATATCACAGTCATCGCAAGTAAAACCACCATTCCACATACTGTACTACAATCTCTACAGTCAATGTTTGTATGTAAGCATAGCAGTCTCACATACTAAGTAGCACAAGTCCAGATTAGAATGCTCGCCAAATATAATGCTTCATTCCAAGTAGAATACTAGTGTGGATATTGGAAGTCCCAATGATGCCTTTAGCCAACTCACCGTGAGCGAGAGGTTCTTCTTGGGCTGGGGCATGGGCGTCGGGGGCTGGAGGGTAGCGGGGGGCTGCGTGGTGGGGGTCTCGGGCTGTGTGGCGGTGGCGGCGGCCGGGGGGCCGTTGCTGCTGGCGGGGGTGCTGGCTGGCGTGCTGGGGGAGGCAGGGGCGGTGGGGCTGGTGGCAGTGTTGCTGGCGTTGTACATGGGCGTCCTCTGTTTGAACTGGCCCGGGAGGGTGGTGGTGGTGGCAGCAGCACCGGGCGTGGCTGACTCCTCAGGCTGGCGACCTGACTGCAGGGCGTCACGCCCCAAACCACCTGCGTTCACTAGAATGAAGAAGACCCAGTTATCGACATCTGAGACTATCGCTATATCACTGTCAATCGCCAATTGGTTGTGCACATCTGAGAAGATTGGATAGGAGTAAGTACAGAAAACTTGTCTGGAGTACAAAAAGTGGAATGTTAGTACAAACCGACTGATACCCAGGCTAGCCAAATGCAGGGTTACCCTGAGATTGGAGTAACAGCTATGTAGTTGTCTCTCTTACCTGGCTGTGCCTCTGAACTGGGAATGTAGGAGGAGGAGGGGACCATACTTGGGGTAGCAGGCAGGTAGCTCGTAGACGGCAGGGCGCTCTCATTGTTCAACGCACCCAGTTTCTGAAACACAGGAGAAGTGGGTTACAATTCAATACCGCTTTCTAAAGTTGCATTACAGAATGACAGTGAATGAGTGTGTGTGAGTGTGTTCCTACCTGTGTAGACACCAGTCCAGCAGCATAGTCTGGGGTAGCGTTCTCCACCACAGCCTCCTCTTTAGCAGCTTTCTCCCCAGCCTCGGTTTCTGTACAGAGAGACAGAGACAGACAGAGACACGGGGCCGTAAGTGGTTTAAGTGAAGATACTCAACTTTGCTAAACAACTTCAACTTCTCTTGTCCTGAATGTTGTAGCAAATACCACTAGCAGATAAATCATTTATAAGAGTCAATGAGTCTGAAGGATGGTGAACAATAGTGAAGACTGCTAACTAGAGAGGGACAGATGGAAATAGAAAAGGTAGTTACCCAAAGTCTTTCTCCTCCTCTTTGCCTCTCTACCAGCTCCCACCATATCGAGCTCTGAGATGTCTAACAACTGGAGAACAGAGAATAATGTGCATCAGCTTCTGTTGACACATTTGAACATACACTATGTAGGGAACAGGGTGCCATTTGGGAGGCAGCCAATGCCACTTGTTAAGCCCCCTTAGTCACCTTGACCCCCCTCTCCTTGCGCAGGGGTGTCCGTGCTGGGGCGATGGGTGTGCGGTTGCTGGGGGGGCTGAACATGCTGGGGGTGGTGGGGCTGCGGAACGGGGCTTTGGGTATCCCCTTCAGGGGTGCTGGAAGGAAGGGTAGAAAACATGATATCTCAGCAACCAATCAGACACCAGTGGGTATAAATCAGGTTTTCCGTTAGGAAAATATGACGCCGGACATTTGACTGGCAGCATTTACCGGACATTTGAGAAATGTACCAGACCCATATGCATTGGGTGTGTAACCTGATTAGGGCGTCCACCCACGGTGCTCAGAATGACAGAAATCACATTTAGAGTATGGTAGTTCATCTTTACCGAACATGCAACTCGAGGATGCAACTTGCGCAATTTGAAGATGTTAGAATAACTGTCCATATTTACATTTTCTCAGCCAACAAGACGAGTAACGAACAGCAAAATCACTAGCGTATGTCGATCTACTATACCCCATAGTAGAAAGGTTGACCTATTCCATTTGTCAGCTTGGCCTATTCCAAAACAGACTCTGGGACAGTTGTGGGATGATAGAGCAGAAATTCATACAACCAGTAAGCCTAGGCTACTTAAAAAACCCTGTTAAAATGCAACAGATCAGAATGTTTAGCTTAAAAAGTTGATCACCTATTATTTATTCACATTATAAGCGCAGCAATGCGCACAGATTCAGTGTTTAATAGTCACATGTACAGGGTTGCAGGTGTGATTGCAGGGTACAGTGAAAATCTTAGGCTTTTTACATTTACATTTTAGTCATTTAGCAGACGCTCTTATCCAGAGCGACTTACAGTTAGTGAGTGCATACATATTTTTTTATTTTTTTCATACTGGCCCCCCGCGGGAATTGAACCCACAACCCTGCCGTTGCAAACGCCATGCTCTACCAACATCCCTGCCTGCCAATCTCTCCCCTACCCTGGACGACGCTGGGCCAATTGTGCGCCGCCCCATGGGTCTCCCGGTCACGGCCGGCTACGACAGAGCCTGGATTCGAACCAGGATCTCTAGTGGGGGGGGGGAAGCAACATGACCATTGAGGGGGTGGCGGGGGGGAGATGACCATAGGGAGAGAAGCAGGAGGGGGGGGGGGGGGGTGGCAGCAGGAGAGAGAATGTCAATAGGGGGAGCAGCAGGTAAGGTAATAACAACAAGATAACTAATAACGTAAGCATACTGTGTCCATAATAAGTATATAGGTTGAGAGCTTTTGTGAAAGAGCACAGTTAGAAAGATATGGCATATAGAAGCAAACCGGATAGACATCATGAAAATGATTGGCGAGGTTGAGGTTAGAGGAAGTTCAGGAGTAAAAACAAACAAAATATAATTATTGTAAAATTGACTGTGTCCATAAAATGTATATAGCATGTATAAGCTAGAAGTAGAGGCCTAAGCTTTGTTGTTCACTAGTTTACTCCAATTAGGGAAGGGGTGGTGGGGTTGGAAAGTAATAAAGGGTCCGCGGCAGTGGAGTTTCTATACCAGGCTGTGATGCAGCCTGGCAGTATGCTGTCTGTGGTGTTCCTGTTGTACACCGAGGGCCCTCGGGGACAGGCTGGACTTCTTCAGCATCCTGAGGTTGAAGAGTCTCAGTCGTGCCTTTTTCACTACGGTGTCCATGTGGTTAGACCATTTCAGCTTCTCTGAGATGTGTACACTGAGGAATTTGAAGTTATTGACCTTCTCCACGGCAGCCCCATTGATGAGGATGGGGGCGTGTCCAGCCTGGTTCCTCCTGAAGTTCACAAATCAGCTCCTTTGTTTTGAGGGAGAGGTTGTTTACCTGGCACCATGCCATCAGAGTGCCTACCTCCTGCCTGTAGGCTGTCTCGTCATTGTTGGTAATCAGGCATACTACTGTTGTGTCGTCTCCGAACTTGATGATGGAGTTGGAACTCTGAGGCCACGCAGTAGTGGTTATACAGGGAATACAGGAGGGGACTGAGGACGCACCCTTGTGGGGCCCCCGTGTTGAGAATCGGTGTAGAGGAGGTAATGTTGCCTACCTTCAAAACATTGGGGCGGCCCGTCAGGAAGTCCAGGACCCAGTTGCACAAGGCAGTAGGCTACACGCAAATGTTTGTTCCATAATGCAATTAGCGGGAAAACACTTGTCAAAAGCGCACTGCACATGCGAGCGGTTTCATGAGACAGATTAAAATATCCATTAGTAATGTAGAAAGTGGGGAGATCTAAAGATGCAACAACAAACACAGGCTGCTAATATGACCAGGATTCTACCTTTGGCACTGGACAATGAAGGAAACCAATATAAAATTAGAGAAATAGGCTACTGGTTTCATTGGCATATGGAAGTCTTTATAAAATAATTGCCTCCACGTTTGGTCGGATTTTAGCTATAGGATACTTTGAAGCAAGGTAAGATATGCAGTAAAATGTTCATGTTTCAAACAGTTAAAGGAACAAAATGGAATATAACATTGCGAATATAACAAGTTTGGAATGACAATTTGATGTGTACAACATCTAAAAGACCTTGCATCACAATACTGAGAGCTTTGCCGTTTCTAAAAGGACGTATTTGGTTGTTGTTGGAGCATGCTTTTCCTGGGGTCCCCATACTACACAACGAGGAAGCAATTTGCTGTAGCTAGTTTGAATCATGGCCGTCAAAACTGTTTTTAACACGCAATTGCATTTAGAATTGTTGCGCTAATAAAAGCACGTTTCACTCCAGCAGCAACAAACGAGTTGATTGAGGCGCTGTAGCAGCAGCTCTTGCGCTACATTCATTGCAATCAATGAACAGGCTAAAATGCATTATTTCGCAAAGGAATTTTTTTCCTTCTCCCGGACAATTGTCCGGTGCCAATTTTATTTATTGACTTTAGTTGTTGTTTTTTCCCAGTTATTACAGGCTAAATCCTGGTATAAATGGTGTTATGTGTTCATAGGCATAGTCTTGGCAACAACAAGTGTGTCTGTGTGTCAAACTCACTGGTGGTGTCAATCTTCTTGACCAGGCCTCTTCCTTTGGCGTGGAAAGGCACTCCCGCTGTCTTCTTCAGCTGTTGAGCGGTCTCTGTAGCTGAAAACACAACATAACAATGAGTCAATGGGGTGTATTTATTAGTGCACATTGTAGCAAAACATTTAGCAATGGAAAACATTTTAGAACTAAAATAAGACTTTCGATTGGACAAATTCAGGTAGGTCCCTCCTCATTTCGTCCTGTTTGCTTCCATTAGGTTCCTAGTGAATACACCCAAGGGTGCTGTTCATTTGGCACCTGACAGAAGGAAACCGACTAATGCACCGCTCATGTACTCAATACAAAAAACGATTCTCCACTCTGACACACGCCCATTCAACAGGTGCTACATTAACTTGTCCAATAAGAAACGCGCATGTTTGTTTTCCAGTGCGTGCCGTAATGAACATGAGTCATGACTATTCACCAATGTGATAGAAAGACCATTCAACTTTCCGTAAAATTAGCATAAAGGAGAAGAGACCTGAAACATGGGGAAGTATCTCAACAGTCTAAAGTGGCTTCCTTTTCTCTTCTGCTTTCCTTCATCTGCACTGATGTGTGAAAAACAACTGGACAAGTGAAAGAAACTCCCAAGTAAGCATTGGACATAGCGCTCTAACTTATCCTTTTCAGATCAGGGGCCGAATTCATAAAGCATCTCAGAGTAGGAGTTGTGATCTAGGACCAGTTCGGTCTTTCAGATCATAATGAATAACAGTAAATGGACAGGGGGGACCTGATTCTAGATCAGCACTATTAATCTGAAACGCTTGATACGTTTGTCCCCAGATGAAGATGACGAGCAGATTGAGATGAAGAGACGAGGCGGACATTTTAGACTCTTGTCATGTACCCTGGACAGAGTGAAGTGTCTTATCTTACATTTCTGCAGCAGCTCTGCCCTGAGCGTGGCACTCTTGGGCTTCCTCTTGAGCTGGAAGTGTTTGACGGGGGGCGTGAGTGGGCCCACCAGCGTAGTCAGGGCGCTCTTGTTCAGGTACTGGCACTCCAGAGGGAGCATGGCCGACGCCTCACACTCACTCACTGCAGGGGGGAGATCCATCAATCAATCAAATGTATTTATTAAAGTCAGACTCAGTCCCAAATAAAACAGTAACATTTATTTTCTTGTTTATTATATCTCTAAATGGATCTTGAAAGCTTAATTAAGCCCTTTTACATCAGCAGCTGACTCAGTGTTTCTACAGTAACTCTAACCCAAAGAGCAAGCGAAAGCAGTTAGCATGATGCAGACAGCCAGGTGTACTATAACCAACCAGTACCTCTACATGATAAATAAAAAGTGCACGAGGACAAGTAGTCTAGATCTCAGCAATGCACCGCTCATGTACTCAATACAAAAAAAGATTCTCCACTCTGACACACGGCCATTCAACAGGTGCTTGTAGAGCAGCACCAACATGCTGGAAAATGTATCCTATTTGAAATAGGTACAATAAAACAAAGCTCCATTTTCCATATTAATTCCAGTGACAAAGCTAGAACCATGATCCTCAATGACCCCTGCTGCTCTCATTTTCCCCCTTGACCTGTGACCCCTGACCCCTAGCCTATGGTAGTAATAATAATAATAATAATAATAATAATAATAATAATAATAATAATAATAATAGTGTACCCACCTTTCTCCCGGAGCTCCCCCAGGATGTCCTGTACGTTGGGGTTCTGCTCCTCCAGGTCCAGGTTGAGGGAGCCCGTCTCGGGGAAGGACTTGAGGATGTCTGCCACCATCAGTACCCAGGGCTCAGAGTCCACTGTGGCCAGCTGGATGATCTCGGACAGGGCCTCCTTCATCTGCACAGACAGGGTCAGGGAGGAGGTGATTGTGGAGGTCAGTAGAGCTAGATTTTAAAATGTTACCGTCCAATCTTGTGGAATGGTAATGTGTCTTTACGCTTTACATGCATGCATGGCTCACAGTAGGCCTAAAGCAGTTTATAGAAAGGTATAGAAAGAAACTGAACATAGAATCTCCATGGGGCAGGATGTGTAGGGGCAGAGGGTGGATGTGGAGGTTAGAGCAGGGCATGGAAATTGAATATATGTCAACACCCGAATACTCTCCAACTACTACACCAGTGGAGGCTCCTCAGAGGAGGAAGGGGAGGACAATCCTCTTCAGTGAATTTCATAAAAATGGTAAAACATTCAAAAGGTTATCCTTTTTAGATAAAACTAGACTAAATATATTCACATCACCAAATAATTGATTAAAACACGCTGTTTTGCAATGAAGGTCTACAGTAGCCTCTACTGCACTCTGTAGGGTAGCACCAAGGTGTAGCCGGAGGACAGCTAGCTTCCGTCCTCCTCTGGGTACATTGACTTCAATACAAAACCTAGGAGGCTCATGGTTCTCACCCCCTTCCATAGACTTACACAGTAATTATGACAACTACCGGAGGACGTCTTCAAACCTATCAGAGCTCTTGCAGCATGTACTGATATGTCCACCCACTCAAAGGATCAGAGAATGAATCTAGTACTGAAAGCACAAGCTACAGCTAGCTAGCACTGCAGTGCATAAAATGTGGTGAGTAATTGACTCAAATAGAGAAAGACAATAGTTGAACACTTTTGAACAAATTAATTTCTTCAAAAATGAAGAAGCAAGAGAATCATTTTTTTCATCTTCACTTTCAGTTTCACTTACTTAGCTAGCAAATGCAGCTAGCTAGTTTAGCCTACTCAAACAGAGGGATGCTATGTTAGCTAGCTGGCTAAGACTATCCAACACAACACTTGAACTCTTCCAAGTGAAGGTAAGCTTTTGGTTTTACTAATTTATTGCCACCGTAGCCCGCAGGTGTAACTGCTAAACTGCTTACTGACTATACACTACCGTTACTGCATGATTGTAGCTGGTTTACTAACGCGTTAGTTCTATTAGCTAATATGGTGCCAACGATGAAGGCTGTGTGTAGCGGTTATGATATGGTTTGGAAAGTTTTTTTCCGGCTGGTCACATACAGCTGATGTGTTGTGCATTGAAGTCCACAAATGAAGGGAAAGGTGAGAGGAGGAGAGCGCATAGTGAACTGGGTTTACATGTGTCACCTAAAATGTCTCTCTTGACCTGTGTGCACCTACGTTGTAAACTTTCATTCGTAGTCTAGGTTGTAGTAACCTCATGATGGGTATAGGGAAAATTAGAGTATCGTGTAGTAGCCTAAAGCTATCGATGTTACATTGAACTGGGTGAATGGAATATGAATGACAGTCATTCAATACGCTGTAATAGAAATAAGGCCATGCTCATGGAAGAAGAAAAATGTGTCCCCCCTCATCATAAACAGCACCGACCGCCACTGTACTACACCTGCCATTTAGAGAGTGTGCTGACTTTCTGTTTCCTGGCCTGGTATGGTGGGCTGTCAATTGCTAACAAGGCCATCCTCAGGAGGACCGTAAACCTGGGTTCCAAGCTCAGCAAGCTGCAGTGCAGGGGGCTTCAGGGCCTCCATCATAGACAGGCAAGGGATAAGGCCAAGCGCATCAGAGGACCCTGCACACAATCTGGTCCAATGTTTTGAGCTGCTGTCCTCCAGAAGGAGATATAAGGTCCCAATGTACAGCAAGAATAGGAACATGGCAAGTTTCATTCAATCAGCCATCAGGCTGCTGAACAGTGGGACACAGGACAAATGTAGGCCCAATACATAGTCGGACAGAAGGCTGCAGGGACTGTGAATATGTGTGCGTTAGGCTAAAAAAGGCTGCATGTACACTGACAGCCCAATTCTGATATTTTATCCACTAACTGGTCCAATCAGATCCAGCTCTGAAAAATATCTGATGTGATTGGTCAAAATACCAATTAGTGGAACAATTATCCGAATTGGCCTGCCTGTGTAAACGCAGCCCTATTAAACTTTCCAGTGTTTTTGTGTATTTGTATGATGACTGCACAAAATGAATTTCCATGTAAATGAACAATAAAGTATATTCTATCGTACATAGAAGCTTGAATGTATGTGGTGCAGAATGTCAACCAGAGCTGGCTCAATTGGATGAAACTGAGGAGTGCATAGAACTGTGGACTAATTTGAGTGATAATATATGACAGGAGATACAGATTTTGTTATGGTCATAAAAATGTAAGCGACAAGTCTAACTGTATAGCCTACATGTAGCGAATTCAATGACTTACCGCTATTTATCACGGAAATAGAATGGGTAAACAAAGCAATGTCGAGACATTTTATGGACTGCACCTGGTTTACAACACTGTTTGTAGACCAGTGAGGAGCTATATTTATCAAAGTTTAATAGAAAGTTTAACTGCGGCTAGCTGATTTTAGAGCAAAAACTATTTCAAAGGCCGTCTCCCACTAGTTTGGAGTTGTAACCTAACTAGGTCGCTCACTGGTTACGCACTCCAAAATGGCACTAACTGGCAGGCAAGCGAAACCACCTGACTGACAAGACTCCGACAAGTTTTCAGCATCAATGATTCTCAGACACATTACGACTACACTACAAACAGGTTCAATGCTACATGTTAGGTCTGCTAACTAACGTGGTGTTTGTTAAAGGAAGGCATGTGCGTTAGGTAATCAAAACAAAAACATACGACTGGACAGAATTAGCCTAGCCGCGATAGTTAGTTATAGCCTGTCTGTAGACACTTACCTACACAGCTGACGTTAGCAGCTATCAAGCTAACTAGCTAACCAAGGAAGCGATCGATGCGGACTGCTGGCTATCGATAGTTTAACTAGAGTAGAGAACACGGGGTAGTGATGTTGACTGTCTGCATTGCCATATTTGCGGCTAACTAGCTAAGTAAACAATTGAAACAACTTGTAAGCATGGTGTCCATTAACGTTACTACTTTACTTCCCTCTCAGGAAACATTAGCTAGCAACTCGGTCAAGGCTGCCTGTTGCATAATCCCATCTAAACTAGCTGGCTAGTGCTCAGTCAGTCATATCAACTCGCGTACCCACCTCGTCAACAGTCCGCCTGGGAAGATGCAGCATCCCGAGCAAGAGTTTTAGCTTCACTGGAGGCGACAAACTCGAAAAACACAACCGTATATTGTCGATAACTGAAACGGTGAGGAGTGAAGCAATACTAGAAGGCGCCCAAAGTTCGTCTGTTGATCCTAGTTTATTATGGAGCCACAGGCCGGTGTCGCTGTCCTTCATCGACGCCATCTTGGAAAAAGAAGTGTATTGAGTTCGGGCATTTTAACAGGCTACCTAAGAAAACATAGGACTGATAGGACCCACCCACATGTTCGTATTTGGGAAAGCAAAGAAACTCACCTCTCTCTTACCTGTCCCAAAAAATCTTATTTCACATTTTACAAGGCCTTTTGAAAATATTTGCTTTACAAAACACTTGAGGTGTACAACAGCATTGCATTTATTTACCATTCATTTCGCGTGTTAGAGTTATGCAAATAAAACATTTCTTAAAATTTGCCTGGAAAGTGCAACACATAGGCTGGCATGTAGGAATATTATTGTATAACAATTACTGTATCTTTAAGGTTATGCAACTAAATAAGCTAAAATGAGCGCTGTGATTAAATTAGCCTATAGGACATTTGACCAACATAGCGAACCAGAGGCCAACATTTAATTTGAGATGAATAAAATAATTTAGCATACTTTTACGGGATTTCAGGAGGGACAATCCGTTCGCCTAATTTACAGCGGATTTTACACGCATGCACTTTCTGCCCTTCGAATTCATATTCAACAGAATCGTCTCTTCATTATCGCACACAGTGAGTAAGCCTACATTTGAATGCTTGTTATACTATTCTTGGTCATAGTTACGACCTTTTTCTCTATGAGAAAAGTTTGTCCCATTTAAAACGATACATCCTCTCCGCTATCTGTGATTTTATTATGGATGCTTGTGTTGCTTTCAAAATAAAATAAAATATTAAATGGTCGCGTATGCTACAGATATTTTACAGATGTTATCGCATGTGCAGCGAAATGCTTATGTTTCTAGCTCCAACAGTGCTGTAATACATATATATATATATATATATATATATATATATATATATATATATATATATATATATATATATATATAGGCCTATATAATGGTGTTTAATAGACAGTATGGACAGTATATGAATAGAAAAGGTGTGTACAGCATTAGTTATATATGATTAGCCTTGACTAGAATTAAGTATATACATGCATATGAAGTGGGTAAAGCTGAGCAAACGTAGCCAACAATCGCATCTAGTCTACCAATGCGTCGTAATATGATAGCTGCCTATCCTAAAGTGTCATATGCTGAAATTCCCTCTCCGTTTTCCAGGTCTTTCTTTTGACATCCTGCACCGCAGTATGGCATCGAGTAGCTATATGAAAGCGGTGATGCTGCTATTAGCGGTGCAGCTCCTGTCTTTTAGGACATGTTTTGGCGAGCAGGAGACAGGGACGGTAATTCCTGCCGAAAGTAAGTGGTTTTATTTAATAGGTTTTATTGTCTTTGTTGCTTTTGAGATTACACACAATGAGCATTTGTTACTGTAGTGCGGATGACTATTGTGCATAGGGAGAGAAAATAAATCCTATTTATTCAACCTAAACAAAATCTAATCTGATTGCCTAATCGATAGGTTACCAATTGAGAACAGCCATTGATTGATAAGGTGTAGCAGCATATAAGGTATTAATTGTAATTATAAACCTATTCAGTATTGATTTTGTTTTCATAATTGCAGTAGCCTATATATAATTAATTATACTGAACACTATTATTATATTTTTGTCTCATTGTCTTCCAGGTCGTCCCTGTGTGGACTGTCATGCATTTGAATTCATGCAGAGGGCACTGCATGACCTCAAGAAGACTGCTTTCAACCTCGATGCCCAGGTAACAGTTCATATCCTTTTCTATTTCAGTAACACCTTATGTTACAGTGTAAATATTATTGTAAGTACAGTGTAATGACTATTGCATTTACTCAGTGCTTGAAGTGGGCTGGAGCTGTCCACCTCTAATTTTCTATAGATTGAGAACTGGCACCTGCTATAGAATAGGCTATTGGCTTTAATATATTATGAGTAACAGAACCTAAATATAAAGACTTCCAGCATCCAAAACGAGTATCAGCACCTATTTCATTCCACTTCAACCACTGATCAGTGGCGTGTCCAGTACATTTTGAATGGGGTGGCCAAGGTGGGGCACATACCCAGTTTAGGGGGGCCATTTCACTTACATTTACATTTTAGTCATTTAGCAGACGCTCTTATCCTGAGCGACTTACAGGAGGAACTAGGGTTAAGTGCCTTGCTCAAGGGCACATCGGCATATTCTTCACCTAGTCATTTTTAACCTTAATTGATGCAAGGTGGATTTTTCCAATATAATTATGATGGTTCAACGCATTAAATGCTTCAGCTTAGGTTTGGGACATTTCCCTGTTCAAGTAATTCATTTTTACAGTGTTTGCATTCAAGCTCAGTATTTATTTCCGCATACAGCAGTAAATTCACTTGAAAGTGCCATCCAGAGTGCGAATTACACCATGATATTTTGGGGTCTGTATTTTTTTACAGGACATTTTAAAAATAGAAGGTTAATTAGGTTACCTGCGTACGTTCGTCTACTCCGAAATAAGTCCATCATCCGAAAGAGTGCATTGTGCACCCGCCATTTGAATGGAAACTGATATATTTTACAAACACCATAAGTGTATTGACATTCAGCCTACAAAGTGGCTTGGAAACATGGATGCCAACGGAAGCCAGTCTTACCCCAACATTTAAAAAAATACAAAAATAAACAAACTAAACTGATTTCTCATTCTTGTCTATCCTTGTTTCATAAGTTTCCTTCAATTTGCAAGAGGCTGAATCTATTTCATCAGAGAAAGCGTCAAACAGCGCCCCTTTGTCTTAGTATCTGTAGCACCCGTATATGATGGTGTATGGCCAAAAATAATATGACATGTCATACTCTTTTTGGACAGACAGCGTGGGTTAAACTTTGAGATTAATGAGTCTTGCTGTCGGTGCGCATCTTGGTCAAAAATTCCTCTGTACAGTTCTTCTATAAGTTGCCTGCTGTTGTGCCCTTGAGCAAGGCACTTAACCCCCTACAATTGCTCCAGGGGCGCTGCACTGCGGCTGACCCATTCCTTCCAACCCCGCGGGTGTCTGTGTCTTGGGGGGTTGGATTGTGAGCGTAAAGACACATTTCTGTTCTCTATAAGTTAATGGACAAAGTAAAGTATTAGCCTTGTTTAAAAGGTTTACTCAGACTGGTGCTCCCTAACATGGCATTGCCTCTATTTCTTCCTAGACTGAGACCCTGGTGTTGAGGGCAGAGAGGCGAGCCCTGTGTGACTGCATGCCCACTAATACCCTGCGCTGAGCGGAGTAGTGATGTGCCCTCACCATGGCAACCAACTCCACACCCACAATGACCGGACACCTTTAACCTACTACAAACAACACCTGGACTAGACAGATGCCTCTCTGAGCCTCCTTCTATGGAATATTGTAAAAAATATATTATAATAATTTCATTTGTACAACATGCACTTTATTTTCTTTGCTAACATATCAGCATTGATATTGCAGTGGTTTAATTGTAATTTGATTATAATATTTTATTTGATGAGTTCAGAAAATCAGCAATGCGTAACTATGTCATGTAGGGCAAAGCCAACAACAACTCATGTCCCTCTTGGTCATATGTGAGGTTTTGAAACACATATCTAGATCATTTTTACATATCTAGATCATTCTAGGCCTTCTTTTGGCCAGCTAATAGCCTAACCACCGATAAAGCAACATTATGGACTAAACATTAAAATCCTGTTGTGCGGGATTATTTTTGCTGTGACAGTACCAGTCAAATTAAGATCCTACATCTGTAAGGATGTCACGCCCTGGTTCTGGGGACTCTTAAATGTTGAGCCAGGGTGTGGATGTTCTATGTTATATTTTCTATGTTTGTTGTTCTAGTTCGTTTAGATCTATGTTGGCCAGGGTGGTTCCCAATCAGAGGCAGCTGTAGCTCGTTGTCTCTGATTGGGGACCATACTTAGGCAGCCTGTTTTGCACTAGTCTTTGTGGGATCTTGTTCTGTAAGGTTTGTTTTGGTGTTAACCTAGGACGGCACGTATCGTTTGTTTGTTGTTTTTTCGTGAGTTAAGTACAAATAAAGATGTACGCTTATCACGCTGCGCCTTGGTCCGTGTCTTCATCAGTCGATGATCGTGACAAAGGAATGGAATAATAGCATTTACAGGTCTGGTACCCATTCTAGGATTATGTAGTGGTCAAGAGAATATAAACAAACAAATGGATATTTATCACTGTAAGACTGGGATTGTAGAACTTGATAATATATCGATAAAAATAAGTTTTTTTAAATAGTAACTATAGAGGAGAAATATTGATGTTAATTGCTTTGATATTGATAAACCTATGCACTTGAGAGGATTTGATTGGTATAAGTATCCTGAACAGAAATATAAATGCAACAATTTAAAAGATTTGACTGACTTACAGTTCATAAAAGGAAATCAGTTAATTGAAATAAATGAATTAGGCCCTAATCTATGGATTTCACATGACTGGGAATACAGATATGCATCTGTTGGTCACAGATACCTTTAAAAAAAGGTAAGGGTATGGATCAGAAAACCAGTCAGTATCTGGTGTGACCACCATTTAAACATGCACCTTGATCCAGAGCATCCCAAACATACTCAATGGGTGACATGTCTGGGTATACAGGCCATGGAAGAACATTTTCAGCTTCCAGGAAGTGTGTACAGATCCTTGCAACATGGGGCCATGCATTATCATGCTGAAACATGAGGTGATGGTGGTGGATGAATGGCACTACAATGGGCCTCAGGATCTCGTCACAGTATCTGTGCATTCAAATTGCCATCAATACAATGCAATTGTGTTTGTTGTCCTTAGCTTATGCCTGCCCATCCCATAACCCCACCACCACCACCACCATGGGGCACTCTGTTCACAACGTTGACATCAGCAAACCGCTCGCCCACACGACGCCATAAACGTGGTTTGCGGTTGTGAGGCCGGTTGGACACACTGCCAAATTCTCTAAAATGTTGTTGGAGGTGGCTTTTGGTAGAGAAATTAACATTCAATTTGCTGGCAACAACTCTGATGGACATTCCTGCAGTCAGCATGCCAATTGCACGCTCCCTCAAAAGTTGAGACATCTGTGGCATTGTGTTGTGTGACAAAACTGCACATTTTAGAGTGGCCTTTTATTGTCCCCAGCACAAGGTGCACCTGTGTAATAATGCTGTTTAATCAGCTTCTCAATATGCCACACCTGTCAGGTGGATGGATTATCTAGGCTAATGAGAAATACTCACTAACAGGGATGTAAACAAATTTGTGCACAACATTTGAGAGAAATAAGCTTTTTGTGCATATGGAACATTTCTGGGATCTTTTATTTCAGCTCATGAAGCAAGGTATAAAGGCAATTTGTAATCCAATTCCAAACTTGCCTTGAGGCCACAGGTATGTGATGCCGTAATCAGACACGCTTCCAAAGCAACCACAGAACAGGGAATCCAAAGCTCCAATAGTGTAAAAACAAACATATATTTTCCAAACAAAAGGTAATTTCATAGGCTATATTCAATCGATGAACAAAGTCAAAGCGATCAGATTGAAACTCCAAACAAAAGGTATAGACTAGTAGCAGCTTTCTTAGTAGCGTATCGTAGCACAAAAAAAAAACTGTAAGGTACAGCCATACCTGAGGCCTAGTAGACCCATCCTGCATAAAACCTAAATAGGTAAAGGGAAGTAGAGCATGGGAAAAAAGGGGTGTGCCCAGGAAAGGCTCCATAATGCTTTTAAATACCCATGATAATCATGATAGAAAACCAAAAACATGAGTTCATCAACCATACTCCATAATTCATAATGCAATATTTATAATTCTATTCAAATAATATTTTTCTAAATGGAGCAAAACAATAAATTAAGCACAAATAAAGAAAATTAGAATTTGGCTCCAACACATGGGACCACGGCCGGCCCGTTCATTAGGCAGGATTAGGCGGCCGCCTGTGTCGGCAGATTGACAAGGGTAGCTAAACTGACCAAGAGGCACCTCCAACAACAACACTTGAAACCTCACATATTTCTGCCCCAAAACAATGACAATTTCTCTCAACCAGTGGCATATGGGCTTTTAGTTGAGCGCTGAAGCAGCCCTTTGATAAGCATTGGCCACTTTGTCAAAGGCAGGGGTGCAAAATATTTATCTTGTCCATTCCCTGCGCCTCGCCAGGGTGCTGTTGGAGAGACGCATCTCTGCAGCACTCCACCAACGTTCAGTCAAAAAAATTATCTAACATAAATCATGTAGCAGATATAGCATATGGTAGAAAGAGTATGTGGCCTTTTCTGTAGCCTACAGGCTGAAGATAAAATGTATGACGATGTAGGACACTTTTTACATCATGCAGGTTTCTCCGATCAAATAGCTGTCATGTTAACAAATAACATGTCCTAAAAACAGGACAGGTCAAAGTAAAATGGACAATATGGAATGGACATTCACAACTGTTGTCCAGGAGTTTGATCCCATTGTCATGATCAGTGGTTTCAAGTTTGTATCCATAAATTTGACAAGCTGATCATAGCGAAAAATAAAATAGTTCTGCATTTCCCGCTGTGTAAACACATTGCAAATAGGCTTTCGATAACTCCTGATAAAGTCAGGTTGCTGATGTTCAGAGCTTAAATAGCCAAATTGATTAGTCACAGGAATCAGGACTAATAAAGCCAATGCAATGGCCTGTTTTACAAACGGTGGTTCTAACAAATGGATGGGCATTCATAAAATTCCATTATGGGCCTACATGGTAGGCTAGACCCCAGTAAGCACGAGCCGACGTCTTTTGGACGTCTTTTTTGGACCTGTTCGGATGTCATGTTTTGGTGTTTTACAAACGGTAGGCTTACCACATAGATGGGCATTCATGAAATTCAATTTCAGGCAATACTGTAGGCTATACCTCTGTAAGCATGGACCAACGCCGAAGCCTTTTGGACGTCTTTTGGGAGCTATTACCATACGCCTGTCAAAGTGCATAGGGCTTAGGAATCGATTTGGGATTGGGCCACAGTTCCCAGTGATACTATTACTATATTAGAGGCTCAGTATTTCATTGTCTGACAGACAACCCCAGCAGAATAACATTTGATAATCAAGCAAGTAGTGTGTGTATGTGTAATGTATGTGTGTGTGTCAGTGTGTGTGTGTCAGTGTGTGTGTGTGTGTCAGTGAGTTTTGCTTGTTATAGACTGCACAGGCCTGTCCATCAGCGCTTGTGGCAGAGGCACAATTATATGTGTGCGTCCTAAATGGCACCCTATTCCCTATGTAGTGCACTACTTTTGACCATAGGCTCTGTTCAAAAGTAGTGCACTAAATAGGAAATAGGGTGCCGTTTGGGACGTATCCTATGTGTCATAGGATGGATTTCTCCCCTGCAGAGAATAGGTGCTGTTCGTCACACTTTATCAACTACTATCAGGCTAAACAAGGCCACACTCTCTCGGTGTGTGGTGTGTGTTTATGTGTGGTGTGTGTTTATGTGTGGTGTGTGTGTGACAGCGACTGTGAGATTCACATTTTTTCTGGATACATCTGCATTTTTGTCTGATGCTATGTGCTTGGTGTACTGATATTTTTTTAAATAACTAGATTCAGGTGCGCAACTTAGGTTTTAGAACATAATTTATTATTTAAATATTTCTTTTTAATCCAGTCGGATAAACACTCCAAACAGCCTGCACGGACGCTCGGAGGCGTCCGCATGGTCCTAAAGCACACTGTTGCCTCGTTTTGTATCACATTCCAATGATACAACTGGGGAGGACAAAAATGCAATCTCAGAATGTGGGTGGGATATGTCCCCACCGTCCCCAGTGAAAGCCCCTGACTAGATTCTAAAAAGAGAATTGTGGTTATTAAGTGATTATGATTAACATTATTATTACATAGAATTAAGAGACAGCATTTTATTCAAAACCCTGTAGCCATGCCTCTTCTCATAGAGTGTCTGAACAGACTGCTCAGCTTGGAATGAGACCCCAGGCATTATCTATCAAATGACGATGACTGTCTGAGATCACACAGAAGCAGTTGAGGAGAGACTGTATCAATTCTTCTTTTTATAAGAAACATTAATTTGTTGAAATTCCAAATTGTTTGCATAGTCAACTTACACATGTTTGCATAGTCAACTTCCATCTCATATTGCTCAAATAAACAGCAAACCTGGTTTCAAAAAACAGATAAAGCAACACCTCACGGCACAACGCCTCTCCCCTATTTGACCTATATAGTTTGTGTGT